ATAATATTATTGTCATCCTCGTCATGGGACAAATATCAACCTTTCTCCGGCCTATTATCGGACTACAGATCATCTATCGTACTGTTGGCTTTACTTTGGAGTCATCATATGTGATTGAGTCCTTTCGGCGCTCCAATGATTGCACAATCCTTCCAACATCGCCCTTATTTGACAACGAGACGCCATCGTTTCAACTACCTGCCGGTTCAACGATAAAAATTTCAACCAGCTTTCAAGAACAATATGAAATACCTTTTGAGGTATACTCACAGTGCACATCAAGTAGCCATGTCGGATGCGTCGACCTGTTTGATAGATATGCAACACGTTTGATTCGGTGTGAAGAAATAATGCTTGATGGCAGTTTGCAAAACAGTCCGAGACAGTTCAACGTTCGATGGGAAGCATCATGGATAAGTCCCAATTCTGTTTGGTTGTATGAACTGGCGGAACAAGTAGGCTGGACAATAGAAACGAAACCGCCCGATAGTACCAAGGTCTCGACCTTCAGCTGGCTTCGAGTCTTTCAGTTGTTTCAAAACGCATTCCAAACTGGGACAATTGTATTGCCAAGGTATTCAGTCAAGGGAAACACACGCTTCCGACTGATACAGGACGGTTCAGCTACTCAAGCAGTAACTATTATCTTGGAAGAATCCATTGATCTAGTGGAAGAAGCTGACTCTTTGAGGCTACAAAATAGAGTTGTGGCACAAGAGTTTGCAAGCTGGCTGGATGTATCAAGGAAGCCACCTATTGCTGATGAAGTAGATTGGGCTTCTAAGGTTCGACAGCGCATCCTGACAAATGTTCCAGGAGCGGGAGCTCTAGATGTAGATCCTAATGAGGATGAACCGGGAGTGCTTTATACCTTCCTCATCCTTTGCATCACATGCACTGGCATCTTGTATCAGACAATTTCGGGAGAAATGATGGGAAGTCAAGGACAAGTGTCTGCCCAGTGCACTGAAGCAGAGCAATTGGTCATGGGATCAGGCTACTTGACAGAGTGCTTCATAAATGGAAATGGGCCGTTCCTATGATTCTTTGAATAGCACAATTTTGGGATTGTAAAAATGCTCCTAGTTTTCAAATTGTTTCAGATATCAAATGATAGAGAATCTATCTTGCTGTACGGTGAAGTGGGTACATGCGACATTTCTAATAGATATTTTCCGACTAAGCTATAGATACAATGTAGTTTTATATTGTGGAAGTAGTATTTGCATAGTCTCTTGGGCCAATTTCCCGCCCATTACCCCTGCAAGACTTAGCAATTGAAAACGACATCAACAGAATGCCTTCGAGCCATCTTGTTGCCGCTCTCATCAGTCAAACCACTGAGTTCATCATCTTCAAGCGAGGGCGAATGCACTCGGTACCAGCCTTGTTGCCGGAAATGACGACGGATGTCGGCCCACGATTGCTTACGGAGGCCGCTAGCAGCAATATCAGGGCTGTCCTTGTAGGCAACTGTGATTAGATTTCCACAGGCGGTCTCGACCTTGCGCTCGTATCTCTTGATCACCTTTGAAAGCGACTCAATTTGCTCCACAATGGTCGAAGTCAACATGCTCTCTGCCGCTGTCGTTGCAGTTGCATCGGACGGCTTCGAGAATTTCGATTTTGTCTTCTCAGCCATTGCGCGACAGAACTCCTCCCCTTCGAGTTCCCACTTTAGTCGATTCATGGTCGCTTGCTGGAAGAGCTGATCACCCAGCATGTGCCAGCAGTCTGTTTCGGCGCCACGTTCACTCATTGGAAGCACGATGTCATCAAACTTCTTGAGTTGTTTCGCATGCCAACCATCTGATGGGTCTTCGGAGATGCGGCCTTCTAAGAAAGCTAGGAAGTCCTCCAAAAATTCGCGCTCATTCCAATCCAAAAAGATGCCCCATTCTTGGAAGTGATGGCCAACAGAAGATACTTGGAGAATGTGCTCCATGATTAGTGTCGACTTGGTGTTCGCGTCAGACGAGGCCTTTGTCCAGCGCCTCTTACGAAGCGCTTTCAAGACAGGATCTGACAAGTCGGTTGCCATCACTCCATTGACCATCAACTCACGAAGTCTCTTGCATTCTGCAACGGAAGATCCAAACAAGAACTCGCGAAGATTCTGGTGTTCGTCAGCCATGAAAATATTCCAGGCGGTATCGACAGCGTTCTGCTCAGAAATGCTCTTGTTGCTGTACTTCTCAGCCAACTGTGGGTTTTCAACCTTCAGACGAGCATTGGACACACCAGTGTGCCCAATATCATGTACCAACGCAGATAGGACAATAGCGAATCGAACTAGTGGGTCGAATGCAACAGGGTGCTCTTCGTCTGAATGCTTCTGCAAACTTTGCACGAGCAAGTGCGCAATATGAGCAACGTGGCTCGCGTGATGAAAGTTGCGGAATTCATTTCTTCCATGGCTGTTTGCGACGGAAAGCACAAAGTCGCGTAACTCTTCCAGAACTCTAGTTGGAACAAGATCATCAGCACCGCTTTCTTCAGATTGCTGTTCATTGCCACCCTTGTTGACTTCGAGGGAAAGACGCATCTCTTCATACGGAGTCCGGGTTTTCTTCATGCTATCCCAGTCAACTTCACCCACGGTTCCATCTTCAGCACGATTGGCCGCTATGTCAAGCATTAGAGACTCCAAAATGTTCAAGTTCGAAGATACCAGATCGGAATTGTATGCCCAGGGCTGTGCTTTCACCTTGGCTTGAGGAATCAGACTGGATGATATTTCTTCTCTGCCATCTCTCATCCACAAGGCCAAGTTATTGGTGCAGGTAAATCGAAGCCAAGTATTTTGCGGAAGCAAAGTCTCCATGCGACCCACAAGAGGCTCGATGGTATTTTGGAATACCATGCACTGTTCTCGATGCCAATCCTTTCGAGGATCTGCCAATTTTCGATCGTGTTCGAAGCAATGAAGTTGAGCCATGAGTTGCAAATGGTTCCAATGCAGGAACAAATCATGAGACTGGCAGTAGTGACCTACTGTAGCAAATGCAACAATCATTTCGAGAACAGGATCGCTTTCGCCGTGGGTTGAACGGACTCGAACATTTGGTTTTTCTTTGTTGGAGTCAAATCTTTCGAGCATGACCTTGAACTTGCTTTCAACTTCAACAGCCACTGAAACGACAGCCAACTTCTTCACTCCTCGACGGAAAGTAGGGCAACCGAGGAAGATCTCGTCATACAGCTGCACAAAATCATCCTCAAGAATCTCAAGCGCCGAATCTAAAGACCTCCTTTGGTGGTAAGCACCCTTGCCCTTATAATGCGAAACATAATAGTGATTTTCTTGCTCCAGCTGCTCGTCAGAAATCTCATTGTGATGAATGTCTCGAACAAAAATGGCAAAAACAATCATGAAAACATCCCATGGGTCTTTCTTTCGGACTTCGGCACGGCGTTCCATCAAAAAGGCTGCACGAAGCATAACTTCAGCGCTGTACCGCAAAGTGTGGTAGATGCTATCGGGGTTGTAGAGGCCAACGATGGAGTACACGTATGCTCGTAACTGATCTTCAATCACCTTGAGTCGTCTCCCCCCTTTGTCGATGCACTTCTTCAATGTCGAGAAAAGGATTTCGAAAACATGGTCAACCAACTCTTCTTGGGAAACCATACTATCATAACGCAGCTCTCTCCATTCTTGAGCATGCTTGGGCAGGTGGTCTCCGAAGTCAATGATTGTTTCTTCCTGTCCGTCAACCTGCGAATTCTTTCTAACCGCAGTCTCAACGAAGCTCGTACGACTATCAACTGATGCTGCCCCACTTGCAACACTGCTAACGACTGAAAGTCCGGAGCCTACTGAAACGGAAGCCGAAGAAGCGCGATTCGACTCGTCAAAGTTGGCAGCCTGTTCTTGGAAATACTTCCTCATCTTCCACTTCTTGGCGGAGATTCTTTTCCTCACTTTGTTTGACAATGTCAGAAGGGAACCTGGATTGGCAAAGTGGTTGTTTTCGGTTCCCTTTTCGAGCCAGTGGGTAAGGTGTTCACCCTTTCCTTTCATATCAACCAGTCCTCTTGCCTTGAAGCGATACTGTTGTGCACCAGCAGGTGATCGTGATCGCAGAAGCTCGTACAAATCATTCGAGCAATGAATTCTGCCAGCAGCACCACTTGTTTCGTGACGGGCTGTGAAGTTCACCATGTCTCCAAAGAGACAATAATGGGGCGTCAATGTTCCGACAACACCAGCCGTACAGTGCCCCGTGTGGATACCAATACGTAGCTTGATGGGTTCACCCGTAAGTGGTGACTTCACATGCTTGGAGCATTCCACAACAGCCAATGCAAAATTGGCAATTTTTTCACCATGGAATTCGTCCGCTTCAGGCAATCCAGACGCACAGACATAGGCATCACCGACTGTTTCGACCTTGTAGAGCTTGAATCGATCCACGAGGAAATCCATGACAGAATAAAGTTGGTTCATCATGTCAATGACATCCCATGGTTGGATTTGATCACAGAGCGTTGTGAAGCCTTCGATATCGGAAAAGAAAAGTGTCACATTCCCAAAATACCGCGGCTCCACAGTTTTCCCCTGTCGAAGATCATCCGCGACATTCTTTGGCAGCATATTGTACAGCAAGGTTTCCGACAGTTTCTGTGTGCGTGCAATATATTATGGTAAGAACCTGAGTAGAAGAAAATGAAAAGGGTATACAACTCGTCCACGAAACGTACCTGCTCTGCTTTCAAGTCTTTACTCAATTTGTCCAATGCATGTGTTTTACCAGCCTCTCGAGACACGTATTCTCCCAAGAACACAGCATCTCGCTCGGATGTCACGTCGGATAGCTCGGAAAGTGTGAGCCCGGTTTCTTGCAGACTTTCGATGTCCCTAACATTTGGTCGCAAGGAAATCATGACGAGTTGTGACGAGAGGGTCAACAGCGAGGCTTTGAAATCTATTTTGGCATTTTGTGATGTTTTCACGGCATCGACGATTGGCTCCAAGAAGAAGCTTTGATCCCAAAATCGATTCATAGAGCTCCATTCCCAGTCAAAGGCCATTTCTGGAAGAATGACCTTAAAGACATCCTTGATATGTTTACCGCAGATATCTGCTTGGTCGGTCCTTAGGACTTGTGGCAGTTTGTAGCCAACTTGAGTGATGCAGAAATCACGATTCACCACCACGTGGAATGGGAAAACGTGTTTCAGTCTCTTGACGCTAAGCGCTTCTTCGCTGCCAGTATTGTTGGCTGGGACTACTTGCGTATCGGCAGTGAATGGGCACGGTTCGTCGGGCATTTCGTCAAGTTGTGCGAAACTCAACTTTCTGGTCATTCCACCCCTTCGGTTGGGTGCACTTGGTGTGACCTTCCAGCTGTCCTTAGGATCAGCAGCCTTGATCATCCACGTGGAATATTGAGCGTCACCGCTGTTCTGAAGACCCAGAATCTCCATTTTAATGTCTAGTTCAAAGTGAAGGGTTGCAAGTTCTTCAACAACTCCTACCACGAATGGGACGAAAGCATTGCCCCGAGGGTTGTAGTAGTGTAACAGGATGGCTCCTTTCTCTTCTTTGTAATCTTCACACCAGAAAACAGGAGGACTTGACCCATCTCCTTTAGGGAAACTTCTTTGAAAGTGATCAAACGTGGCGTTGATATTGGATAGCCATTGTTTCAGAGTGGCACCGTTATTCCTCAGTATGCTTCCATATACGCTATTGAATAGATATGATACAGTGTAGTTACCAAAGCTTCTGAGGATCTTGTCTGTAGCTTTGTCCAAATAGAGCGATGCTGCCTTTATCAGCTTGACCAGCAGTTTGAAGTCGTATGTGGCACGGGTGAGGAAGGCTTCCACTTCGCAACGAGCCTTCTTCTTTGTAGAGCGCCAAGCATCGCTACCATAGTCATCGACGATCCAGGCTTCGAATATCTCGAATGCTAGACCATACATGGTATTGATGTTTGTTTTGTTTTGTTTTGTTGTTGTTGTTGTTGTTGAAATGGGTTAGTGTAACCGGTTGTCAGGTACTCGTACCATACGGTAGGACAAAAATTCCATGAAAAGACTTCTTTGCCTGGTCAATCGGATGTTTATTGATCGGCCCAACAGCATTGTGTTGCCCGGTGCACACGTTCTTTATGACTTTTTCATTCGTATCGAAGGTCATACCAAATTCGCTACCTTGGAAGTTGAACGGAGAATGGCGGAAAGTACACATTAAAACGTCACAACATTAATTTACCATGCTAGTCCGAAGGGCCATCCACGTCAAGGGAAAACATAATGACATTTCTACACGGGCTTATTTATGAAGCAGCTTCATAAACAGGCCAAATGTCCCCAGTTCGATTTAGCCAGACAAAACCAGACTGGTGAGAAATGTCAGAAACTCGAATTAGCAAACGAAAGCTTTTGTTTCAAATTCTTGCGTACCAGGTGCTCTGGTACCCCCTGGTTGTACCCTACGGTAACACATTTTACCCGTTGTGAATTGGTGTTGAAGTCGATCTTTGTAGAGTTCACCATTTATCCAACAGAGGGAGCAGGGCTCTCGCTCTTCGTCAAAGAGATCTTGCTTGTGCATCTTTTGCTAGGTGTGCAATTGACTTGGGGTGTATTCATGACCAATCGCAAGAAGAGTAGTTAACTGTACGGTTCGATTTTCTTTTGCGAAAGTAGTAGAGTGGTGTTTTTACAAAGGCATTGCAGTGTTGTAGTACAGTAGGACTATTTCTTGAATCCGTACAAAGTTGGCAGTCCCACACAATTCCCATTGCTCAATAAACAATCCTAGTCAACTTGAATCTCGTTAGTGTGATCCCTGCACTTTCCTACTCCCTTGCTGAAACAATAGCAACACCCGTACTCTCAATCGTCGTCCATTGGATCCCTCCGATTTGAGACTGCAGACAGCTGTCAGAATTCAACTTTATGGCGGACGATGGACATACGGGTAGGATGAAAACCCGTCAGACGGGAGAAATAAACTGCGCGGAATTTGCGCATGTGAAATGAGCTCCAAATAAAAAGGGCACAGCTGAAGACGAAGGAAATCTTCGAGACGACATGATATACCGGTATATTATTGGTAGAACAACGAAGCATCCAAAAGCTACACAAGACATAGATCACGACCCAAGAGAGTAGATAGATCTTAATTGAGGAAGGAAACATGGCAGACAATCGAGGGATGATGGAAGGTATTGGAGGACCAGTTCGAATGGATCAGTATTCTCTGAATGGCATTGATCCTGCCTTGGACGCTTGTTGTCAACGAGAGGTAAGTCATTATTTCACCCACGGCTCAAGGATGATGTCCTTTGTTTACTGTATGTTTGTCTATGCACTGGTATGTGTGTCACTCATCGAATAATCGCTTTACGGATTCATTCTTCAGTTGGAATCCAACCGCAAATACAACGCTCTAACAAGTACGTTGCAACGACATGATCGCATTGCCACAGCAGAAGAACGTCGTCGACATGCGCGGAATTTGGTCAAGACTTCCAATTTTGAAGGATGTCGATGCTGTTATGATCCTAATAGTGATGGAGGAGGCGATTACCGTGCCTTGATTGAGTACAAACAGCTAAAGCGACAAGATGAAGACCAAGTGCAAGCACAGGACGAGGATGCTTACGGCATGTCCTTGCGTGAGAAAGCCCCAACTTCTGTACCTGATAGACCTACTGAAAGTGAAACTGACAGTGATGATGATAGTGATTTTGACTATTTACTGGATGATGACGATTTGCCGGGAGCCAGTGCCAACAAGCAATGGGAAGAAGCCCGCAAAGCAGAGTTGGAATATCAGATATGGAGCAATCAAGTGGCTATGCAACACGGGTTTGGAGTACACCGACAGCATCACCCAGCACGAGTCCTCAAAGTAGCTGGAATCAAGGGACCCAAAGAGGTATCCTCTGCCAATGCACGGCAGCCACCTCCAGCTGTGGTTTTGCACCTGCTGGACGCGGACGCCTTGTCGAGTGCGTCATTGGATTACTACCTTGAAAACACATTGGCACCAGCCAACATGTAAGTTCAATGCAACCGTCATCTTGTTTGTCTAATCCGAGTTCAAGATACTCATTGTATGCATTCTATCTTTCAAGGGGGACCATGTTTTTGCGAGCTCCTGGACGGGGGGCACTCCAATGGAACGCTGACTCGCCAAGAATGAAGGGTACACTGATTGGACAATTGGAACCCGATCGGGATTTGCCATGTTTGATTGCCATTCGAGATGGTGTCGTCGTAAATGTCTGCCCAAACTTGCGTGAATTCTCCCACAGTCGAGATGGGGAAGGGGAAATCGAGTCTCATGCGGTGGAGCGGTGGTTGAATCAAACTGGAGTTTTGATTGCTCGTGCGCCGCCTGTTGAAACCTTGTGTTATGTCCGACCCGAAGAAGATGCTTTGAACTCGTATTTGGGAGCTAATACCAACATCAGTAGCAAGAAGGCCGCCAGTGAAAAAGCGGAGATTGACTATTATTGCTGTGGTCTTGAGGGATGCCAAAAGACCTTTTACCACGAGCACGTTGGTGTGGAAACATCCGAACAATCTGGATTGGTGGTGAAAGAAGAGACTGTGTTGGAAACTGAGAATTAGAAGAAATGCCCACATTATCCAAAATGGCAAAAGATTCCGTTCAAGAGGAGACTGCTGATACGATTCAATGTTCATCAGAGGCCCAAAGTTATGAGTGTAGGACGATATATGCGAAATGTAAATAAATCTAAATTGTGGCCGCCTCTATTTCTATAGCAACCATTTACAAAACTTGATTTGAAATTGGGTACATGATTGCCGGCATGAGAATGCAAAGTTCGCTTATTGATGCAAACAGGTATGTGAATCATAGCGGGTCGAATCTGAACCGTTCGACTTGCGAACTTTTTCGCAGGGTGGCGAAAACTTATTTATGAAAGTGACTGCAATTGGTGATGGTTTGCAATTCATTGAAAAATGCCTGCTGTCCTTTCGAGGAATCACTTAGCAATCAACGACAGTACCATCCTTTACCGGTCTGGAATACATCTCAGGCCTGTCATCATCGTCATCCGTTGTTTTTGAGTGCACTCGGTACCAGCCTTGTTGTTTGAAATGCTGATGAATTTCGGACCACGATTTGGTACGAAGCCCTTTGGTTGCCTGGCTGGAATGATCATTGTAAGCTACAGTGATCAGATTTCCGCAAGCAGTTTCTGCCTTCCGCTCATATCGCTTGATAACTTTCGAAAGCGACTCGATCTGTTCCACGATGGTTGATGTCAGGATGCTCTCTGCAGCTGTGCTTGCCGTTGCGTCGGATGGCTTTGAGAAACGGGCTTTGGTTTTCTGAATTAAAGAGTCGCAGATGCTTCTGCCTTCAAGTTCCCACTTCAGGCGATTCCTAGTTGCTTGCTGGAATAGCTGATCACCAAGAATATCCCAGACTCCAGTTTCGGTTCCAGTTTCTGTCAATGGGAGAACGAAATCATCGAAGAACTTGAGCTGATCTTCGTACCAGGTTTCGGAAGGGTCCTTTTTGGAACGTTCCTCCAAAAAGGCAAGATAGGATTCCCAAAACTGCTTTTCATTCCATTCCAAAAAGATTTCCCATACCTGAATAGAATGACTCACAGTGGAGATTTGAAGGATGTGCTCCATAATCAGTGTCGCTTTTGTAAACTTGCAAGTCGAAGCCTTAAACCAACGCCTCTTTCGCAGTGCTTTCAGAACGGGATTCTCAAGGTCAGTGGCCAATATTCCGTTGACCATCAAGTCGCGAAGCTTCTTGCAATCTGCGACAGAAGATCCAAACATGAACTCTCGAAGATTCTGGAAATCGTCGGACATGAAAATTCTCCAGGTCATATCAATGGCATTCTGTTCGGCAATGCTTTTGTTGCTATACTTGGCTGCGAGTTCGGGATTTTCCACTTTAAGACGACTGTTTGGCACGCCAGTGTGTCCAACATCATGAACTAATGCGGATAGCACAACTGCAAACCGAACAAGTGGATCGAACGTAATCTTTCGATTTTCATCCGACTCTGTCTCCAGACTTTGGAGGAGTAGATCAGCAATGTGGGCAGCATGGCTTGCATGGTGGAAGTTATGGAATTCATTTCGACCATGACCATTTGAAATCGCCAGCATAAAGTCCCGCAGCTCTTCTTGAACCCTAGCAGGAAGGTCATCATGATTTAATGGGTCGATTCTCACTCGATTGTCGACTCTGCCGACGTCAAGTGATAGACGCATCTCTTCGTACGGAGTGCGAGTTTTCTTCAGGCTCTCCCAATCAACTTCCCCTACAGTGCCATCTTCTCCACGACTGGCAGCAATTTCGGCCAAAAGAGTCTCCAAAATCGACAGATTTGAAGATATCATGTCAGAATTGTGTGCCCACGGAGCTGCAGTGACCCTGGCTTCAGGAATCAAACTGGACGAGACCCACTCTCTTCCGTCTCTCTCCCACAAAGACAAATTATTCGTGAAACCAAATCGAAGCCAGGAATTTTGTGGTAGAAGCTTCTCAACACGGGCGACTATCGGTTCGATGGTATTTTTGAAGATCAAGGTTTGTTCCTTGTGCCAGCTTTTGCAAGGATCTGTTGATCGTTTATCATTTTCGAAGCAATGTAGCTGCGACATCAGTTGCAATTGATTCCAATGCAGGAACAAATCATGAGATTGGCAGTAGTGGCCCATCGTAGCAAGTGCAAGAAACATCGCTAGAACGTCGTCACTTTCATGTTGAACTGTTCGGACTCGAGCACTTGGTTTGTCTTGATGGGAATCAAATCTTGATAGCATTCCCTTGAGCCTGCTTTCGCTTTCAATCTCTGCGGAAGCCACAGCCAACTTCTTCACTCCTCGGCGGAAAGTTGGGCATCCTAGAAAGATTTCGTCGTAGAGCTGCTGAAAGTCGTCCTCAAGAATTTCAAGTGCCGCATCCAAAGACCTCCTTTGCTGATAGGCACCTTTGCCTCTGTAATGTGAGACGAGATAGTGGCGTTCATGCTCCAATTGGTCATCTGAAATATCTAAGTGGTGGATGTCACGCACAAAGATGGCGAATACCATCATAAAAACATCCCATGGATCCTTCTTCTCGACTTCCGATCGGCGGTCCATCAAAAATGCCGCCCGGTTCATTGCTTCAGCGGCGTAGCGCAAGCTGTGGTAAACGCTGTCACTGTTGTAGAGGTCGACAATGGCTTGTACATATGACCTAAGCTGATCCTTGATAATCTTGAGTCGTCTCCCGCCCTTTTCGATGCATTTGTTCAGTTTCGAAAAAAGTATACCAAAAATCTCAGAGACCAAATCATCTTCTGGGAGGAAGATATCAAAGTGGAGCTCTCTCCATTCTTGGGCATCCTTTGGCAGCTCCTCGGAATAATTCAGGATGTTTTCGTGCTGTATTTCAGCCCCCTTTTGCTCTTGATTATCATTGTCATTGAAACTAGTCCGACTATTCAGTGTGATGGAATTTGTCCCTTCACTCGCCACACTACTCATGCACGAAGGATCACCAGAGTGAATGGATAAATCAAGCGATCTGCTGCTTTTTTGTGGCTGCTGTTTTTGGAAGTATTTCCTCATCTTCCACTTTTTGGACGATATTCTTTTCCTTACTTTGTTGGAGAGTGTCAGCAAGGAACCGGGATTTGCAGCATAGTTATTCTCTGTACCACGCTCAAGCCAATGAGTAAGATATTCTCCTTTCCCCTTCATGTCGACCAGTCCTCGTGGTTTGAAGCGATACTGTTGTGCACCAGCCGGCGACCGCGACTTCAAGAGTTCATGCAGATCATTGGAACAATGAATTCTGCCTGGCGTACCGCTTGTTTCATGTCGAGCTGTGAAATTCACCATATCTCCAAAGAGACAGTAGTGAGGCGTCAATGTTCCGACAACTCCAGCCGTACAACTTCCTGTGTGGATACCAATTCTAAGTTTGACTGCTTCTCCTGTCAGCGGTGACTTGACATGTTTGGTGCATTCCAAGACAGCCAACGCGAAGTTGGCAATTCTTTCCCCATGAGATTCGTCCTCTTCCGGCAGTCCAGACGCACAGACATATGCATCACCGACTGTTTCAACTTTATACAATTTGAAGTGCTTGGCAAGGAAATCCATGACAGAATAGAGCTGGTTCATCATATCAATGACATCCCAAGGTTGAATTTGATCACAGAGCGACGTAAAGCCTTCTACATCAGAGAAGAAAAGCGTGACATGTTCGTAGTACCTCGGTTCCACCGTCTTCCCATTTCGAAGGTCTCTGGCAACGTTTTTGGGAAGCAAGTTATACAGTAGTGTTTCCGACAGTTTCTATAGTGTGCGCAAGCAACGGTGAGCATCCAAGAAGGATAAGGCAACGGCATGCAATTCATCAATGAAACGTACCTGTTCTGCTCTAAGGTCTCTGCTTAACCTCTCTAGTGCGAGTGTTTTCCCCGCCTCCCTCGATACATATTCTCCCAAGAACACAGCATCTCGTTCGGATGTAACATTCGACATGTCTGAAAGTGTCAATCCCCTTCGTTTTAGATTATCAATCTCCCTCATATTGGGTCGCAAGGAGAACATGACGAGTTGCGTTGACAGAGTCAGCAAAGATGAATTGAAGAGTATATCTGTGTCCTCGTGCACTGATTGTAACCCATCGGTAATTGGCTTCATGAGGAAGGTTTGATCCCATAACTTATCCAAAACATTCCAGTCCCAACCAAATGCCATTTTTGGTCGCAATACTTCAAAAAGTTCTCTAATGTGCGTGCCGCAAAGTTCTGAAGGACTTGTCTTTAAAACAACTGGCAGCTTGGATCCAACTTGAACAACGGTAAAGTCTCGATCCACCACCACGTGAAAAGGAAAGACCTGCCTAAGTCTGTTTACTGTGAGTGCTTCATTGCTTCCGATATTTGATCTAGGTTCGGTTGTAGGGCGAGTTGTCACAGCGTGGTTTCCGTCATTTTCGACGAATGGGCACCCCACGACGGGAAGATCGTTGTCGGTCAAGCCTAATAGCCTATCCATGTTGCTCGTTTCTTTTGGTACACTGGGCGTGATCTTCCAATTATGCGTTGGATCAGCAGCCTTGATCATCCAAGTGGAATATTTGGCATCACCGCTGTTCTGAAGGTTTAGCAGTTCCATCTTGATGTCAATATCAAAGTGAAAAGTCGCCAACTCTTCCAAAAACCCGACCACGAATGGGACAAAAGCATTGCCTCGTGGGTTGTAGTGATGGAGTAATATTGAACCCTCTTCTTCCTTGCGTTCTTCACACCAGAAAACGGGACTGCTGCTCTGGTCTTTTTCTTTCGGAAAACTTCGCTGGAAGTGGTCTATAGAAGTGTTGATATTTGCCAGCCATTGTTGCATTGTCGACCCTTGACTCCTCAAAATTGAACCGTATTCACTGGCAAAGAGGTAGCCGACAATGTAGTTGCCAAAATTTCTGAGGATTTTATCGGCTGGCTTCTCGAGGTACAAGGAGAGTGATTTTAAAAGCCGCACAAACAGCTTGTATTCATAGGAAGTCCGGGATACAAATCCTTTGTCTTCTGCATTGCATCGAGCTTTCTTTTTAGTAGCATGCCAAGTGTCGACACCATGTTCATCAAGCACCCAGGCTTCAAGAGCTTCAAAGGCCAATCCGTACATGGTAGAAAGAAGGAATTGGCGATGAGTGTTTTATGCTGATATGCTGTACGGTAGATAGAAGTTTGGTGTTGGTCTTTTTTCAAATGAAATGCCGTCTGTGGTCGGTTTCGAAAGTTATTGGGACACATCACCACTGACTGGTCCTTTATTTGTGTGGTCTTTTCGATGTTCTTTTCCCCGTGGCGAAATCCCATTGTTTTAAGGGAAGTGCAGCCTTATGGCAAACAAGCCAGCTTTTTCTCTTTTATCAGCGGGAAAAGACGATTACACCAGTCGCAAGAGCGAAAAAAAGGAGAAGACATTTGTATCAATTTGCGCAGGTTCGCTCGGTCAGAATGTCACTTATGGGAATGCAGGAATCTGTTGTGATAATTACGCCACTGACACAATCGATACCCTGTAAATGCTGTTTCTGTGGAGGCGAATCATGCGTTTCTCATTACAAAATATCACGACCATAACGATTGTTGCTTGAAAGCTTCCCGAGAACGTCAAAACAAGCGAGTCGCAAATGTCTCTATAGTGTACCTACAGTATAGTTCTGTGGCTATCTTTCCGTCGGAATTTTGCGAGATTTGGTACGACTGAAGTGCTTGAGATTACGGTTACATAATATTGTATTGTACACTGTAACCCTTTTCGAATATTGTGCTATTTCTACAAACACAACTTGCTGCCTTCCACCAGAGCATCACGCGGAATCTCTGCAGTCGCCCTTTTTTTATAAATTCTTCATGGTTCGGGAGTGTTGAAATTGCATCCCACCAGTTCTCCTTTCGACGTGTCGTTGAATGCATTGTCCCCTGATGGAAGTTATAACGCAAACGTCGTCGAGTGAGCCATCAGATTTCTTTTTGTTTCTTTCAAATAATAAGCATTGGACAACCGCCACCCTATTTGTCACTTACACAATTCACAAAACCAAATGCTGGCATTTCCTGCAAAGAAAGGCACGTCCCCAGTCAACAAGTTTCCGTCTTGAAGCCCAAAAGAAAAAGAGAGAAAAGTGTCAGTATGCAGAATGTCGCAAAAATCTTGTGGATATTATAAAACAATGACACCACGGATGGATATATATATGTATATGACTTACACAATCCGATGCTTCTGAGGGTCGTCAAGTTGCCGACTTCGACAGGAATCGATCCTTCCAAAGCGTTATTATCTGAATATATATTATATTCAATATGTATAATATATACATACCGTGTATACGATTATCGATGCAAAAAAGTGAGCTGGACCAAAGTCGCCAACCAAAAGGAAAATGTCGTCAAGGCGTGCGTGCCACATGAAATGAAACTTACACAAGTCCAAGGACGTGAGGGAAGACATCAAACCAATCTCGGAGGGTATGAAACCTTGGAGTTCGTTTTCGGAAATGGCAAGCTCCCTGACAGCGGTGAGAGCACCAATTTCCGTTGGGATGCTTGTGAATTTGTTGATATCTGCATAGTAGTACCGTATGCCGAAAGGACCAAACCAAAACGTGGTGAGATGGAAGGGAATGCTAGAGTTATTGGCGGTAGGTCGCAAAAACAACAAGAGAAAACGTACCAAAATTAAGGTTTTCAAGATTTGTCAACCTTCCGATGGAGGTCGGAATAGGTCCAGTTAGACCATTGCCGGCTGTATTCCCAATAGGAAAGAAAACAGAAGGACAGTTAGATTCCGAGCATTGATTCATTCATCGAATTATTCTAATCCAATCCACAATCCAATCCGAGCTTGTTCCCACCAAAAAGGGATAAGAAGGAAGAAAGGGAGAAAAGAAAAAAAACGTACCCAGATACAACTTCTCCAAGCTCGTAAGATTCCCAAATTCCGTTGGCAAACTCCCCACCAATCGATTGTTATCGAGATAGAGCTCACGTAGATCACTCAAATTTCCAAGTGTGGATGGAATGGTCCCAGAGACCACGCAATCAACTGTGAGACGGATTTTTTTTGTGTGGGGTATCAGACATGAGAAAAAAAGAGTTAGGAGAATACATGAATAGTATACGTATTGGAAACGCATATCCTCCAATCATTTTTCATGGTGGTTGTTGTTGTTGTTGTTGTTGTTGTTGTTGTTATATATACGTACAAAGGTTCAGGCTGGTAAGCTCCGTGAGAAGACCAAGTTCGGTAGGGATGGTACTTTTGAATCCATTGATGCCTGCAGTAAGTATGGTAGGATCAGAATAATAATAATAATAACAACAACAATTTGGATCACCATCGTGTGTGTGTGAGTGTGAGAGATGCGTTTGTTGTACAGTATACAGTAGTATGGCAATCATGATAGCAGTAGCAGCAGTATAGCAGCTCCATTGGACCACCACAAGGCAGCTATATAAAAAATATATAGCTATACCGTACTTACGTAGATTCAGTCTCCGAATTTTGGTCAATTGCCCAATCAAGGTCGGGATGGTTCCCGAAATGTCATTGTTGGCAATCCATAAATCTGCCGTCAACCAGTCATTGCAAACTCCACCCCACCATCCACAAGCGGCACGATCCGACAACAACCATTCTTCCGCCCAGGCCCAGTCCGTATCGCCGTTGGTATCATAAAAGAAGACCGTCATGACATACCGTTCCTTCCACACTTGCAGTGCCAAATCCGGGTCGAGAGACAGAGGTGGTTCCCAGGTATCTTCTTCCGCCAACCATTCCATGGCCCGTGGATGAAGCGGTGCAAAAAAATCATTTGTGAGCATGGCCTCCAAATCGATCCGTCTGGCGCTGGTGGGTACGATCGAGGGAGTGTGGGACGGCTCCAAACTGGGTTGCTGCGACATTGTGGGCGCCGCCAACGTGGTGGGAGACGCCGTGGGTGCCACCATCACGACAGTAGTATTGCCGTCACGTTTACCACCAATAAGGGTGACACCCAAAATGATTCCGACGAGCAAGACAATGGCAATGATGGAATACATCAAAATACGTTTTTGCGAACAACACTTGTTATCATAATCGTTGGCAACCATGGCCACTGGAATATCACTGGGTGGCGATGACGTTGTTGTTGCTGTTGCTGTTGTTGTTGTTGTTGCTGTTGTTGTTCTAGCAGCATCCTTGGATTGTTCTCGATCATTTGTATTTTGTTGTTCCAAATCCAAAACACGTTGTCGTAATTCTTGCAATTCTTCATCTTCCTCGACACTGGTCGCCGTCACTTCCATGGTGTTATTGGGGGTATCATTCGTTGGAGATTGTTGTTGTTGTTGTTGTTGTATGGTCGTCGTCGTCGTAGTTGCATCCTCATTTGGAGTTTGATACGACACTCGTACAGCTCCCGGTCGTTCGTCGTCTTCCTCCTGAATAGCATCATTATCATTATCTTCATCATTATCATTATCATTATGATCTTCCGTTGCCTGGCGTGCCTCCAATTCTCTCATTTTCTCTTCCAATGCCTGTCGAGACGTACTTGGTCGATTGGCCGAGGGTTCCAATTGTCGTACTGTGGGACTATTAGTACCAAGAATCGTTTTGTCCCGGACTCGACCATGATGATTCTGATGAATATTGTTGCTGTTGTTGTTGTTGTTGTTGTTGTTACCATTCGACAATCGACTTTCGACCGACGTGCGAGGAGCAGTTCTAGGACTCATCAATGACATCTTTTCGTCCAAGGCGGCTTGAGAACGAACCGAAGCACGGGCCGAGACTCGAGACGTGGAGGATGGTGATGATGATGTTGTTGTTGTTTTGGTTGCTGCGGTGGTGGTGGAAGCATCTTCGGCGGTTGTGGTGTTTGTGGTGTTTGTTGCCGTTGTTTCCTTCTTGGTCGTGTCGGACGTTGCGGCTGCCTGTTCCAGTTTCGCTCGGACTCGATGATTGGTATGGTGGTGGTTGCCATGATTGGTGGACAACAATCGAGTTTCCACAGAGGTGCGTGGAGTGGTACGGGGATTCGCCAAGGACCTCTTTTCCTCCAAGGCCGCTTGGGAACGACCGGAAGCACGGGCCGAGACGCGAGATGGCGCCAAGGAGGAGGAGGAAGAAGAAGAAGATGGGGCAGTGACTACTACTGATGATGATGATGATGATTCAGCAGCGACGTCTTTTAAAGTTGTGTTGGTATCGTCAACGGCCCTACTGGTACCGGTACCGGTAGCCTCTTGTTGTTCGTCTGCCATGATGGGAAGAAAGAGTGTATGTTTGTTGGAACGGTACTGGTACTGGTACTGGTACTGGTGCTGGTACTGTTATAACGAGATGCAGTACTGTAGATATTCTTATTGTCAACTGACAGCAAGAGATGTGATGTGTGTCCAAGTGGTGTGCTTTTATTGCGTGTGCATGGTGACAAAAAGATCGCTCGGACGCAGAACCTCCTCTCATCTCAGAAACCATTAATAAAAATAATCGCATCGCAGCACGGAGGCTTTTTTTGAGCAGAACCTTCTTCAGTCACGAAGAACGCAGGACTGATGACTGATGTCTCACGGTAGACAGACAGACATGACAGAAGTATCTATGATCCTGTTCGCATCCAAAATTCTCTTCTCTTCGTCATCGTTGTACTCTATTATAATACTGTACCGGTAGCGCACCTCTTGTATAAAATACTTGCTATCCGCTTACCACAATACAACCACTTTTCCAACCATGACTCGCCAACCCTCCTTGCACCACCTTTTCTTGTCATGTCTGTCGATGTATCTTCTTCTTCTTCTTCTTCTGCCCAAAAATAGCCTTGCATTCAGCACAGCTGTTGGTGGTGGTGGTCATTTGTCATCGTCTTGGACGTCTCGTCCACATCATGCTTCTTCTTCTTGGTCTTCTTCTTCCACCACTACTACCACACAATTACAATTTGTTCCTTCTTCGGAGATGCAGCAACAAGGAGAAGAAGAAGAAGAAGAAGATCAACAAACAAAGAATTATGATCATGCTCATGATCCTTCATCTTGTTGGACCATGGCACAAGATTGGGAATTGATCGATCAACTTCCCAAGTTTACGGTAGGTGAAGGAGAGCATTGTCGTACTTTTTGGACGCAAATGGCAGCTTCTACACCATTGTTGGCAACCAAGAGTCCAGACGAATTGTTGGCACGATGTCAATACCTCTTCTTGCAGCAGCAACAACAACAACAACAACAACAACAACAACAACAACAAGAAGAACAACAAGAAGAACAAGAAGATGATGATGGCAATGACGCAACAACAGCAACAACAACAACATCAACGAATCCAGCAGCTATCAATGATCACTCTACCACTACCACTACTGCTACTACTACCATCAGCGGCCTCCGTCGCCCAATTGTCTTTGGTCCATCTCCACCAGTACTTTCCCAATGGAGCATTCTTGATTGGAATCAGCAGCATCATCATCATCATCATCATCGCAAACAACAAGGCAGCAGCAAGGTGGTAGGTCAATTGGTGGATGATTCAAACAATGGTGCAAGAACCATTTGGATGCACTATCATTGCATTGGACGTCTCGATGGTGATCCATTGTTGTCGGATGCTACTACTAGCTCTCCGTCAGTCTTTCAACTGGTATCCGGTGGATATTTGGAGGCAGTTGGTGGTCGTATTTACGAATTGGGAGAAGTTCGAGAACAACAACCAACAGCAGCCGTATTACCGACCAGTCGTACAACAACAGCAACAGCAACATCATCATCATTCATGGAAGACCATCATCCGTCTTCTTCTTCTTCGTATTTCGGCATGCTGGAAGCAATGGATGCAAGGAGGAAAGCAGGTCAAATGACAACAGAACTAGACCTGCTAACCAAACAAGGAGAGTCTTTGGATTGGTTGCTTCCTCCCGTCACCGCATCTGTCTCTGCGTTTTTGGCCTGTACCGTCTTATCGGCCTGCATTGGATATGGGGCTGGATTGTCCATTATTGCCGATGATCATCCTCCTCTTCCTCCTCATTCTACTACTATTCCAGCTACTACTACTACAATGATGACGCCACCAATAAGATCAAGACCTTCTTCTTCTTCTTCTTCTTCTTCCTCCAGCAGCAGCAGCAGCACAACAGCAACAACAACAGCACCATCTCTGGCCGAACAAAGGGCACGGGCCGAATATCGAATCCTCAAAGAACAACGATTGCTGCAACGAGTGGCGGAACGATTGGAACAAGATCAGAACGATTATTTGGAATTGTTGCAACAACAACAACAACAACAACAACAACAGCAACGATAATAATGCATGATGGGAGGTGCTGCTAATGGTGCTAATGGTGCTAATGGTGCTGGTGATCATGGAATCTAGTCATATGATAATAGTAATGTTATAATGTTATACATAACATTATAATCCGGTTTTCTTCTTGGTCCGATACCTACCTACAGTACTGTTCCGGTAGGCTGGAAGGTGCATCTCCAGTGAAGTTAGTCGCGGCAGACTGCCCCTAATATAATATTTTATAAAAAGACGTGACATGTCTGCGACGGCATTTGAAAGAATTGGACGGCTCGAGCGAGTCCGAAATCGGAAGTTGGTCGAGACGGAGAGCGTTCCTTTGTTTTACCGGTATGTTACAATAGTTCGAGACCCTTTTTCCATGGTGGCGTGATGCGCTTTCGTCGAATCGAATGACTTTCCCAAAATATTCAATATACCCGGCAAAAAGCGTTGATAATACCGGTACATAGTAGCTTGCTTGGAAGACTACAGTAATTTGAAAAAGGACACAACACTCGCATCAATAATACAGCTTCTAACAAACAGAGCATGACGCAGCAACAAGAACAAGAGCAACAACAACAACAACAACAATCATAAGAAGAAGAAGAACAACAACAACAAAAACAACAAAAACAACAATAGCAAGATGGCGGATGCCTTCAACGACACCCAACTCCGCACGTTGGCCATCATTCCACACATTACCGGAATCATCTCAACGATTGCGTCTTGTTATGTGCTCCAGGACATTCTCCGAGACCCCAAGAAACGAACGCGGACCTATTGCCGACTCGTCTTTGGAATGGCCGCCATTGATTTCCTCACGTCCCTCATGTACGCCTTTTCGACGTTGCCCATGGAACGAGACGAAGCACCCTATGGAGTCTATGCCTTGGGGAATCATGCCACGTGTTCCACCCAAGCCTTTTTGATTCAGATGGAAATTGCCTCTCCGATCTATCACTTTTATTTGGCATGGTATTACCTGTTGATTCTCAAATATCGATGGCCCGAACGGAAATTCCGAGGATACGAAAAGTATCTCCACGGATTTGCCTTGGTGTTTGCCTTGGCGACGTCGATTATACTGCTGCCGCTGGGCGTGTATGGAGAATTCTTTGTCTGGTGCTGGATTACCAACGTGGAAGGCAATGGATATTATCAATGGTTCTTTTTCTTTGGTCCACTTTGGTTCATCATTCTGGCCTCCTCCGTCGTCATGTACCAAATGTGCGTGCACGTCAAGGCCGAAGAAACCGTCTCCCGCAGGTGGCGGAACAGCATTGTCGATACGAGCAAATTGGGAGAAAAGAAACTCAAGAAAATGACGAGTCGAGTGTTCTGGCAAGCCATGCATTACGAGTTGGCCTTTTATGCGACGTGGACCATTCCTACCATCTCACAGACCCTCTTGCAATTGGCCAATGTCAAACCTTCCTTTGGGATGCAATTGGCCAATGCTATTTTTACACCCTTGGCTGGCTTTTTCAATTTTACCATTTACGTTCGACCCCGATACATCAAGTACATGGAAGACAACAAAAAGGAAATGTGGTGGTATATCTTGTGGAAGGCTATCAAACATTCGGTACCATCCCGAAAGATGAAGGTCGAAATTGTATCCGTCAACTTTGACGATGACGACGACGACGAAAATGAAGATTTTGATCCCACCAATCGAAAGGACGACGACAATGACCTTGGCGGCGGGAACCATACAAATCGTATTGATGACGATGATGATGTCATTTGCGGCAACGACGAGAACGAAACTGAAAACAACAACAAGAAGAGAAAAGGAAGGAAGAACAACCAGCTCCCAACACCTGATACAAAAGCATACGGTATAGACATGTCAGGGTCCATACGAGAGCAAAGCATAAACCATGAAGAATTGAAACACAAAAAGGAAGAACGCAAGACGGAAGAAGGAGAACCAGATTATGGATACGAAGATCCGGATGCTCCTAGCTCAATAATAAATATGCATCCAAGCGGAAGTATGCGACGGCAGAATAGTCATTCCATTATGGTCATGGATTATGAAGAAGACGATGTGGGTGTGATGGATCCAGCCTTGGCCTTGGAACGATTGTTCAATGTGGACACGAAATTGAAAATGATGTCGCTGCCGAAAAAGGGCGGAAAGAAGGTTTACAAGTTGGTCAAAAAGGTCAACAAGGGAGTGAAAAAGAGACGGCGAAGTCTCATGGGAAGCGTGAGTAGTTTGCTGGGTCTGGAAAATCCTCCGTCTGGTTCTCTCAAAGGAGACGACAATGGGCCGTAATGTAATGGGCTGAGGAGAGTCGACGAATGATGACTGACTTTTGATGACGTCCAAAGTCAATAAGTCATGGACACTTTTTTTTTTAAAATGGACAATTTTGAAGGACACTTTTTCTGTTTCAGTTTCATTGGATGATATCTGCAACCTTTTTTGGTGTGTCAATGTAAAATACTACAGTATATTGTATTGTACTACCGATACTGTACCGAAGTTCTATATGTATATACAGAGGCAACTTTTATTGAAAGAAGAAGCTATTATTAATAAAAGTTTTTATGATATATTGCTTGCTTGAATACAAAGAGCTCCATCCTATGTCATAGATTATCCCAGTGGTTGATGCTATCATGCGCTATTGGCTTTCAAGCAGTAAATAAATCGACCCAATATTCATTTCATTTCATGGTACGAGGCACGAGATAGTACTCATCATTTTTAGTCAATACATTTTCAATTAAGTCAATTACCTGTACCAACCCCCAACCGAGGTACCTGTCGAAGAGGTATCAAAATACTGATACAGAATGTAAAAGAGAGTGCTAAACGTCGAGCTATCCATCAAAAACTTGGTTGCCTTGAAGCGTCCCGTCTTTCCCAAGAATAGATTGGTAGCCACATTGAGAAGAATCATCACTTGCCTTGGATGTGTAATCTCTTCAATCTTTTCTTCCATTTCCCTCAAGACGACAGCGAATACCAAAACACCATGATACAGTCCAATAATAAACTTGCGTTTGATGGGATCTTCCCAAAGTGAAAAGGACATGAGGGTGGAATACGCAATGAGGGCCACAAACATGAGCGGAAGTGGAATGGGAAGGGCTACCAACAACCATCCCTTTAGAAAGGCTGCCCATTCGGCATCCGCTTCACTTTTCGGCATGAGTTGTGTGGAAAAAAAGGTCTTGCGCTCGGTAAACTCGGTGAGAGAGTCTCCTATCTCTTGGACCCGTTCCCTCCATCCCAAGAAGGATTTGACGCTGCTGCGTTTTCTCCTTGGAACAACACGCTTGTTTCCTCCTCGAGGAATCTCCAAGACTGTAGAGGGTACTACTAGGCTTTGGGAAACAGCAATGGTTGCTTTTGGGCTGCTTACCAAACCACTGCTACTATCAGAATGTGACAGCGTGGCAGTGGTTGTCGTGCTGAAACTGAGAATAAGAATGCTTAGCAAGCCAAGTAACGAAGATGTTGTTCTCATCATGGTGAAGACTGATTGCTAGTGAAATGAAAGGGATCTATACAGTATGAATGATTCTCAATGGAGCGTAACAGTGCAACTACAAAATACAGTACAGTATTGCCAATGACCAGATGACACCACCCACCTTGCACTTGATCGAGATGCAAGATTTGAAAAATCAAATCGACCATCATGATTGGTTCGTTTTGGAGGGAAAATGGATTAGATGGAGTCCAAAGGGTTTTGACTACGCCGACTAAAGACGCTTATTTGGTGTTATCACTTTTTCAAAATTGAACATAAAATTGCGTTGAAAAAGTTGCAATTGCGAGGTTCGAGCCTATATATTCTTCGCTTACTATAGCCAGTATTGTTTCCTCTCACCATGACACATATTTGCATCGTAACTTTGCCAGATGGTAGCCGTGTGAATATACAAACGGAAGAAGAAGTAAATGAAGTCCTCCGGTCCCACCCAAACTTTCTCTCAAGCACACTCCTGGATCAAATTGCAAGTCTTCGTTCGAATCCGCACAGAAATTCTCGTCAATATTTACAAAGGGAGCTTTTATCAGTCACAGTCTTCTTTCTCAGGGCAGATCCATTGCTTTTTCGGGAGAAAATGCCAGAGGCTGAAATCAAGCGTTGGTTGGAATTTGTCATTGACGAAATCAAAGATATCACCGACAAGCCAGAATGGATTGAGGAACGAGGAACGTTGGACTTGGTTGGCAATTATGCCCTGTGGTCTTGTGATAGCATGTTCTTGCACCAAGTGCCTGTCAATCTAGCTTTTGAAAGCCAATTATTCCAAGCTTTCACTCTTCTCTTGATTGCCCGGAAAGGAAGAACTACCAACGCAGTGCCATCCGATCATGTTTGTAACTTCATCATTTCCATGGTATCCTGCGCTTTTCATACAGGCACAACGACATTGTCCTGGTCCAAAAAACCGGCTTTTCGGAAGCTACATAAGACGGGTATTCTCGAGCAAGTCCTTCGATGCTCAACACGAGTGACAGCTCGTGATAAAAGAACCACCGAGCCAACTCTTGAAAAGCTCCTTGATGAGCTCCAGTCCTGTCCTCATTTTCACATGCATCTCAAGACTGGTACACCTTGTGGCGATACTTTGCGGGCAATTCTAGAAGGGCCTGATGAACACCTTGACATAATTGTATCCAACAGACTAAGTGCCATTGTCAAAATTGCAGATTTAACAATAGATGTCTGCTACAACTGTGGGGCTTCGGCTGACTCTTTGCAATGCCTTCTCCAAGAGTGTAGTTGCTGCGAGAAAGCTCTCTATTGTTCAAGAATGTGTCAAAAAGCCGATTGGCGGCCGCATCACAAGAAAATCTGTGTCTCAATCGAAGCACCATCAGCAATAAGGGAGGCAAATGCCGTGGAACGACTTGTCAATAACTATTTCAATGCTCACCGAGATACCATTTTGATCCAGATGAAAGAAGCATGTATCACTGAATCTGTAACAGCAAATGAAATGGTAGTCGAGGTGGATTTCGTAGCTCGTGAGGACGAGTCGATTCCTGGGATACTACATGATCCGCCTCTTTTCAAGATTGCAAGTCGTCAAGCCTACATCGATGGCACTGAGAGACCTCGGTTTCTCATTTAATGGTACGATGATGACGAAAAGCAAGAGGAAGTACGCGAGAAATGCCTCAATATTTTGAGAGCCTCGGCGTCGTCAAAGAGTGGCAACACCTGCTTGTTCTTGGTAATTTTCGCTAATTGCGAACTTATTGAGTGTGTCGAGGTACCAATGCCCAAGGAATTATGGGCCAATGCCGCCATTCATGCTGAATAGACACACCTCCAAAAGCAAAGCCTCATACTGAACACATTCGACCTCATGATCCAAGTCGTGCTGTACTATATTTTAGCCGCTCGGCTAATGTGCGACATTCGACTGTATATAGCATAGAACCGTTTACTGTAACCAACTAATAGAGAAGTAGAAGTGTATTTCCATTCTTTCCATCCATCAATCACTGTACCGATAGCAACAGCCTAGTCATACTGTTCTAGGATTACAACAGCTATTGCTTGCCTTCTAAAATCATTTTGATTTCTTCAAGAATGAATCTATAGTTTGCCTTCCCAGCTACGACAGCAACGCAACTTTCTTCGTTGTTTTACTAAGCAATTTCAAATCCAACCTCACCGCCATCGTCCTCAATAATACCATACTCCTCCTCCTCCTCGGATCGAAAAAAGTCTACCGCCTTTCCAGCTCCAGCTTGGGCAACTTGTAACACCGAGTCCTTTGGACTAGTGCTGGTAGGAATGGTCAAGCGGACCGTTTCCAGCCCAGGTGAACTAGCCTCCAATACAATATCCTCAGCAGTACCATCCAAGGTCAATCCCGATGGACCATCAATGGCTTGCAGCATGGCCTTTTCATATTCCGACAGACCAGCACCAGATGTCACGCGGACCACCGCCCGGACCAATCCATGGTATGCAATGTGCCACGGAGCATTGTTGGCCTCGTATGATTTTGGATTGCCGCTTCCACTTCCTTGGATCTCTCCTGGTCCGCTCACAATGGCGAAGGAAACATTTTGACTATTGGCCATGTGTACCACCTGGCCAGTTGCATCGACGATGGAGGCCCGGATCAGTGCCGCATCTTGGCCATCCAAAAAGAGAGCGCTTCCTGTTCCAGTGTGAGGCGAAGGGCAATCGATACTCAGTTTCAGAGCGACTGGCGGGCCACAAGTCATGACTTCTGTGGAAGCGACAGCGTCGCCATCTTCTTCCATCCGAGCAACGGCTGCAAGAGAACCAGCCTTCCATTCCACGTCTTCGAATTCCGCATACGATCCTTCACCTCGAACCATGGTCGCAACGGGCAGTATTCCTTGGGAAGCATTGTTGACAAACAACTCGATGAATGGCGCATTCGAGTAGGCATGAATGGTTCTCGTCGTATTGCCCTTGGTGCGGTCCCAACTGTCGGGAGACTCCCACGATTCCACCAGCTTGACTTCGTACTTGCCCATGGTTTCAAAAGTCTTGTCGGGACGACCATCCGTCACATTCAAAAGCCATTGACTGCGGAACCAAAATGCGGCTGGCTTTTCAAATCCCATCAAATCGAATTGGCCATAGGTACTCGACACTGTCTTTCCGGCCGAAGGGGGTTCACCATAATAGTCAAAAAGTGTCCAGACAAAGGTTCCCGCCGCATATGCCACCCCGTCTGAAGCATTGACGGTTTGTTCCAAGCAGCGGGCATTGAAAGCTCCTTGATCACAGGCATAATGCTAAATAGGAGGGAGTGAAGAAAATTGTGTTAGAGGAATGAATGAATCAATGATAACAACACCCAGCTAGTCATAGTCGAAGCACTGCACCACGTACCGGATTATCATAGGTCGTTTCGCATCCAGCATCTTCTCCGCGCATAGTATTGCATGAGCAGCATTCAGACTGCATAATGGGTTTCTCTGGCAGGTTGGCATGACAGTCGTCCAAAGTTTCCCGAGGCCTATGAGAGAATCCTTGGACATCGACCGTGTCGGATAAGATGCCTCCATATTTCATCATATTGGCCAAAGTAGGCCGAGTTCCATCATAGGTATCCACCACCTCCTGAAAGGCTGGACCAGCCACCTCGTGTTGTCCTTGACAGCCAAGTTCATTGCAGAAACTCCACAGAATGACACTCGGATGGTTCCGATCCCTCTTGACGAGTGCCTTCATGTTTTCGACATATTTCGTTTTATTCGCAAAGAGCCGATTCTCATTCAAAACCACCATGCCCAATCGATCGTACAAGTCCAACAGAGTCGGATCGGGTGGGTTGTGAGAAGTACGTCGGGCGTTGCCACCGATACTCCGAGAAGCTTGGGCTCGAAAGAGGTTGATACGATCGGGTACCGCCATGCCTAGGTAGAGAAATGATAGAGCACAATGGTGTAAGAATAAAGCCATCAATCACAAGACCAAGGCAGCGTCAAACACAAAAGCAAGGCAAAAATATACCACGTACCAACCACTCCAAAGGTATTGTGGTCACAGAATCCACGAATCTTGAATGCCTGATTGTTCAAGTAGAAACCTTGATTAGCGGTGTAGGCAATGGTCCGAATTCCGTGATAGGTCGAGACGGAATCCAATTCGGCTCCAGTACCACAATCCCGCAAAAATACTTGCACATGATACAAATAAGGCCGAGCAGTCGTCCAGAGTTGAGGAAAGATTAGCTTGACTTGATATTGATAGGAGTAGGAGGAAGAAGAAGAAGACGTTTTTTTGGTCGGTCCATCCGAGTGTAGTTGTACGGAAGCTTCTGCTTCATACTTGTCCAGTGGAACTCCCTCATTGTTGGCAATGGAAATGTCGACGCAATAGTCTTCTTGGAGCTTTAACACTTGGTTGTCTTGGTCCATGACGTTGTCATCATCATTGTCCTCCAAGACCAAGGTCATGTTTCCATGTAAAGTAGCCCAGAGTGCCTTTTCCGAAGTTTCCAATTGAATGTCATTGGTGTAGACAAAGAGGTCATCAATCCGATGTTGCTTCGGGGCCCGATGCAACCACACATGACGGTAGAGGCCACCGCCTTCGTACCACCATCCAGATCCACGCCCAGGACCTCCTTCGTCACCATTGTCGGGATCCACAAAGACTGCCACTGTAAATTGAGGAGCATCAGTAGGAGCAGCGGCAGCGGCATTCTTATGGTTCTTGTTCTTGGCCAAGAAGGGATCCAGTTCAATGGTAAAGGGAGTGTATCCCGCTTCATGTCCAATCACTACTGGTTTTTCATTGATCCAGACGGTCGTATTGCGAAAGGAACCTTCAAACTCCAACCAAATTTTATAGGATGAATCAGAATCAGTCCAACCACAGGGCAAATCGAAGGTCTTGCGGTACCACAAGACATGTCTTGGCAAGAAGGATCGTCCCGAACATCCATTGGGACAGGCCTCACGACTGGGAGCATTGGCAATGAGACCATCGTGCGGCAACTGGACCGCCTTCCAATTTTGTGCAGCATCAAAATCAATCTTGGATTCGGGAGGAGTCAGGCCAGGATCGACATTGGTAGGAGCTGGTTCGTAAGGTGGAGCCCAGTCGGTGAGGCCCGTCCTGAATTTCCAGCCGTAGTTGAAAGAGACACGATCTCTTGATGTTGTGGGAGGATCGCATTGGACATTCACTTCAGCTCCAAGCACTAGAATTGGAAGTAGGAGGAATGCTGCAAGGAATGTCCCAGCAAATGGAAGAGACTTTACCATCATGATCTAAAGATGCGATGAGTGAAAATGTCTGCTCCTTTGATTTTGGATTCTGACTATTTTTGGGACTGACTTAGGCCCAAAATCTTCTTAATAAAATTGGGTTGAAAAAGGTGGATTTCTTCAAAGCCTATTCTTCTCTCATCGTTGCCTCTCACCATGACAGATATTGGCATCGTAACGTTGCTAGATGGTAGCCGTGTGGGTATGGGAGCAAATGAAGTCCTCCGGTCCCACCCAAACTTTTTCTCAAGCATCATTAAAATAATACCATAGATTCCTTCTCGGATTTTCTAGTGGAATGGTTGAACGAATGAGTGAATCCATACGTCCGAGTGTCCTCGTCACAAAAGTGCACTAGGTAGTAGACTGTCTTTTGTGGATATTATGATACATACTCTTTCGAGGTTCTCTTCTTATTATTAGTTCGTTAGCTGCTTCTGCCGATGCAACCTTCGTTTGGCTGGTCCACCGCCATTCAACACTTATTCCGTCGTCGTCGTCATCGTCAACAAAATAATTTTGTTACTTCCAACAACAGCGATAAGTGAGTAAGTGAGTGAGTGATTCTGTTGACGTAAATTGTTGAATCATCATTCAAAAAAGGGCCTTTGACCTTGTGCACAAGTAGCACCAGAAGCGATATGCACGTTTTTTTCTTCTTTTGCTCAAGCAATGAAACAATGAGAATGTTGTTGCACTTCTCTTTTGAAATGGCGCTGGAAAAGTGTGTGAATGGAGATATATGCCTAACGCCTCTTTTTCTTGCTGCCCTGATTGTTGTAATCGCCGCCCGGATTGGGGCTCTGAGGCGTAAAGTTGGCGGCATTTGGATTAAAGTTGGGAGCACTGGGATTAAAGTTGGGAAGACCACCGCCAGCAGCTCCAATACCAGCATTGGGATGAAAGCTACTGGGAGGGCCACCAGCAACATTGCCTGCAAAGTGGGGGCCGCCGCCTGGATTGTTGCCACCCTGCTTGTTGTAGGATCCCCGGCGTTGAGGTGGTCCACCACCGCCAGGACCAGTATTGTGACTGCCGCGACGTTGGGGCGGCATGCCTGGTCCACCACCACCCACAAACGGCTTTTTGGGGAGTCGGTTGCTGCCCCTGCCGGCGCCACCATCCCCAGGCACTGGATAATATACCGTCTGTTGTGGTGGTGGAAAATAGGTGGCTCCACCATGAACTTGTCCTTGAAATATTTGTGCATTGGTGGACGCCACACTGCGCAACTGATGTTCCAAATTCATCTTATGTTGATCCGACATTTGCAAATCATCTTGGGCCTTGTTGAGGGCCTTTTCCAAGTCGTTCATGGCTTGCACTGAGGAATCCAAACGGTCTTGTTGCTGTTGGACCCGATCTTTCAATTCAGATTCTGCCTTTTTCCAATTGGCCTGTTCGGATGTCATGAGAGAAAGTTGTGCCTTGAGAACGGCATTGTTCTCTTCGGCCTCTTCGGCAATGGAACGATAATCTTCTAGCAGAATCTCCATTTCGTTGAGCTGTTCCGAAGCGGATGCAAAACGTTCCATTTGTCGTTCCAATAAGAGTTCACGGTCCGCCTTGAGAGCCACAATTTGACGTTTCAATTCCTCATTTTCGGTCTGTGTTTGAACCAATCGAGCCGTATTGGGCGTTGTAGGTATTGTAGGTCTCACGGCTGTACTAGGAGTGACAGGGGCCGCTGTCGAATCTACTGCGCCTTCCGGTTTGGCTCCTGGGTCTGCTGTCTTTGCTGGTTCTGTTGCTGCAGAGTCCTTTGCTTCGGAAACAGCCGGCATCGGTGATAATCTCCCACCACTTTCATCACCATCTAAGTTACGACGAGACATGTCGATTTGAACCTTGTAGCTTTCACGAAGTTTCTTTTGACGTTCTCGCAAAATTTGCAATCTCGACTTCCGAGATTCCGCGGCGGCGGCTCTGGCATCAGCAGCTTCAGACATGATGTTGATGACGATGAGTGTAGGATTTGATAACAAGTTAGCTGTAGAAGATGACAATGATATGGATGGATGGCTCAAATAGAAATAGAGTAGCTGCTAGTGAGGTACTCGGAAGGAGAGTTGGCCTGATAAGAGAGACTAGATGTGAATCTCAATTTCAGGAAGGAGGATACAGTTTGGGTAGGAATACGATTGAGGTGAAGGTCTCAATGTCTGTATTTCGAGGTAGCTTGTTCTGTTGTTGGCGTTGGTGCTGTTGCTGCTATAAGTAGCGTATTTCTTTGTATCCTGACTTTCTCACAAACGTTAGGGTCTGTGTGGTGGTTGAACTTCACTTTTTTCTCATAGCCATGCATTTTCAGTGACGGTGCGTGTAAGCTGGCCTGCGGAGGGAGTTATTATATATTGTCTGACTGACTGGTGTAACGGATACATGCTGTGTGTGATTGTTTTGCTACGGTAAATCGCGGTAGATATTGCCGTTCTATGTTTTCCCGCCTTGTATAATAACGGCTCTCAGAAAACCTATCCTGACGGACGCACACCAGACGTATCACATTCAAAACCCTCATTTTTTCATCAAATTCGAACATCGCAACCTACGTCATTCACTCGGCCAGGAACCAAAGAACTAAGATCTACAATCTGCACAAGGTCTACAAGTAATGTCCAAGCAAGAGCAGTCCGACTCGCGAGACGACAAACCGCCAACTCTATCACAGCATCATAAGGAAACAAAGTGGTACGATGCTTGGATTCGATGGGAGAAGGGTTCCAAAGAAAACTATGATGATGACGACGAAGACGAGGAAGAAGACGAGGAGCCTCCACTGATTCCCACCGATACCTATCATTCTTCCTACCAAGTTCCCTCCCAAAATGATGACGCTACTCCCATTATCAATTTGGAATTAATGGGCTTTCCCTCCGAATCCGAAGCCATTTGGACCTCGACGGGCCTTACGCTCTGGCAATCTTCCGAATTTCTCTGCGACTATTTGGTGGAACACTATGGAGAGATTGGTCGATTGCGTCATGGTGATGATGACGACAATGATACTGATAAGCCCTGTCGTATTTTAGAAGTGGGTTCTGGATTGGGACGTTCGGGAATTTTGATGCATTTGCTAGCGAATGCTTCTTCCTACCAAGAACAAGAACAACAAGAGCAGAAAAATGATGATTCTCGCGTCTTTCGGCAGCAAGTCGTCTTGACGGATGGGGATACCGATGTCTTGGCCCAACTGAGATCGAACGTTCAGCACAATTTGGAATTGAATGCCAAGTTAGTGCAAAATAACAACGCAAGTGATTTGTCGTGTCATCAACTGATTTGGGGCAAGGATCACGCCAAGGCTTTTGTCAACAGACCGTGCTTCCACCATTCGATGAACCATCATAACAATACAAATGACCCCAATGCTTCCTACCATTTCGATGTCATTATTGGATCGGATCTCATCTATGTCACCCAAGTCATTCAACCACTCTTTGAGACGGTTCAAACCTTGCTCCATCCCAAGCATGGAATCTTTCTCATGGCCCATTGTGCCCGACGCGAAGGCAATGAAGTGGATTTGGACGTCGTATTCGACCAGGCCCGCAAGGTAGGATTGCAATATACCCAATTGCATCCAGAGGATGATGACAAAACAACAAATTGTGAGAATGATCAGGAGGAAGGGATATACCTCTACCAATTTGAATGGTCGAGAAGAGAATGACACATTCATTATCAAGAATAGGGAAAGTTAAGATTGTCCCGGTGATTTTGACGATTCAAGAGGAAGAGAGCACATCGAAGAAGTTACAATTTACCTATAATTTACCTACCTATAATTTACTGGTTTCCTAATGAAGTTTCTGCATAGGTAGTACCCTCTACTTCTTATTTCTAAGGCTGAAAAGCTGCGTCGTTCGACTTGGAAGCATACGCCGACGCCAGTAACGTTGCGATTTGTCCAAGTCGCAATAACCCGATGAAGACTCCACGGCCCAACTAATAACACGGGTGCGAAACTTTGCCTTCCGATCAATCTCGGCACTCAATTTGACTGCAAAATGACATTTCCTCTTCAGCTTTCCGTGCTTGGACTATAGTTTGCCCCGAGCATTCTACTGATCCTCAAACTGGATTCTTATAACGAGTGCAAGTCAGTCGCCTATCGACTGTCCATAAAAAATTCCTGCTCTCCAAATGGCTGTATACGGCTTGTTTAAAGCAATAGCTCAGACTCAACTCCCAGTCGAATGCGAGCTCCTTTGCTCGGTACGTCGCTTCAAACTGACAATCACGTTGTACATCTTTGTACATCAGACTTGATTTCATCCTTATTTGACAAATCCATCCTCAGGCCCTTGCGGATGCCTCGACAAAAGGATGAAGTCTTTGTTGACAAGCAAAGAAGCCCTTTCGTAGCAATTTGCGCGAGCCATGTTGAATAATTCTGCATGGATTGATGGGCTTCGTAACCAGAAATGATATGCCATCACTGCGAGACCATAGCAGTCTGTTCTTTTTCGCTCGGTTCCAGGTAAATATTCTGTTTGTACCTTGGACAAAAGGCGATCACAATTGCTAGTCTTCTCCAGGACCTGCCGCTTTGCAAAATCTGTTGCAAATTGGTATGACAAAAGGATACGCAAGGAGCACTGGAGTTGCTTTCTCGCGCTCCAGCGTGGTTTGATCAAGGTGTCTCAAGACTTGCTTTCGATATCGCAGTTCCCATTTGCGCAGCCTAAATGTTGTTCTTTCAAACGTCCTTCTTGACTCAGCACTCCTCTGATTGACAATCGACCGCGAACGATTCACCTTCGAAGGCAAGTCGTCAAATGTCTTGCCAAATAATAGTATTTATAACATTCCCGTTGTCATCACCCACGAAAGCTCTCCATTCAGCGTTTCGACCTGAAATGGCTATACGTGGTGAGATTTCTTGACTTGCATGGATCCGTTAACTAGGATGACTTCGTTGGGCGAAAGTTGGATCTTTCTTTCTGAAGATCCATCAGAAGTTTCCTGCCCATTGTTGTCCTGAGAAGTCCATGACATTCGTGGTATCCTCTGTGGCATCGTCAGTTGAAATTTTCGTGGTTCGAGTGTGGTAATGGTCTTTGACGTCATCGTTTGGCGGAAAGTTGCTCAGAGGTAGCAAATCTGGTAGTCTAAAGAGACTCCAACTTCTTAACAAACTGCGTTGTCTTCTCGTCCATAGTAAAGCCGTTTCAAGCCTTCAAACTTCTGCATCTCCTTAGTCATGGGGTCTTCCGAAATTACTATCTACAAAGATAGTGAGTATTCTTATATTTGATGATTCTGTGCCATCGTCTGGCATGCATCCGCTCCACGTGGATCGATCCAATTGAATGAAAATCCGATGCGGATCTTTGCAACGCCGAGTCATCAACATGCATGCTGTCCTCATCTTTCAATCCACAATTTTAGTATAGTACTACTATACTGTTTTTGTGTGTGCATCGAAGTGACTAGCTAGTGTCTTCTTGTGAGTGCTACGTTTTAGAACATGAAGGCTATATCGTTGATATTTACGCTATTCTTGACTTCCGTGGTGCAGGGTTTCCTCCTGGTCGTGCCTCAGAAGAAGAATGCCAAGCACAATCCAAATCGAATGAGGTCGTCCTCGTCGTCGCCTGGTGCCAAGACTACTGGTAGTAGTACCACCTTGTTGTTTCAAACGCCAAATGCCATTCAAGAGCAAGAAGACAATTATTTACAACTCGCTATGCAATATGAACGGCGTCCTGATGTCGTCTATGTCATCATGTACAACCCAGGAACGGAACAAGAAGGCATTCACACGATGGAATTCCCTCGAGGATCGGAAACCGATCTACTATTGGCATTTGAATCAATTGAAGACTGTGTTGGATTTTCCAATTCGCTGCGACAGGATCCGAACTGGCAACAAGAACCCGTTCCAACGCCTACACCATTGGATCAAGTCGAGATTGCCTGTCAAGGGATGGGACTTCCAATCAAGATTGTACCAGACACGAGCCAATTGGGATGATTTCGTTCTTATTGTGGGTTTGGACGGTTGTGGTGCAGTGTTAGTCACGCAATTGAACAATGGATATGGTGGGGATGTCGGGGAAGAGTACATTGCGAGACTCTTGCTAGGCCGATTAGACTAGAATGTTGGTTGGCTACATTGAGTGTGACTTGAAGGTAGCAGCTACTAACCGTAGTGCTTCCGATACGAAAGACTCGGAGGAATGTTCACTTGTAACTTTTTTTCATTGTGGGCGAATTTTGATAACCAAGCTAAGCAGTATTATTATTTTTAAAAACTTTATGTGGGACAACGAGAATGCAACCTGCCCTCGCTCGGTCTCATCAAAGGAGGTAAACTCACTAGTACTATGAACTAGGAATACTTTTGGAGTCTGCTACGAATGGAGATGAATAATATACTACCGTACAGTGCCAGTACTCATATGTATTAATAATCTAAATTATTTCATATTTTATATCTTATTGTATTGTACAAATGCCCATTTAGTGAACAGAGGTTGTTCTGATTGATTCATTCAAGCAAGTCATGAAATTTCTACGCTTTCCTTTTGTTCCTCTATTGGGGAGTTGAGAGACGAAGCCTTGGTGGCCAAGATCGAGACCCACAAGATCTCCACGAGATCCACCCACAAGAGACGGTTCTCAACTGGAATCAAGCCATAGGTGACACAGTGAGCAAGTGGCCACAACTTGAGACCATCAAGGAAGAGTGGAATGGTGCTGGACTTGGCATCATCAAACATCTTTCCCGCTGTCTCTCGTCGCATGAGACCTAGCAAGAAGATGTAAGAAGTGTTCCAGATGGGACCCCAAACTGTCTGATCCACGGCAATCTTTGGAAGGAAGCTCCACCAAGCTGTCAAGTGGGCAACATTATTGAAAAAGTCTTCCGACAAGTTGTACCAGAAATGACTGAGTGGACCATGACCAATACCCCCGGCTAGTCCACTTCGAGCAATTCGTAGGAAATCCAAGCCATCCTTATCATCACAGCCTTCGGTCTTTTGAGCAATGAAATCGCCAATGGAGTAGACAGTGGCCGAAGTTGCGGCCTTGGTGGAAATAGGATTGGTAGAAAGAACGGCTTCGTATGACTTCCATGCTTGTGACCCCCACGCTTGTGCGGCATGCTCGAGCGTATGAACGGTACCTTGGTAGGCAGCCCAATCCGAGTGTGTCAAAATCAGACCCCCAACAATGGCAGAAGCGGCAGCCACTCCTACAATCTTCTTGGAATTCGCACTTGGTTGTTCCATCTCTAGATCCATGAAGAACATGTCTTGTTGAGGCTCAAGTGCGAGTACATCTTGGGACACGATCGTTGTTTCCAATGAGTCCATGTCGGAAGGAACGCTTGAGTAGACTGCCTGTGCCTTTCCGAGTGGTCTTGATGATGCCACTCTCACTGGCTGAAAGGCAGCTGCTAAAGGGGATGTAGCAGCAGCTACAAAGAAGAGAGTGTTGAGTATTTCCTTCATTGTATTTGCGTAGTAACTGCAACCAACGGAAGGAAAAAAAATGCGGCGAGTACTCGAAACACAAAAAGTGACCTGGAGATCAAAGAAAACTGACACACATCGAAGCATTCGAAAATTCAATTTTCTACACAGTGAATAGTAACCGGAGTCATCGCTGTATTTTCCCACGCAAAACATACTGGCATGGCCGGGAGCACGTTTGCAGAAACGGCGGAAAATCAGTAAGTAGATTTGTGGTACATGACCAAAACTCCTCCACATTTGTGGAAGAATTGACAATTACTTATTGAGCGATGAGTCACTCCGCGTGCGTTGGGGAGAAGATTCAATCCCTGCCACCAAAATCCATTGTTCTGTCGTAGGTTCTGTTTGCTTGGTAGAAGAAACCATCGTGGGTGTGACCACAAAGGAACAGACGCTTTTGCAACCACAAAAAAAAACCGAGTCTGCACAAAACGTAGTTGCAACGAGATGACTGACTCATCAGTAAACTTCCAAGGATGTACTTTCAACCATGGTCTCACCGAAGCGTTTGACTTTCAGCAGTTGACGAATGGTCACGACTTTGTTTTCCATTGACTTTAGTTTCCCTTACAGTTGACAGAGTTTGTCGGGATTCTTTAGGATTCTTTAGGGGACGAAGTGTAGAGTCACGTGGAAACATGGAATCGTCAGCAACGAGTCTTCTATCATTGAGGTTTATCGTATGCTGAGTCAGACAGAATGACAGTCATCAAGTAGGCGCCGTCTCATTCGTGAAGGTCCACTCCAGGTTTGAAAAGTGGTACTGTGTACAATGGAGAATGAACGGAAGACTTCTTGGCAGCAAACTGAAGCCAATATGCACGTCTACGAATTGAGCACCTTCCGAAGCTGGCAGCGGGGCATCCTGAAACTCCTTAGTCGATCACATGGATCAGCAGCACTCATATCGTATTCTACCAAGTGAACCAATCTACTGAACAGACACGACGCAATGGTATCATCTTTGGAACCAACAATCAGCTAATCGACTCGCTCGTGGAGAAGATGGTTCTCGATCCTTCAGGCAACAAAGCATGCAAAAAGCAAGAAAATAAATGCGATCGTTGAATTTTAGATGATACGAACAAAGTGCCATCGAATACCTACATGTGGACCGTTCGAGCACCCTTTGTAGGGTGTCCGAAGAGAAGCGAAATTATAGAACTAGATTGACGCGGTTTCAACAATTTTTTAGATTCATGGATTGAATAACAACGTCAGTCGATGGACTGAGCGAATATACCGGTACCAGCATCGCATATCGCATTCGAGTTGATGCCATTTGGAGGGCCTTTGGTGCATTGAATACAGACTCCACTACCATACATCAGATCACAAGTGGCCACAGACTTCTTGTCATATTGATCGACGAGCGCCCTTTGTAGTCCTACGGTATTGGAGTTGCCAAATAAAGTATGTAATAGCAAGTGCACGTTAGCTAATGATACGTTTTGAAGAGGCTTATTTTTATTTGTTTTGGGATTGGTGCACGAATAACGAATGGTTGATGAACAGAGCGAACAGTCCATTCCAATTAGTATTCGAAGTGTGCCACTTGAAAGGCGTGCATTGCATTGCATGCCGACTCTGCAGCAGTCATATCATAGTCATCACAAACTTATATCATGTTGGCGGTAGTAGAGGAGGCCATCATTGCATTCGTATCTTTGTGATTCATTCATTTTGCCTTATATTTCTTCGCGTTGTTGTTCATGTTCATGTTCAGGTTCAGTTGGTTCATATTTTTAGCTATTCTGATCGCTTTGTACCTGGTTCTTTTTGTATATCTATCTCGAGTCTGGAATCCATGAATGAGGCAGCTGTCGCAATAGACCGTAGACCATGTCGGGGCGCTCCTGGTTTGACGAGGATGCTCTCGACAAAAAGTGTGGTATCACGGCCGCGCAAGTTTCACTTGATCTCATTGTACCACGTCCAGCAGCATTTAATTCAAGCCAGTAGTCTAGTCGCTTTCTATGTTCCGAGCCATCATTGTACGGGTTGCCAAAGAGATAAACTCGGGATAGCCTTGTGTTGAAAGAATGGACGCAGTTATAGAGAGCATCCATTCCTTGGTTCGTTACATTGCAAACAGCTAGGGAGAGAACTTTGAGGGATGCATTTTTTCGCAATGATGTGGATAGTGCTGATGAACCTCGATCGCCGATCAAGGGGTTCTCGGAAAGGATCAGGTTCTTCAGAGACGTGTTGGTTTCCAAAAGCCTTGCGATTGTTTGCACCGAGTCAAACTTTAAATTGTTATGGGTCAGATCCAGAGTCACCAGCGTCGAAGCATTATCAAGAGCCATCGGAAGAAATCTTTGCCATGTATTTGGAAGCACGTATCCAATATCCTCCAGCTCCAGGGAAGATATCGTGAGTTGGCGTTCTCGTTTCAGTTCTCCTTCATCTTGCTGAAACAAGACATCAACAAGAACATTGAGTCCATCATCACGCAACTCAACAGAGGATATTTCAAGCTCCAGCTGTTTTTCCTTGTTCAGTTGGAATATCCTTTTCAAAATGCATTTGATGCCCTGGATGTGCAGTTGAGGGCAACGATAGAAAGACAGCCGATTCAAATGTTCGTTCTTCAAATTCAAATTCTGCGACACCAGTTCGCAATGCAAATCTTCAAGCAAAGGATGGTGGAATCGACATGATATGTCGACTGTGAGGTTTTCAATGCTTTCGCTGATGTATGAATTCATTAGTCTGCTCCAGAATTGCAATTCTGATGGTTACAGAAGTGTTGTGTCGGAGGTGTCATGATGGTTCGAGAACAAGATATTCAATATGAGAAGCCTCGCATTGCGGTCGATCAGGTCGACGATTCGACCAGCTCGAACACACTCATCAACACGTCAGTCTAACTCAGTGTGCCTACACGCTACGAGTAGTGACCATCCTTTTGGTACAGTGCCGTGTACCGGAACTATGATAAAATTCTGGCTCACGGTACTGTACTGTACCTTTTACTGTATTTTTTTTCTCCAATGGCAAAGCTTCTTAGTCGAGCACCATCGCCTATAAATCGCTCTCTAATCATAACTAGGTACCTAGTTCAGGTGTTTCGTAATTTTTGTTTTACTTTTTACCTTTGCAAGTTTGGTTTGACGCCCTGCCGAAGCTCCCATTTAAAGCCAATTTCTTCTAGTGCCTCGATCCTTTCAGGTGTCATATGCGAAGATTTTGAAAGCTTGAACAATTTGTGCTGCCTTCTCTGGCACTTTACCCACACTGCTAGCTTTGGATTGGCTGGGTAGCTGGAAGAAACATTGCAATGTCCATTCTCATCCCGAAAGGCCTTTAGCTCCATAAGCCGTTGTTCCCATGTGGAAGCATGAGAGAACCATATAAAACCAACCTTCTCAAGCTTTTGGAGCCGGTAGTCTGTCATGGTGGAAGTTAGATCACCTTCTTGGCGAAGCCGATACTGATAGCGTTGGCGTTTTACCCACCGCGCTAGACCAAGATTGGCCTTGTACTTGTGAGGTACGCGGCAATGTCCAGTTTCACGTCTGAACTGTACAAGTGCTCGATACTGTCCCTCCCAATGACTCTGCTGGTATCGACTGAACTGATCCGTGGATTCAGACTCACTGTCTTGTTGATGATGCTCGTCATTTGAATAATGATCCTCAAATTGACAGCTTTCAGAACTCGACTGTACTGAAACAGTGGAAGGTGTTGCAAGAGGTGAAGACAAAATGTGTTTCCCTTTGCTGCAAAGATAGTCTGGGCTGCATGTTGATTCTTGCTGTCCAACAATGGAGGTTTCAGAGTCCCAGCTCTGCTTGGAGGAGGAGTCGTGTTTGTGGTTAGCACGAAATGGAGTGGGCTCGAAAGCGTCACCAAGAGTGGGGGCCAGGGACTGGCCAAAGAGGTTTGCGGAGGAGAAGTCCAAAGGCAAGGGTGTCAGCATGCCTAGACGTAAATCAGCTAGGTGTGTCGGGCCACAACTAGTCGTCTGTATCAGCTCTGGTGCTGTTGTTTCAAACTGTTGCTGCCCTTGGTGGTGCCCCAAGAGAAGTGCTCTGCAAACTTCGATGGGATGAGATGCGGTACGATGATGATTCATTCTAATCGCAATTTTTTTTGTGAGCTCGTGAAAAACAAAAAGTAAGCACCATTGGCGCGGAGAGTGCATGCGGTTCAAGCTCAGAATTGGAGGCGGTGCCAGGTAATCTTCAATTATGCATTTACGGCAGTCAATTCTCAACCGCTTTCGAAGCTGTTAAGTTGGTGCTACTCCGGCACCAGGGGCGAACACATGTGGGTAAAAATAGTCCATATATGTCCAGAATTTGCGAAATGCCAGTTTGAAGCTGAACGATACGCGGCTTCTTTAGAATTCGGATTTGGAGCCACATCAAATCGGGAGCAACAGCGAGAGGGCAAAAATTCGTGGTGGCATATCGACATTAAACCCATCAACACTTCACAACATGAAAAGCCTTGTTCTACTACTTCTTCTGTCCTTAATTTTTTTCGATATTTCATTGGTATGCGCGAAAGACATCGCTGCAAAGCAAGAGGGAAAAGAACTACACATGAACACCAATGCCAGCTTCCTCCGCGTTGGCGCTGATCCTGACACTACGTGTTCAAATGCGTATCATAAAACGACAACGAAGGAGGCATGTCTGAATACAAAGGATCACTTTTTTCGACCTTGTCGCTTCTGTGAAGACAAGAAGGGGAATGATTATTGCTACAACGCGGATGAGGCGAAATGGGCTTCACTATTTGGAGACAAGTGCGAATATCGGCCTGATAGCGCTTGATTACAACTGCGTTCCGATCTTCGACCTACTAGTATGGTACCGGTATAACGGTTAGGGAAGCAGAAAAGAGTACCACCAGAAAATCCACTGGCAGCGGCTGTGCATTCTGAAAGTGTCAAGCGAAGGACAGCAGTTGTAGAAAGAAGACTTAAAAAAATAATCCTTCTTCTTTATTATGATTACCTACCTATTGAACCTTCACACTGCAAAATGTAGAGGACTTGAGAGATACCAGTACCATGGTACCTAGTGAAGGGAAGAAGAAAAGAGTACCGCCATAAAATCCAGACCAATATAAATATATTACCGCAGCGCTTGTGGATTGTGAAAGTGTTAGACAATTTCGCTTATTCGTTGACTACATGAGGAAACTACTATGACCACGATTTCGACATGGGAAGTTATTTTAAAAAATTAACGCTTTTGTCTTTGTGATCCACACCGAACCTTCTTGCTGCAAAGTACCGGTATAGACTTGAAATGTGGTGAGTTGCTCCTTTATTACCCTTCTTATTTTCTTTCAATGAAGGACAACAATTATAAGTATGGCGCAATCTCAAGTTGAAAGTGGACATGGTACACAAATCTGAAGCTCACTAGCTGAGCCTTCTGAATTGAGGCTCTAGTTCAAAAGCGTTCCGTCTTGAGAGAGGGAACCGCGATGATATCATCATATTATATGCTTCACTCAACACCACATTTTTAAAATGAGCGCAACTGATTATTGATATTCTATGTATTGAATGACCGCTTCCATGATCAGATGCGAAGTTTGTAAACTTGAATTTTCTCTCTATGCGACCTCAAAAGAATTAAGCCCGAAAATTAGAACTTCCGGCACTTCACCATGTGTCATTGGAAATTTCGAGTACGCTGTTACTTCATATCGAAGGCGAAACGATAAGCAATATCATGAGCGTCATCAGCGTCATCAGTGTCCTCCAGTGACACCAAACAAATTTGTATTCATTTTCCGTCACTTCCGTACCGGTATTGGAAGATAATGAAGTTTGCTGTTGCGTGTTCTTTTTGTCTGAATTGACGGCGCACATGGTGATATTGGTACGACTATGAATGAATGATCAGGATCAGCAAGGTTATGGTCGGTAGGCAAGGTTTTAGCAAGAGTGGTTGTAGCTTGTAGTTGCAGTTGGTACAGTATTTACATTGGTACAGTTCCTACCCACATTGCTATACGATTCATCCGACTTAACTAGCCGACAACTTTGACCCAATCACACGTGCAGTCTGGGGTTCGACCGATTTTCCTTCCTGGTACCGGCAGGTACCGGGAGATAGATCACAATGGAAACATCTACTGTATGATACTGAATGATCAACAAACATAAAATCACAAGTAACATACAGTCGCACCAAGCATCATCTTTCTGACCCAGCTATCGATCTTCGAGAGAAATTCCCGCGTCGGAAAACTCTATCTTTTAATTGATAAGGAGAGCTTCGAGCTAAGAGCACCCAAGCAGCCATGTCCGTCTTGCCACACAAACGCAAGTCTCCATTTGGCGAGCCTCCAGCTGGGTATGTTCCTGGATTAGGTCGTGGCGCTGCTGGATTTACGACTCGAAGCGATATTGGAAATATGGCTAAATCAGAAGAAGGGGATACGCCTGAAGTGGGAGGAAGCCGTTCCGCAGAAGCAAGAGCTGCAAAGCTTGCAGCCCAGAAAAAGCAAGGAGGAGGTCCTTCTCAACAGCAGGGTCAGAGTGGTTATGGTGAAAATGGAGCAAGACCGCCAATCGAGGGGCAGTTCGATGACAACGAAAATGAAGATGATGAAGCAGATCGAATTTGGCAGGCCATTGATGATCGCATGAATGCCAAACGGAAAAAGCGCAGCAAACCTCATCAAGGGGCTGAGCCACCGACTGCAAGAGTCAAAATTGGTGCTCAATTTCGAGATTTAAAAGAACAATTAGCAACTGTCAGTGAAGAAGATTGGCTCAAGGTACCTGAAGTCGGTGATTATTCGTTGAAATACAAGCGAGAGCAACACCGCCGCCGTCAAGACGACACATTCATACCTTTGACGGACAGTCTATTGGAGAGCCGATCCAAACATAATTTAGAACAAACCAAGGCAGGAGCTGCGAACATGGCAGCAGACGGAACGGCTACCAGCTCCAACATTCGTGGATTGGGTGCCGCTCGAGGTACTGTATTGGGTATGAGTCTGGACAAAATGTCAGACAATGTCGGTGGACAAACTGTGGTGGATCCAAAGGGGTACTTGACGAGCTTAGGAAATACACAAATTGCGAGTTCTGCTCAAGTGGGAGACACCAACAAGGCTCGTTTGCTTCTGAAGAGTGTCCGAGATACGAATCCAAAGCATGGACCTGGATGGATTGCTTCTGCACGAGTCGAAGAAGCCGCCAACAAAATAAATAAGGCACGCAAACTGATTCAAGAGGGATGTGAGATTTGTCCCGACCAAGAGGACGTTTGGCTGGAAGCCGCCCGATTGCATCCACCAGCCGTTGGCAAATCCATTCTGGCGACCGCGGTACGACGAATTCCCAATTCAGTCAAGTTGTTCTTGCGCGCGGCGGATGCTGAGGATTCCACAGATGCCAAAAAGGCAGTATTGCGAAAAGCCATTGAAGCCAATCCAACTTCTATTACTTTATGGAAACATGCGATTGAATTGGAAGAAGCTGACGATGCTAAGGTATTACTCAGTGTTGCTGTCGAACGAGTCCCCCAAGCAGTCGACTTGTGGTTGGCCTTGGCACGTTTGGAGACCTATGATAACGCCCGTCGTGTCTTGAACAAGGCTCGACGAGCCTTGCCCAGTGATCGAAGTGTTTGGATAGCCGCAGCCAAACTTGAAGAGTCCCAACACCACGCCGATCTTGTCGACAAGATTATTGATCGAGCCTTTAAGAGTCTTTCCAAATACAGTGATGATGTGATTGTAACGCGAGCGCAATGGTTGGTGGAGGCCGAACAGGCAGAAGCATCCGGTGCGCCATTGACTAGTGCTGCAATTGTCCGTCATTCCATTGGACAAGGCGTGGAAGAAGAGGATCGGCAAAGAACGTGGGCAGAAGATGCCAAGGTCACCATCGCAAGAGGATCCATATCTACTGCACGAGCCATACTGGCCCACGCCCTACAAGCCTTTCCTTCAAAGCGCAGCCTCTGGATGCAAGCAGTAGAGTTGGAAAAGCAACATGGTACGGCAGAATCACTTGACGAAATATTGAAAGCTGCAAGCGAACGCCTACCTCGTGTGGAACTGTTCTGGCTACTACGGGCCAAAGAAAGATGGCTTGCCAAGGATATCGATATGGCCCGAGACATTTTGACGCAAGCATTTGCTGTGAACCCAGACAGTGAAGAAGTTTGGCTGGCAGCTGCCAAGCTCGAATGGGAAACTGGTGAAATTGAACGTGCTAGAGTCTTACTGCAACGAGCCCGAGAAAGAGCCCCGTCGCCTAGAGTGTACATGAAGTCAGCGTTATTGGAACGAGAAGAAGCATGTTGGGAGGAAGCTCTGGCATTGATTGACCAAGGAGTCAAGGAGCATCCTGAGTTTGCGAAATTGTACATGATGGCTGGTCAGATCTGCGCAAATGACTTGATGCCACATGACCATACTAATCTTGGAAAGGCACGAAAGTGGTTGCAAAAGGGACTGACGAAATGTCCAAACAATGTGATTCTTTGGATCTTGGCGAGCCGGCTGGAAGAGAAAGCGCATACTTATGCTTCCAATGGCGACTCGAGCAAACCTGCTCCTTCTGCCAATGTGGGTGTCACAAAAGCGAGATCCCTCTTGGAACTTGGTCGATTGAAGAATCCTAAATCAGAGCACTTGTGGTTGGAAGCAGTACGACTAGAGTCTCGCGCTGGAAATATCAAAATGGCCGAGACTCTCATGGCAAGAGCCTTACAAGATTGTCCAAATTCTGGCATACTATTGGCGGAAACAATTTTGACTGCGTCGCGGGTAGAGAAAAAGTCCAAGTCTGCCTTGGCTATCAAACGATGTCCAGAGTCTCCTTTGGTAATTTGCGCAGTTGCCTCTCTGTTTGCCTCGGAACGAAAGAATGACAAGGCTCGCAAGTGGTTGGAACGGGCAGTGCTACTAGACCCGGACCAAGGCGATTCGTGGGCTCGATATTATCAGTTCGAGATGCAGGCTGGAACGGAAGAGCAAAAAGAGAATATTCGGAAACGATGCGCTAAGGCCGAGCCAAAGCATGGTGAACTCTGGCAATCTGTTCGAAAGGATATGAAGAACAAACGAATAAGCGATCTGAAGGCCCTCGAGTTGACGGTTGAGAAACTGAAGGAGCAACAAGCCGTAGCGACATCATCGAAAGAATGATGAATAGAAAAACTGACGTTTCTTCAGCTAGTAGTCGTTGACAGTACTGTAGATTGTTGCCTTGCTGATACCACAAACAAAATTGAGCAGTGACTTCTTGGGTACGGGACGAGGGAAAACATGGGCATCCCCGGATGAATGAATCGAATCTACATTTCCTAGTTCGCTTGGATGATTGACTTGAAAGATACCCATGACGCATGACACCTTCCCGTTGGTTCAAAACTCAGTCAATCAATGTTCGGCATTTGGTTTTGCTTCTGATCAGTCAAATGCCGACGCAGTTTTGCCATGCAGTGCCAACTCAACTGTTCTCTTTGAACATCATCATTGAAGTGCTTGGTATTCTGATCAGACCAATGCCATCATCCATCAAGAGAGTCAAGTAAAAGTCTACAGGAAACGCCCCATTCGTGGCGGAGGCTTTTTCTTTGCAATCGTCAGAGTGTGACACGAGTTCGGATTTTATTTTTCTATCGGCAGAAGTTGAGTCTAATTTTTTGCTATGTACGTGGCACAAAACACAAACATCTTGAAGTGACCGGAAAGTACCCGAAAGTGCCAGTTTTACTTATATTGCTTTAGGAACAGCTTGAAATTGAATTACTCGCAACCTCGTCCACGTACCCAACTTATTCCGAAAAAGAAATACGTGGTGACAAAAAACACGGAAAATTTTCGATGTGAAAGCCCTCCAAAACACGACTATCCACCACCTCGGAACTTTCGATGTGTTGGTCACTTTTTCTTGATGCCTTCTATTGCAACCCATCAGCTCACAATCTTATCCATCCCAAAAATGATGACATCAACTAGAACCATCAGTACTCTCAAGCGCATTGTCTCCAACAATGATGTTGTGCTCCCTGCCGCCAAGAAGGCCAAGCGAAGCCTCGCACCAGAATCTAGACCTTCCCAACTAGTCCGTGAAATGTTTCAAGACTGCGGTGCTTGCAAAGAACAAATCGTTGCTCAAGCGCAACACAAGTTCATCACACCCACCACAGAAATGATCGCTGCCTACACCATGGATGCCTCCAAGGCTGTCCGAGACAATAATATTGAGAAGCTTCGTGAACTCCACGCTTCTGGCGCTCCCTTGAACTGCTGTAACAAATTCGGCGATTCACTGCTGAACATTGCTTGCCGACGATCGCACACACAAATCGTCAAATTCCTGCTCGAAGAGGTCAAGGTCGAAGTGTACATGAAAGACGATACTGGTCGCATTGCCCTTCATGATGCTTGCTGGACATCCAGTCCCAACTTTGAAATTGTTGAGCTATTGCTCAAGGCTGCACCTGATCTTGCACTCATGCCCGATCACAGAGGCCACACACCCTTTGAATACACCCGTTCCGGAGACTGGGCCAAGTGGTGCGACTTTTTGGCGCAACGAAAATCGCTATTTCAACAATAGAACAAACACACAAAAACAACATTGACTACCAATGTATAGAGGAAAAGAAAACAACATATAAGCCATCTTAGAATACACTATTCTCTTTTATTCCAATCAATACTGTTGTCCCAGTAGACTTTACCACCAAGAATTGTACTAGTGACCTTTGTGCATTCAAAGGAAACCCCACTCATCCCAATCAACGGCATAAGAATCGAAGAAATGTCGATATCGGTTCGCTTCGCTCCATGCTTCCTTATTGATACTAGTGCTTCGCTGGTCGGGACTCTTGCCCTCATGATAATGGCAGCCTCTCAAGAGGGCCACCAACCCTCCTACGTTGCTTGAAAAGGATCCTACAAAATACTTTGCATGAATCAACACGCGCATCTGGGCCAAAAAGCCAAGAATCTCATCTCGATCTTGCCATGTTGAAGTATAATTCGGAGGCGTAAGAGTCCAGAGATGGCGACAGGGAATAATGGGTCCCTGGTTCTGGATAGTTTGTAGTAAAGAGGAGGACTGTGGTCGCTGCAAGATAGCTTGCAGTTCGGAAACCACCTCGTAGTCATCCGTGGCGACAAAGCAATGCTGAAATTGATGACGGTTCTTGTTGTGCTCGTTGTCATGTGTTGTTGTTGCTGATGTTGTTGTCATCGAAGCAGTATTGCTGGTAACAGTTTGTTCCAACGGTAGCGACGATATCTGCTGCTGAGACTGATTGACGAATCGATCCCAGTATTCTTGCGCATTAAAGGCTCTGGTTTCCTTGCGAGCCCCCGCCACCTTGTCTCCGCGGCGAATGTGAAAGGCCAAATCAATTTGACCAGTACTCGAGCCGACGGTGAATAATGCAGGAATTTCAGAAGGACCTTTGGTCTCGTCTTCGGGAGCAAGAAACATTTTATGCTGTTGGACTAGACGGTGGACGTGTGGATGTAGTCGAAGTCCTGGCAATTTCGAGCACGAGAAGCGAGATAGGTCATGAAAGAATCGCGTCAAACGAATCTTCCTTTTCAATTCAGGCTCCTCTTGTAATGCTGTTCTTTCTGCTTGCTGTTCATCTGTCTTTTTTTGCAAAAAGTACCGGTTGGTAACTCGTCGTGCCTTTTCAAACATGAATCCTTGTGGATCGGCGTCAATCTCCAAGACGGGACATTTTACATCCCAGAAATTGCACATCGTTGCTCTGAAAAATACCACTTCAGGTGACGATGGCGATTGTAGCGATGCATATGTAGAAACCATTGGGGCAGAGAGTATACAAGTTCTTTCATGTAAGTATAGATATCCTCCAAACAGACCATGGTTGGAATCCCACCGATAGTTGTTCAAGAGTCTTTCATCAATCACCAGATGCGTCCGGTTCCATCGTTCTTCCATAAAGAGGGCAATTTGCAGTAAGTTCAATGTAAGACTAGCCATTCCTGGTCCATTGCTTGCGCTGGTGAAGTTGTAGAGTAAGACTCTGCCTCCATTTTGCAAATGCTGTGCCGTGTAGGTGCAGGCTCTCTCATTTTGGCCTACATGCTCCTTCCAGTACGATGAATGGGATGAGGAATCGCCGTTTTGCGGGTCTTGATAAAAGGAAGGGAACGAGGACTCGGATATTGAGTGTGCAAAAGGATCCGACAAAAAACTCCAATGCAACAGGAGAAAGGCAACCATCAATAGGCCAAGGAACATGACCTTTGAAACCCTCCTGGAACACCACCGGCAAAGTAGAATTTGTGAAAGCGTGTCACGGCTACGGAGGTTTCGTTTCGGTGGAGGACGAGAAGTAAAAGACTTTGACTTGGAACGATGCCACAATGTCATGATTCAGTGCTTTGCTGTGCTGATTTGACTGACTTGAGGAGACGATGATAATTGAAACGATAATCCTACTCGCACTCTGTTTTGCTCACTATATGCTTGTCGCCGAATGCAGAAATAATCCTCAAGATTATCTTCACCCAAACGCAACTGTCAACCCATTCATCATATTCGACTTATTGTGAAGTGCAGGCAACTGTAGGCAAGTATACAGGTACCGGTATGTGCTGCAACTTTTTTTAAACACACAGTATCGATGTTGGGTCAATAGCACTAGTGAAGTACCTCAGTCGATTTTCTTGATTCATTCATTCAGCCTCGAGTCAGTATCCGGTATGGTACGGCTGACCCATTCCATTTCTCTCATCTGACAGAACTAAAGGACTACTAGCTGAAGCTGCTCGATAAATTTAGCCTTTCTGGATGACAGTGGTAGGGTAGAATACCGCTTCAGCTGCAGCGCTTGAGCTGTTATTTGATATTGATCATGTTTTGAGGTACTTCCGTAGTTGTTTCTTTGTTACTAGAAAGCTACATCCGTAATGTTTCGAGGACAAACATTTTGATCATTATCATTGGATGAATGCCAATGCCTCATTTTCCCACTACAGTACTGTACAGGGTACATGCTGCTACTGTACATGCATCCAAAGTTACGCAAGACTTGGATTCTTGTGATGCAATAAATGCTAAATTACTGGACTAACCTCGCGGTCACGTGTATAATTCTTAGTTTCATGCCACGTAGATACACAATGTTCGTTGATCAGAACCGAGCGCCTCATTTTCATTGCATGCAAAAGTGAGCAAGAACGAATAAATATTGGAAGGTGACGAGTAAAATACCACAGGTTGAGCAGATTTTTTGTTTCTTATGTTAGAGCGAGCTTCAAGGCAGCTCGGCTGTGGTGCCATATATGAGAGGAAGTGACTAGGCAGCAAAAAGTCCGACCTACAATTTAAAGTCATATATGATACATAACGATGCTAGATATCTGCATTGTCTTGGGATGGTGATAACTGTTTGCAACTGGACTAACATCACGTGGCAACGCCGATCACAAAATGGATCTCAACGTGATCATGTCGTCTCTTGGATCATTCATTGACAATCTCACAAAATCAGACTTGGACATTCTTAAAAAGGCAGACACAATCACAAAACAAACAATCCAATGTGCAAGAATAATAACAACCGAGTTCAACAAGATGTCTCGTCCGTCGACAAGGATTGGACTGACAAAGACATGAAGCCTTCCGAGCGAAAGACTCGCGATCGCATCTTGCCGAATGGCGTTGTCCTGAAATTGATGAAACGATCCGACTGGTTTGGAGCCAAGCGTTTCCTTTCCAACATGTCTTTCATGGCATTGACTGCATATGCCATCTATCGCACCAGCATCCATTCCGACTTTGCGGAGTCGGAGAATTTGCGACAACTTTGGTCGGTACTCTCCTCGCCAAAAATGTTCATCTTTGCTCCACTCTACTTCTTCTATGGATTCCAAATGCAATGCATGGGATTTGGAGGAGGACACGAGTTGCTGCATGGAAATGCCTTCAAGACAAAGTGGGTCAATACTGCCGTGACCTTCTTCGTCAGTACTGCCTTCTTTGAGGTCCTTTGGCATGAAAAGATCAACCACAAGCAGCATCACATCTACACCCTCGACATTGATCGGGATCCCGAACTTACAAGCTTTTACTCTCGCGAGGAGCTTGAGAGCTTAGAGTTTAGCAGTGTTCCAAGTTCTCGATACAGCTACTTCAAGTCCTTCTGGGATGTCTTCAGCTACTTCCATCATCGCGTGTGTCGTCTTGTGAGTTCTTCCATGGGAATTCTAACCGACTACACAGGCATTGGTTGGAGCATGAAGAGCCCAGCCCGTGAGGACTTTTCTCACTCTGTCGTGGCCGAGCTTCAATTCTTCTCGCTTCTTCAATTGGGAGTTTACGTTGCCATCTTTACAACCTACGGCAACAATCTTGAAAACATCATGACCTTGTGCTTTTGGTGGATTCTCCCTTGCGTCATTGGTTACGCTCCCATCAACTTCTTCCGCAACGCGGAACACGCCGAGTGTGACCACGTGACCAACCAACTGCAGAATACAAGAACCGTGGAGTCCAACGTCGTCATCCGATGGCTGCTGTGGGAAACCAACTTCCACGCGGAGCACCATGCGTACCCAATGGTCCCCTTTTTCAACCTGCCAGTCCTTCATGAACTTCTGGATTCTCACATCAAGCACAATGAGATCAAGTCATTTACAGCCCAGAACTGGCAGATGATTCGCGCTGGAGGGTGGATCGATCAACATACCGGTAGTAATAATTCTTAAAAAACGACGCATTGTCGTGATATATATATATATGATCATGATCTGGTCTTGCAATTCGTAATCGCATCGTTTCCTGTAACATAGTGGTAGTAGTCTGTATCAGCATCTATATCTGTATGTACTGCAGAACCACCCAGGGTGTGGATCAATCAATATTTTGCACTGGGCACTGGAGAGTCTCTTGAAGTGTTTGTAGTGAATTGAAATTGAGAGGCGGAGGGGAGGATGACATCCGTTTGCGGTGTGGGATGATGATGATGTCGCCAATGTGGAAGGATATTATTGAAGATATATTGGAGATGTGCTTCGTATCAAACTTCCAAAGGAATCATTGCCGCGACCACATGGTTCCAGCCACATGATCATTCTGTTCTTTGGGTTCGAAAATTCTTGTTCTTTGCTCGGTGAACTTATCAAGATGCTATCAAATAGCTCATCCTCTAACTAAAAAAAAAAGAAAAAGCGTTCGCATTTTTCAAGATTGGCCGAAAAGGATTCTCCAAAAGATACAGTACTGGGTACAAATGTACCAATGATACCAGATAGCTACGTACGTGTACCGTACTTGTGTACCTTCCGTCCACAAGAGCATTCGCATTCAGGAGTATGAAGAAGCCTGTATCACGCGAAGCAGAAGCAAACAAACACACAATCACACAACACAGAGTATTGCAATTCAAAGACACCATGACTACTATGCTCTGCAAGAATAACCATCAAGGACAATCTCCTTTTGTCGCCGCAGAAGAGGAAGCCAGTCATCTCACACTGGAGGATGCGTCAAAGATGCTTAGCGACGACAAGAAAAGATACAACCTTCCCGTCGATCCTGTCGAATCCTCATCCTCTTCCGATAATACTACCTTGGACTTTCATGTTGCCATCTTTGGTCTCATGGCAGGAGTCGTTTTTGGCTTCATTTTGGCCATGAAAATGAGTCATGCTGCTGCTGAATCATCATCATCATCCTCCTCCTCCTCCTTGTACCTTCACAAGCCAATCATGCCCCAACCATCACCAAGTCAACCATTCAACGAGGAGTTCTGCCAGCGATCCGACCATGTTTCGTCTTCTGTGGCTGATCCCTCCGCATGGCGATCATCGTCTTGCCCACAAAATGAGACTACTACAGCAGCAACCACCACCACTACTACTACCAAGAATGTCTTTTCGGAATCTTCCGGCGCTGGTTCTGGCGGTGGTGCTATCAGTGACTATTATCAATCATTGTTGGAAGAAATGGAGCCACCACGATACAGTATCGACGGTCTCATTTATTCTATGTACCACACCTTTTTGGGATCCTGGTAGTAGGTGGCTGGCACCAGCTCGCTGCTCCTACTGTATCATTATTGATCGGAGGAGGATGTGATCATGCGAGAGAAAGACGACTTACATGCTTTGGACGGAATGAATGAATCCATTTTTAAATATGCACTACCGAGATACTATATAATATATAATTTTAATAAAAATAATAGGAAATCAAACAACTGTGGAATATTTGTCAATAGTGTGGCAAAAGTGATGTGTGGAGGATGTGCTGTAGATGGTCAAGGAAGGATACCAATCTCCGGGTCGTTTGAACCAAGAGGGTCCACTTATGGGAACGACACGAATGCGACATAGTTTGAACCTCAAAACATTCCGTTCTGTTGTTGTTTGGTCTTTCTCATACTGACTGTATTCAGTATTGTCTGATCAAAATAGTAGCCAAACGAAAGATGTTCAAGTTGACAGCAATCGCAAGGTTATTCTTGGGTAGTTTTCTTGTGCTTCTACTGAATTCCAATGGCGTTACGGTGGCCTTTGTGACGAACTCGAATCCTGTTGCGAAACCTAGCACGACTGGCTTGTCATCATTAAGCGAACTAGGCGGCAACAGCATGGTTTCTTTTTCTCAAGTGTTATTGCCTACTTATTTGGGAGCTGCCTTTGCTGCTTTGTCATATAAAATTGATCAGGATCCTCAATTCATGGTCGAATGGGTGAAAGAAGCAAGACAAAATCCAAAGACTGCCGTCGAACAAATTACCATGGTAGCAAGCTTTGGTTTGGTGACGATTCCGCCCTTTGCGGCTCTACATACCATGGCAACGGCTGGAAAGGTCGCCACTACTACTGCTGCTGGTACTGCTGCTGGCACTGCCGCCCTTGCCAAGACTACAACTGCCACCAAGGCTGTCACAACTGCCAAGGTTGCGGCTGCCACCAAGACGACCGCTGTTGCCGCAGCAGCTGCTACCGGAGGAGCTACAATCGCCATACCCACCATTGCAGTGCCCATTTCCTTCGCTTTGGCCACTGCCTATGTGTCGTATGAAATGGATAAAGACCCTGATTTTGCCGTCAAGAAATTGGAAGCATTCGTCGAATTATGGCATACCAAGGTTGTGCAAAGGGAAGTGAGTGCAACATCAACTACCAGGAGTAGTACTAGTACTAGTACTAGTGCCACTAGTACTAGTATTACTCCCAGTAATCCTGTGGCAACTTCTGGGACACTTGCGGTGGGATCTACTCCTGTGGTGGCTACTTCAGGAACGCTCGCCGTGGGGTCAACTGCATCGGCCGCTGTCATGAGAGATGATAAGGTTGCAATCACCACTGCGGCTGCTGCTACGGTCAATAAAGCAGAGCCAGTGATTGTTGCTGTCCCAACAACTACTATTGCGGCCACTCCAGTCGATGAGGAACCAACCAAGGTCCAAAAGGCATTACGTGTTTTGCAGTCCTTGTATTTCCCATGGTTACCCATGTTTGTCCCCCCCGCTGGCTCAAGAAGGCACAAAGCCGTCAAGTTTGCGCAAGCGCTATATTTTCCGTGGTTGCCCATGTTTATGCCTCCCAAAAAACAGGGGGCACAACAACAAAAGGCATGAAATTCTTAAGAGGGAGAAGTGAATTATCGTGTCCGATGATTGTGGTACTGAATTGTGAGTTGCCGAAACGGGGCAAGTTTCTTGCATAATATATATTATATGGAAGACAGTTTTCTAAAACTTGGTTGTAAATAGGACTACATATCGTATATATATTTATTTATTGATTCATGTTTTGTTCGTCCTTATTACATGCATCATACATCGACATTCCGAACAATTGTTGCCTACCGGTACCCTATGCGTGGAGCTGATGTTGTACTTCCGAAAGTGGTGCAGTTCTTGGACATTACCATTCCTGGTTCTCCCCATGCTATTTGAATTTGATCGATTGAAGTAGGAGGGACGGAATCCTACATCACGCCGCAGATGGAGGTAGCGATATGGAATAATAAATGATACTAACTTTCAGAATTGTACTACTATAGCTCATCGGTCAATAGTATCAGGCCGCGATAGTTTTGTTCCTCCTGCTTCTTGACCTTGTCCCTTCTCACAATGATGCAACCTTCAAGAACTTTGTAAATTGGTCGGTTTCTAGGTAGAGTATTATAATAATAAGTATCTTTCTATTGTATTGTACGTAAACAAATCTCGTGTCAAAAATTGGTACGAGTAGTCCTGAGAATGGCATGCATGATGGTGCATATCCTTCCCCTCGCTCCTTAGGCAGCTTGCGAGACGATGGAGTTCTTTTGAGCTCCTCCCCGTGGTCGCATGGTTGGTGGAGACAATGCAGTATCCCTTTGAGATGGCGAGGATTTGATAATTACTTCCATTGGTGGCTGGGCTTCCGTCGGAGTAATCCCGGCTTGGACGGCGTCCTTCCATCCCTTCTGCTGAGCAATCCTTGACGCTGGAAGGGAATAGATTCTGTAAACCTCACGTAGGATGACAGAATCGTCTTGCGATCCCAAGTCAAATTGAATGTCTTGCTCGTCCAAAACAAATTTCCAGGCTTGTCTGCGGAGATGAGCCTTCAGACCTTTGGAGGAATTGGTACGGTGTTCCAAACCTCGCAAACACAAGGAAGCTTCGTCTAAAGCCTTTGTCAACGAAGAGGAATCAACTGAGGATACAGAAGCCGCCTTACTTTCCAGTCGATTGTAGTAGTCGACAGTAGAATCGGTTTCATCTCGGATGGCTGCGTAATCTTCAGGTGTGTTCCAGTAGCTTTCAAGCTCTTGGGCGGAAAAGTCTTGGTGATGATCAATTTCCAAAACTTTGACTCGCTTGTTGAAGGAAATTCTTCGTTTTCTTGGCGAAGCAGAAGAGGTCGATGGTGACTTCAGTATGGAGATAGGCATGGTAATGATGGCGATGATTTGCTTTCTTGCAAATTGTGGATGATATATATAATAAGTGTTTGTTTCAAAAGAAAGATTGGGCTGAATTGTGGGATAAACGCCGATAAATCTGATGGGATTTTTGAACACGAGTAACAATGTGATGGCAAGATCGATGTGGCGGTGCCTTTCGATCCTTTGTTGCGGGGAAATGAGAAATCGGCTCGGCAAGGTCCTTATGTAAAAGTACACAAAACATCATATTTTGTTTGCAAAAATCTCTGCAAAAAAGCTTTATGGTCAATTCGGATAATTGGTACAGCGATCTTTAAGTAGGTGTTTAAAACAGACATGTCACACCTGAAGTCGTCAACCGTTTGTTTCCGAGCAGACTTTCTGTTCGGAACTAATAACTCGATCAGAAGGAAAGCGTTAGACAAAAAGGCCATAGTAAAAGGAGAGGTCAATAGTTCTGCCTGGAGCATACTGTACATGTAATTGCTCCGGAAAAAACACAGTCATGGTGTGAGAGCTGAATCAGCTTCCAAGTTTTTTGATGTCCGACTGTATCAGTACTATGAGTCATCCGAGTCAGTCATGAGTACTGTGGGGAAGGACAGACAGGCGGGGAGATATCATAGTGGATGAGGACGGGTGATCAGGATGACTCTTCTCAACACAGGCAACAACGTGACGTATAGTGCACAATGACAAGTCGCCTAGATCTGGAAGCACCATCCCCGAATCGCGTTCAGATGATGCGAGTAGAAAATGAGAGAATTGCCGCATCCATAGGCCAACCTCCAATGCCACATTCAAAGGAAAAGGTGTCAGCGATTACTTCCATGGGTTTGCGAGTGTTGGTACTACTTGCAGTCCAAAACTCTTCAAAGAATCTATTGTTACGGTTCGTGATGAAAGAGAGACCCAAATTCCTAACATCTGCGGCAGTCATTGGTTCTGGTACGTACATACTTTGCGTCGTCGACATTGCTGCCCCCGTGCTCACTTCAAATTTCAAACAGAGTGCACGAAGCTGACACTCAGCCTGCTCTACATACTATTTATCGAGAAGAGACCGCCTGAGTCGATTGTTCAATATTTCCGAGATGATTTGAAAAACACAATGCTTGTTGCAGTGCCGGCTAGCGCCTACAACTTGCAGACATCGTTGGAATTCGTTGCCCTAGCCAACCTCGATGCGGCAATGTTCTCCGTTCTAGTCCAAACAAAACTTCTATTCACAGCAACTTTTTCTTATATTGTTTTGGGGAGAAAATTGAAATATATTCAGGTCATATCTTTGGTTTTGCTCACAGTCGGGGTCATGCTTTGTAATATGAAATTTAATGCTAGAGGCATCGAAGACGAGAAGGATACATTCACAGGAATCTGCGCAACACTTGGGATCGCCATTAGCTCTGGTTTTGCTAGCGTATATACAGAGAAAGTCATCAAGGCTCACAGGGCCACATCACCCGTGTCTGGGGCATATTCTTTGGGTAAGCTGAAAGTATTCCAGTCGAATCCCATCGTTTTGACAGCCAAGTCTCACTTTCTGATTTTGCTTCATGATTTAGCGTACACCCAAGTGCAGCTTGCAGTGATGTCTTTGGTAACAATCGGAATTTATGCCATTCTGCATGACTTCAGAGAAATTTTTCAGTATGGCTTATTCCACAATTTCAATTTTGGAGCCTTCTTGGCGGTACTCAACTCTGCGATTGGAGGATTGATTGTTGCGTCTGTACTAAAGCATGCAGACTCCATCCTAAAGGGATATGCCACCGCTGTCAGTGTAATCATGACAGGAGTGCTCAGCATGGTGCTATTTGGAACTAAGTTGAACACCGCATATTTCATGGGCATTATCAATGTTGTTGTCGCAGTATTGTTGTATAATGGAAAGAACCTTGATGTGTTGGTATGCTAAACTGCAGTCAGTGTTTGGTAGGTTGGCTTTCTCTGGCGCCGAAAGCCGAACTTTACAAAGAATTGTAAAATGTCGGGTCTTGAAGACATTCAAGAATGCACGACAGGGTTGATCTCCAAGACGGAGGAGTGTAGAAATATGAAGGAGATGCATGAATGTTTGCAAATCTTTGACGAAAATGAATAGTATTTCGTGGGGCGCATGTCAAACTTTAGCATTTGTACCGTAACAATGAGCGCAACTTGATTGATGGAATAGTGATGGACCTGAAGGATCATGCCAATTGCTCCTGTTTTAAAAATAAGAGCCTTCTTCTTGCTGGAAAGACAATCAGCATCTCATTGTATCTTCCAAACCCATGGGGTGGTGATATGATAGCCATTGTTCATGGAAAAATGGGTAGCATTTGCTACTGACAAGAAGTTCGATTTCATTTAAAGGGCTGTGACGGCCTATGCCTTGTTTGATCATTTTCCTGCATCTTACAGTATTTCGTTTTATAGTCTGTTTCAAATTTCCAGTAGTCAGATGCCTTTTATATATATTGGGTTTTGGATTGATTCCTTGGACACGGAGGAAGGCAAGACGGTCTAAGGTCTGACTGACTCAGTATCGGATGACAGATATATATCAACTTTCGAATGATGAACATCAATCGTCATCGTCAACATGACGATTGTTCATCAGCATTCATTCCTCCAGCCTTCATCACAGAATAAACTCGTCATCCAGGTAGAAACATGAAGCTCTTATTGATTGCAGCATTAAGTGCGGCAGGCCTCTTCGCAACAACTTCCGCCTTGGCACCACCGCAAAAGGTTGCCGTGTTCGGAGGTACTGGTTACGTTGGGTCCCAAGTTTGCGAACGTCTCGTCAAGAAGGGATACGCAGTGACTGGGGTTTCACGTCGGGGTACCAACCCTCGTCCCAACAATGAGGCATTGGAACAAGTCTGCTGGGTTTCAGGAGATGCTACCAACCCTGCTGACGTGCAAAAGATTGTCAATGATGCTGATGCCATCGTTCATGCCGTCGGACTCTTGTTTGATGTTGAATCTGGATTGCAAGGATTCAACACCATTGTCTCTGGATCCAAGTCTCTGCCTGATCCTGAAAAGTCTACCTACGACAACATTACTCGCAAGACAATGTTCAATGTTTTGGATGCTATCGAAAAGAAGGCCCGAAATCCCATCAACATGTTGAAAAACCAAAAGACTCCCTTGGCATTTGTGTCTTGTGCTGAAGCTGGTTGGCCTGATGTTCAGTTTGGTGACTTTGTTGAAGAGAAATTGGCTCCTGAATGGTTGCAAAAGTACTTGATTGCCAAGCGTGCCGTCGAAAAACGCTTGACCAGTTCCTCGGCTGTTCGACCGGTGATTGTTCGTCCATCCTTGATCTGGTCCTGGGACAAGTTGGACGTCTTGCCCATTATCCCAGTCTTCAATGCTGCTAATGCATTGGGCGTTCCATTTGTTGATAAGACTGTCCGTGTCGAGACTTTGGCCGATGCCATTGTTGCCGGCATTGAAGATGAAGGAATTGTTGGTGTCCAGAGATTTTCTGAGATGGAAGAGCTGGCCCAGCGATAAAAGTATAAGATACATATAGAGAAAGAATCTTATCGTCGAGTATAAACTGGTATCCTAGAACCCAAACTCTTGCCACCTTGGCATTTCACGTCAACGGGGGCGTATCAAGCGATTTTGATCTCAAGCACTAAAATTGATTAATCTCTTTGTTCTACAGAAGCTCTAGTGGTACATGCTCATATCCATATTTCGCCTTGTGTTCATCGTACAAATCTTGTAGTGCTTTCAAGTACTGTGCGTGGCATTCGTCGATCGAGTGTTGATCCATCTTGCCTGAAAAATGAATGGGCTCCCCAACAACGACATCAATGGGATGCGGAATCGGTATCGGATGTGTCCACAGTGGCGTCGAGAACGAAAATGTTTTGTATAGGGTCCTCTGCAGTTTCCACAAAAAATTTCGAGGATTCAGCCAAGACTTCTCGGCACCACTCTTTTCGTCTCCCAAGTAGATTGTGTCGAAAATGTCATTCTCTCCGAAACCAATGCATGGAACTATTGCAGCCTTGGTTTCCAATGCCAGCTTGATAAACCCTTTACGATTCCGTATGGTAAGTCGCATCGTTTTGGGCTTGCAATGCAAGGCTTCGGCAGCCCCACCTGGGACCAAGACGATGGATTCAGAAGACAGTAGTCGCGACAGCAAGGTAGGTTTGCTGGCGCTACAGAATCCATTCATGAGCAGCCAATCTTTGAAGAAAGGAACACGAAAGGCCACATTCAAAGTTACTCCCGATCGCCGAATCTGACAAATTAAATGCATTTGAAGGAAACGAGGACAGTGTGAGGAACGATGTATGTACCGAGAATAAATATATGTCTTCTTACCCCCGGAAAGGTCGTAGAAAATCCAGAGGCATCTGTAGCTAGTGCAAGACTAGCTCCCATTCCAATAATACCGTGCGGATGATAGGCAAAGAGGTAGGACTGATCCGGATCCAATTTTTGGCTGGTCGGATGAAGTTTGCATGAAAAGTACTTGGCCGTCAGACGGAAAAAGACATTCTTGTTGCATTTTGGTTGTAGTCTTTGTACCCACTTTGGCTTGGTGGTGGCTTGCGCGGTACGATCCAACAGAACCGCGTGAAGCATGTACAATAGTAGCAAAGTGCGTAGATAAATCCACGACCATTGGATACTCGCATACAGCAAGCAACCATAGATGAGCATGCAGATCAGTATACTGTAGGGAGGCATATTCAGCGTAGCTACCAATGTCGTAATACAATCATGGTGAAGTGCTGCTTTTGGCGCTGATTCTTGGGTTGATGACGTTTTCTGTGTTCTTTCGTCGTTGGCTTCTTGTTTCGTCGTTTGTTCCTTCTTGGATTTGCCTTGGTTTTGTTCAGTGGTGCTCTGTGGCATCTTTTTTAAAAGCGTTGACAATGTATGCTGCGCAATACTGCTAGACTTGTGTTTACGTTGTTAAGAGTCTCTTGCCATCCACAGAACAGTTTCTGAACGATGATGATGTCAAATGATAGTGCGATGATGTCGATGGTTGATGTTTCGTGTTGTGGTTCATCGCTTGGTTGTCCAACTCAAACACAATTTGATTGGATGAGAGTGTCGTTTTGGATACCCCTACGACACCAGACTCATTCGTGGAGTTGCCAAATTCGATGATTGCCTTTTATTCGTTACGTGGTCAAAGTGATGTGTGATACGGTATCACCCGTGCATCGCAGAGTATAGTGCATATGGAATGAGAAAGTAGAATGGTCCATATGTGAGATTCCATGTCAACAGAGTGAGGTTGCAAATCATACATTGTTCATTGTTAGTTCGACATGCGCAGGATCTCGTTTTGATATTCCTTCCCCTTTTGTTTTGCTGACCCTTCTATGGTTCCCCCTTTTCTAAGCGAAATGATCGTCAACTTTTCTAGTCGTCAAATCTTATTATTGGAAATAGTTTTACTTAACTGATGGACTGCATTCTGGTTATGGAAGCACTTAACTTCCCGGCAAAACATTTAATTAATATTTCCAATGACTGAGAAATACCGCACTTGTGAAGTGTTTCTTCATCCGATCCAAACAAGTTGTGGACCTGAATCTGTACGTCTACCGGTACGACAGCAGGTATTGCTCACGTATTTTTTTTCAGAAAAACTGACACAAGTTGTGCAACAGAATTGTATGCCCAAAGGTAACATCTGAAGTATTGGAGGAATGCCCTCGCAATCTAGAACCCGTTGCCAGGACGGTGGAGAATCAGATGAACGACAGGAGCACAAGAAGGGCCCAATGGTTCAAGAACAAGTTCGTGCTGGAGGAGCATCATCGCCTGTTGCAGGAAGAAGACGAATCTCTAGTGGAAGCCGCAAGAGTCCAGGAAAATCTCTTGCCAAAAGTCGAAGTTTCCGCCAACGAGACAGCAGTTCGCACCATCGAAGGAATACTCCCTTGGAGGGCGAACAAGAGAGTACATCACAGATGAAACGCAATCATTCCCTTGGAAGGCAGTTGAACCTTTCCAACAGCTCCCACCGCAGACTGGGCGAACAAGACAGCACTCCACAGATGAAACGCATTCATTCTTTGGGAGGACAATTGCATACTTCCAATAGCTCCCATCGCAGAAGGGGTGAACTTGCGAGCACCCCACAGATGAGACGCAATCATTCCTTTGGAAGACAACTGAATACGCCCAATAGTAGCTCCCACCACTCACCACACATGAGACGCAACCATTCGTTTGGAAGACAATTGAGCTCCCACCACAGAACGGGTGAGATTGAGAGTACACCGCAGATGAAACGGAATCATTCGTTTGGAAGGCAGTTGGATATTTCCAATGGCTCCAACAGCTCACACCGCAGAAGCAACAACAAGTCCACTTTTTCGAAGAAAGACTTGTTGCTGGCAAGGAACGGCAGCGGAGCTAGTCAGACTAGAGATCGCACTGGTCGGCGAAAAAAGAACAAACAGACTGTGCTACGAGCCAGTGCCGCTTGCGATCTTGGGACAGCTCAAGTGAATGTATTTCAGACGTTGGAGCGTGGCCTTCATTGTCAGCAGAAGCAATCCTTGGAGCACCAATCGGATATTTCGGAAAGCAGTCGTTCGCTGAATCCAGCTACATCTAACGGAATCGGGTCATCCAAAATTCCGTTGGGTGAAACTAGCGCTCAAAATGCTGTTTCAAAGCGAAATACAGAGCCTGGATTGGACAAGCCAAAGGAAGCAACCCAAGAACCTGTAAAGAGAAGTTCAGATCCAGTCAAGTTGGAACTGGATGACGGTGTACAGCCTCGGCCTGGCTATGGTCGTCGATTCTCCTGGTGGAACCTTCCCAGCAGCAGTGATCTGGGAGATTTGGAGGTAGACGAAGATGATGATGATCTACCACCTCAAGTGGTTCCTCCTTCAAGACGATCGTCAATCATGGCAGAAGAAGAGAAACCAAAGAAGTCTAGCAGCATTAACCCAATGTCCACTCCAAAGCAATCCAAAAAGGCCGGACGAAGGTCTACTGGTCAGAAGAAATCTCTGAGAACAAAGTCCTCTTTTGATTCGATGGATTCCGCTCTCACCCAAACGACCGATGCCGAGAGCGGATCTTGGCAGGCCGATTCAAGCGGTGAATTGCTAAGCCCCACCACCCAAAAAGCCCCGATAGATGAAGATTTAGTGTCACCACTTCCATCTATCCCCAGGATGAAGAGGCTGGACAAACAACTGTCCAGTGGAACTTGTACCACGGAGTCCAGCAGCTGTTCCGGTTCCTCGGTCAAAAAGAGCAAGGAACATCGCTCAAAGAAAAGCAAGCGCCGCAAGTCAGCAAAGGAAGGTGTTGAGCATAATCGAACTGCCAAAGCAGATGCGGAAACCAAAGATGCGGTCTTGGAAGGTATTGTGAGTCGACCAATCCAAGATTCACCAGGGGACCATTCCATCCGTTCTACGAAAAGAATTCCCGAGGCCTCCTCTCACAGCCAAACCAGTGCTACGAGACGGAATAACCGAGGATCCATGAAAGAAGGCAGCAAGCGCAATGTTGCGGAAAAGGAGGACTTGGACGGAAGCAGGCGTGGACCCGTCCGAGTTTCATTAGAGGACCATTTCAACTGTTCGAAGAACCAAAGTTTCAATCGTTCGATGAATCGAAGCTGCGATTTCTCGTTTTGCAGCCGAGGCAGCACGACGAAACGAAGCGTTCGAAAATCCATGTCCATCAAACAAAGCAATATGGATGCTTCCAGATCCAGCATGTCTGTGTCTCTTAGTGATGATCAAGATGATGTATCCATTGGCTCAGACTTTGAGGGTAGCGTGGACTTTGATTTCGAAGAGGAAGATATGAATAAAGAACCATCAGCGCCAGGTGTCGAAATCTTGAATGGAGAAGACAGCTTCCAGATTCTTGGTGACGATAGTAAGCACAAAAGCACGAGATCCATGATAAAGGGCAAGACCCAGCGTTCAAGCGGTGGAAATTCTCATTCTGGATCCATCCAAAGAAACAGGAGATCAGCAACTCTTGCGCCATCGAAAAAGGGCATTGCCGTAATGGAAATGTAATGTAACCAAAGTAAAATCGATCGCTAATCCAAAATTTATTAGTTTATCATCATTACGCGATGGATAGGACTAGGACCTACCACAATCATTTTGCTACATTCGGAATGTGCAAACGCAGACTGCGCTTCAGTGTACAAAGTTCTCATCTGGTGCTTGTCCCCTTCAGCAGGTTGCACCTTACTCTACATGACTTTCGCGCTGGATGTAGCACCCCAAGAGACAAGTCGATCAACCATAAATCTTTGCAGTGATGTTTGAAGCAAAGACGCAGTTGTTCCAGCCCAGTTCGAGACCAGGCAATCTGTCATGGATTTTTTTGCCCGAACTTCAATAGTGCAGTTGATGGAAATTCCAATTTTATTACTTGCCAGTTTCGGCCCCAGCATTGTATATTGAGTTCTATTAGTAGTGTTATACCGGTAATAATATAATATAGTAAAATGATAACGTTCAGAGAGAATGGGTCATGTGGATGCAATGGCAGTGAGAAAAGACTGTCTTGAGCTCTTGGCTGTGCTCACGCCATTCGTAATTGAGAAATGCAGTCATGATTGATGATTATATATATGAGTATCCCTCCCCTTTTCGTTCCGCCTCTTAGAAATCGCTGTCGCTGCCGTCTTCTCGCTGAAGATCCAAAATGACAGAATCGTCATCGCTTCCAAAATCGAGTTCGTCTGGAAGCGGATGGACAGCTGCGGCTTCTACGTCGTTGTTATTGTCCCTTCGGCCTCTGCCGCCCACGTGATGTTCACGTTCACGTGAACGGTCACGTTCATAGGCAGCCATGGCCATGACGCGAGGGAAATGCAAGCGTCGCAAGTGTACCAGGCGACGGTCTCGTTGTATTTGGTAATCATCACGGAATTCTTGAAGACGATGGAATTCTTGAAGACGACGGCGGTGTCGAAGCTCTCGTTGTTCAATCATCAATCGGTCGTGCCGAAGGAGCAGTCTGTCGTTGTTCATTGCAGGACGAATAATGGGTTCATCATTGGCAGCAACAGATACCACGGGTCCGTCTTGGTTTTGGCGCTTCATGTTGGCAAAGGCTTGTCGCAAGAGACGAAGTTGTTGTCCGATTGGCACGCCCAAATAGTCACAAATCAATCGCTTAAAGGCTTCCGAGGTTTCTACACCTCGATCCAGCATGGGAAGCTGGCTTCTGAGGTTCGGCGCCATATTCGGTTGGGGCGAAATGGCAATGCCTCGTAAAAAGTCGAGGAGAAAAGTAGAGTGAAGCTGAAGCTTGGTCTCGACATGTCGCTTCAACTCATCCAAGTTGTAAATTCCGTGAAAGGTTGTGGAAAGAGTCGAGGGTATTGGATGGTAAGCCACAGCACTCATCAATATGTCCATATCTTGTATCAGTTCCTCGTCGGCAAATCGAATAACGCGACCGTCTTCTTTCAGAGCTTGGAGCATGAATTTTCGGTCCTTCAAGAGAACCTTCCCGACCTTGTAGAATTCGGCCCAATTGTGCTTGGCAACTTCGAGTCCCATCGGCTTGTCCCGACGTAATTGCTGCTCAATTGCATCGATGATTTGGCCTCCTCGACGGATCCATGCAATCCCCAAATCTCGACTCGAACTCCATAGATCTTCTGGAATATGACTGGGCATGTACCTGAGATTACGAGCCACGGATAGCTCGACCGCTCGGACCGGAATTTCTGGATGCATCCGCTGAATGGTCCAAGAGACGTTCTTGATGGTATTCCAGGCAGTGTGTGGTGTAATGCTAACGAGAATAATCTCTGGCATTTGCTGCAAACGAGCAGAAGCATAGTCAAAGAACTTGGAATTTTGTTGAATGGCAATCTTCATAACTTCCAAATCATCTTGGTATTGGAAATCATTGGCGCTGACAATTTCGTGCAATAGGTCTCTGGATCCGTTCCGTGCTATTTGTAGAATCACAACTCGGTTCCTTCGCAGTTGGGGACATTCTTCGAGAGCCTTGGCATGGATTTCCGCATCACTTGCTTCCGATATGAGAGCCTCCCTGGACAAACATTCTTGTTCCCTCCAAGGCTTGGTCAATTCCAAATATAGTTTCGAGTTGGCCCGAATGGCCATTGTCAAGAACTCCAGATTCATTAGGGCTTTCGGAATGTCCCGAAAGTGAAGTCCATGTCTGAGTGCCATCAAGAGCAACTCGGCATCTTCTTCCATCGAGTTTGGAAGTAGTTTCCACATGGCGCCTCCTCCCGGATTGGCTAGTACTGTGTGAAGCATGAAATGGCGGTCTTGCACAAGTTCTGATCGGGTTGGGCCTGGTGGACAAAATCCCAAGGCTCCTCCATGAGATTTGCAGGCAAGCTTGATGGTTTCCTTATCTTCTTGTAGTCGCATGGAGGCATACTGTAGCTCCATGCCCGCAACCTTGACGGCAGCATGTACAATTTCTTCGGAATCGCACAAGTCTTCCGAACATTCTTGGAGGGAACGAGGAATCTTTTGGCAATAGGCCAACATGATTTCTCGATCGTGGGTCCAGCAACCTGGGACAAACAGGTGACGTTCGTCATATAGCTGAAGAAAGTCGGGACGGTGGCAAAAGGCTAGTACAATGTCCTTGTCGAAACGTAGGCGCTGAGGCAACTGTCGCTCAAAGTCTGCCTTCTCGGGCAAGGTTGGGGATTGTCTCAAGGCAACCAAAACAAATTCCTTTTCGAGTTGCCATTCCGAAGGTAGAGACTTCCAATGGGCTCGAGCATCTTTCGAAATAAGCATCATGGATTGTCTTTTTCGACTGATTGCGCTTGTGGCTGTGGAAGAACAATCATTGGATTGCGAGTATTTTTGTTTCAAGGAAGAATCTGAAGATTCGGATGCTGCCGAGACTGAAGATGAGGCTCTCGAAGTGGAAGTAGAAGCATCGTCTTCACTCATTGGGAAAACAATCATTGGAGCTCCGTTCATAGCTTCAGTTGCAGATGTGTATTATGAATTTTGAGTAGCGTGTGACTTCTTGTGATTGTAGCGTGTGCACGACTGTGAATGAGTGAATGATTGAATGACTGTATGCAATTATTTCAAATCAGACACCAAGCAGGTTGTTTGTGATGTGCAGGTTTCTGACTGAAAGCTTAGTTTGGATAGCAAAGAGTAACTATCGTAGAAAGCCTTATGGAATGTACAGTATTGTTGTCGCTTTGGCACTTGTGTGTGAGTTCTCAAATGCTGTTGTGGTAGCAGAAGTTTACCTAACCTCACGTCCTGAATTTACTACAGTACAGTTTGGTTGATGATTGATGCTGAGAGGTCCCGTCTGCAATAAAACGTTGCTGCTGCGGAACAAACGTAGAGTTTGTGTGGTGGCTGGTACTGCTTTTGGAGGACCGTTAATTGGAAAAAATATTCGAGTTCGGATAAGAGAGTACTCGTTTAGTCTCTAGCTCCATCGTATGCAGGCAGAAAATGAGAGGAGTAAATACTGTAGGTACTGCGCAGTTGTCGTGTTTGGTACCTACTGTATTGCAAGACAACACCACTCCCACTTGGAAAATCTATACATTCTCCATACAGTACCTATTGCAATACTGGTCTGAAATAAGATAACGGTACTACACGGCTACCAAGATTACTGCAGGTCGTAACAAGAAGAAGGATGGCTCCCGTCCCAATGCCAACCTTCTTGACTATATCTTGGCGTGTGACCTGTCATAAGCAATAATGTAGCGAGGGACGTCATTGAATGACGACAATCGACCAACCGGAGGCTTTTTTGCGATCCCTAATGTGCATATTTCTTCTCCCTATTGCCCATGATGTCGTAGTTGTTGTTGTTCGAACTTCTCTTTTCACCTGAACGAATTTACCACCATAGTGGTACTACTACTCCGATGCCTCTGTCGATGATTGAATTGGCGGTATCACATACTCGCCCATGTACGAGAATCGAAGAATCACCAAACAAATTTTCCAAACGCTCAAGTCGGGAAACTTTTTTCGCATTTGAATGTATCGCGGTCGTTGGTACACCAAATAGTTTAGAAATCCTTGAAAGGGATCGAAGAAGGCATGCATGACCAATAGAAAAAAGACCGAGTCGCCACCGGTTATAGTTTGGACGATCCGATTGGTAGTGGACCAGACATGTGTGCAGTAAAAGGCTCCCAAATAAAAACAAGCTTGATGAAAGACTTCGACCGTGTGTGGCATATCCTGGGCATATTGCTCTCGTTTTTCCTTCCATTCTTTCCATCGCGCCAAGAGGCCATTTGCCTTCTTGGCTTCCCGTCGTTCAATTCGTTCATTGGCTTCCGACTCCGCCTTTTGCTTGCGCTTGGCCAATTCGTCCTGGGCTGCGGAAATGTCGCAGGACTCTATCGATCGGACACTGCTGGACTGGCTCCTCTCCAACCGCTTCATGGATAGGGACCAAGCACCCGTTGGTTGACGGTCTTCCGAAAGCTCCCTCATGCTGTGTTTCAAATTGTGTGGAGTGTTATCCTCGAGGGATGACCGCTGCTTTGACATGTCGTCGGAATGATGATACACGCCTTCGGAACTTTCTGGTACGGACCGCAATCCCAGACTTGATGGATCCTTTCGGTCCTTGGCGAGCAAATGGCTGCCCCCGGAATTTCGATCCGGGGGAGCAGATGACACACCGTAGGCACCGGGAATATCGCCCACCGCATCCAATTCCTTAGTTTTTGACAGTGCGCCCAAGCTCCTGTCGGGACTTGTTGCTTTCTTATTGGCATCTAACAATTCCTTTTTTTGGACAGACGGGTGACTCTCTTTCCCTTTTTCATGTTCATCTCCAACTTCCTCTTCTTCTGCATCTGATTCCACTATTTGACCTAGATTGGAACCACCGGATACAGGAACAGCAGGGGAAAACCTCTTTTTCACATCATTTCGGAAGGATTTCATCCCATTCTTCCAAAGACTCATTGTCCGTTGTGGACGTCGGTATCGTAATGTTTTCTTGTCTTGATGAAAGACATACTTCCATACCATATAAGTACTAACCGCTAAGATTGTTTTACAAGGACGAAGTGACATGAGAATAGGTTGTCCCTGCAGCACAGTAGGACGCAAATTATCAGCAGTATATGCACTTACTTGCGACAGCAATACTCATCCATAATGGAATAAAGTAAAACCCAAAGCGATAGATCCATACATTGTCCCCCCGTATACAAGGGTTGTCATTCTCTGGGCCACTCCCATGGGTCCAAGAGTCTTTGCAATCCGCTGGCAGAGGCGCAATCCAACACCACAAGTCAGCATTATTGAGAAGACCGGCCAAAGCAGAGTACAGAGCAGTTCCGAATGCCCAAACAAAGCAAAATGTGTGCATAGCTGGCTCCACAAACCCTCGCAACCTGGTGTCCGAGTAGTTGTAGTTGATCACCAATACGTAATACCAACTCAGCATTGCGTTGTACAAAGGAACTGCCGAACTGAGTGTCAAAAAGAAGCCCTGTGCAGTGCAAGTTCCAGTATTTCCAAAGTTCCAAATCACATCAGGGCTTCCCTTTGGAATGGGCCAGGTGCTCAAGAAATTCCACACACTCTCTAAAACATCATATACGCTCATGGCTAGTAACAATCGATGATAAGGGACTCCCCGTTTGGTCTTTTCGGTTGCCACTTCCACAATGATCCAAATACTCCCAAACAAAGAGAACACGCTGGAAACTTTTGGTACCACCGCCAGCGCGACTTCCTGTTGGTATGAGAGAGGCATTGGAAGTCCTGTGCTTGTTCTTTTATTGTGCTTGTTCTTGTTGCTTGTTGCTTGTTTTTCTTATTGTTGTTGTTGCTGTTCTATATTACCGTATGCGGGCGAACGATGAAGCCTATTACAGTATGACTGATATCAAATAAGCTTCAATATTGACAGGTACAGTAGAAGTGATGAGAAGTGAGAAGTCACGGACGATGGGACATATGCTGAAGTCACTTTATCAACGGTATTTTCAAACTGTCCTAACAACAAAATACCCAACAGAAGGTCCCCATTAAATCTATGCGAGCCGTCTGTTTCTCCAAATAACGTAATAATTTGCTCAAAATCGGAACACATTCATTTACAAAATATTACAGTACAGAATGAGTTTCTTTCGCATTCTTTCATGTTTGTTCGCACATCCGATATATACCGGTATGTACAGTATTATTCATTGAAGATCAACGCAGTGTCAACAATTTCAAATTACAGGATATACAACAACGAACGCTGCGTTCACTTTCAAGAGTTGCAACCGAAAAGCTTTCCAAAATGTCTTGCTAGCACCCCAGCCAAATCGTCGACGACACAAGCAACACCGAAAACAGAAGCACAGAAGACGACAAGAAGCTTGACGAAAAGAAGATGGAAGCATGAACACGACGGTACATACCCAGGACAAAGTGATTGATTCAATATAAGTGAACAAGACTGATCTAACAGGCTATGGAAGAGCCAAAAAATAAATCATTTTGCCAGAAAGTGAGCAGAAAACAGGAAATCGCAGAAAGAAAGGAAGGCAAGAGAACAGCTAGAACGACAACAAGACAAACCAAGAGATTGCTCACCAAAACGAACTGGAAGCGCATTTCACATTCCTTGCAGCACAAAACTAGAGCAGATGTGAAACGGGACCATACTGCCGAGCTGGACAATATTCCAGAATATCCAGAAGATTCAATTCCTTTTAGTTTGACAAATGACACCGGTTTTGTTTTGTGATGAATACCTTTTGGATATCATTTGGGGCTGTGGTTACTGTAGTCGACAATTATTCTACTAGAAGTCTATTTTCTTCAGTTTGGTTCCATTCGTTATTCTTGTATTGACTGGTCTCTTATTACATTTATGGACAACCGTAATAATCATATAAAATAGCTCCATGGAACACGAACATGACTAAGTCTGTATTTCACAATAACGTGCCTCTCTATTCAATCTGCTGTTGAACCCCAAGTCCTCGTTCCAATGAACCCGAAAGACACTGGGGCTTCTGTTCATGTTTACACATCTTTCTTTCTTTCTATACCTGGCTGGTAGATATGTTCCATCCATCCTGCTCCGCTTGCATCACCAAAATTCTCATTCAAAACCCACCCTTTCAAAAGATTGACTCCACCCTGCGCAGCCATATGCTGTTGTACAACAACTAAGCAGTCACGATGATGTAATCGGAAAACTTGAGCACACCCCCTGTACTCTCTGGAAGTTTCCGCAACTCATCATTGGTCGGATCTACATCATCCTTCAAGTATCGCAGTTGCAGAGTGATGGAGTCAGCACTCACTGACTCGGCGCCTGGAACTCCTGCGACGGACCCGGATGGCCTGGAATCGATCAAGGTGGGATTGATGATCACAGTGGTACATGCCATGTCATCATCATCTTTGGTCATTCGCATGAATCGAGCAGGAATGCCATTGGCAAACTTGACGTGATCGGCACCGACCAAACCAAGCATCAAGCCTCCTGGGTTGTCGGCACACCAGGTCGATGCTGCGGAAGCCATGCCTTCGTCCCACAAGATCCGACCGGACAAGAATCTGGAAAAGGTCATTTCGTCATCCAGCTTTTCACCATTCATAGTGTAGGAAAGAAGACCTAGTTTTTGGTGAATCTTGTAACTGGGGCTGATGACGTAGCTGGAATAGGTATTGAATTGGCGTGATTTGGCAAACTCACCAAAACCGACGCTGGAATTTGAAATGGGAAGTGTATGAGATTTTTAGCTGAGTCCAAATATACATATTATGAATGAACACAGCAAGCTTTACATGTACAGATTGAATACGTACGGATCTTTGATGTATTTGCGCAGTCGATTCAAAGGAAGCCGGGCATATCCTCCTTTCTCCACTTCGGACAAATCTTCCGAATCCACATTCAGAGCAACTAGTCGAATGTTCAAGCGCTCGGCCGCCTCAAAGATGGGTCGGTAGTTTTCAAAGTCCCACATCCATCGCTTTTCCCACTCGACACCTTGTTTCATCTCCTCCAATGAAATTTTGCCGCTAGTATAGTCGTCCAAGATGGGCTGAAACTGTCGTTGGACTTGTTCCAAGCCAATCGCCATGGGTGCTTTCACGTTTGCCTTGGTGCGTGATTGATGCAGGCGTTGCACCAGTTCTGCTTGGAATTGATGATCTTTCTGCGAGTTGTGATGCTCTCCAAGCCATACGGAACCGCCCTTGCGTGCTATGGATTGCAAGAATTTGATCGGTTCCACAGCTTGTAACTTTGGATCCATATTGACACTGTCGGGAAGGATGTTGTATGCAGAAAATGTCGGAAGTTGGTCGTTTCCTCCAGGGTTCGCAGCTTTAGCATTTCCAGGAAGCGTTGAAATGGCCAAGCCAGCAGCGCCAGATGATATCGCAGTCAAGGCATTACGTCGATCCAAAGAAGCCGGTTCCGTCAAACCATTGACCAATAATGGATTCCACAGCAAGATGAATGAGATCAGCACAATGCCGAGATTCCACTTCGCCGAGAGGACGCTCGTTGGTGTATATAACATTTCGGGCATGGTGTATTCGTATAGTATGATTATCTCATTGCAATCGACAATACTGCGTACTATAGGATTCATTCAGAACATGCAAATAAGAGATATGAGAATGATTGATTCCGTCGTGTCAGAAAAAAAATGACTCAGGATATTGGAGCTACTTTAGTGCTTGGTGATTGATTCATGATTGATTTATTCAAGCATTATTTATTCCCGAGTTATTGCTTTACCCATTTGAGTTCACTTTTGATTTCACTCTTCCTTCCCTCTCGAGTGGTATTATTCTTCATGTACGAGTATCATCGGATGATAAACTATCCAGACAAGCATAGCCACAGCCCCAATCCGTCGAGTAGCAGCTTTTTTCTGCGGCTTCGAGCTGCTCTTCTCCGTCGTCACTGCATGGGAATGTTGCCTTGTCCGCACATTCCCCTTCCCCATCCCGTTTCATGGCTCGAAACTCCTTTAGCGCTCGATCAAAGCGGCTTTCTCCTAAATATTCTATCGTCAGGTCCAAACTTTGTTTTACCACCTCCATCAGGACATAGTCACCATACTGTTTGGCATACCATTCGTCACTGGCAAGATAGGCAGCAACGGCATCCGAAGCTTTGGGCTTTTGTAGGAAGAAGCATCCCTTTCCTTTGCTGTACGAGTAGGAACCTCCGGCTTTTTTAGAAGAAATATAGAGTATTTCACTCGTTTCGAGACCAAGTAACAGCTGCAACGCCACCAAGGATTCGTCAAAGCGCTCGACGGAAATGAAATAGTCGTAATTCGCCAAGATTTCCTGGATCACTTGGTGCACATGTATGGGCTGTATCACCCTCGTTGGCGCACGTCTGTTCCAGGCGTAGAATTGTGGCAGTCTTTCGAATGCCAAATATTCAATCTGGAAGCCTCCCACTCCTTTCGAAATGACGCCGTTCTGATGATTGCTGTTCATCAAGAACTTCATCATATTTTCATCGGAAGGAGTTTGGTTTCTTCTGGAAATATGCCTGAAATAAATATGACTAATGGCTTGGGCAGCCGGATCTCGAATCGAACTAAAGAGAAACGACTTGTGGACGTCACGATCCTCAAATAGCCTCTTGGCATTTCCTTCCGCCTCAATGTGATGCTGAAATGAAGTGCAGGGATGCTGAGCTCCAAATCGCTTGGCCACATTGTGGGCTATTCGTAACACAATACCAGACAATGTGCTAGATGCCGCCTTTGGCATCTTGTTGTATAGGATCCCACTTGCGTATACACTTCGGTTGAAACTAGGTGTTCCTGTCTCATTCGAAGGATGATGTGCTTCATCGTACGTACACCACGGTGGAATTGCTGATTCTGAGCTTTTAAAGTTTGGTTGAAAGACTCTTGCCAAACCCAAATATTGGACCAATGATGTGTAGTTGATTGCTGATGGATTTGAGAAGTTGTACGATTTCATTAGCTGTAAGCGCTGTGTTCGAATCTCGTCGTTCGTTAGCTTTGTTTGGGAGTCTTGTGGAATGGAAGGAGATTGGGCTAATGATGTGCCCGTGTTGCCGTCTCTTCGAAATAGTTCCATTCTATCCGTGACAAAGAGAATGGCCAGGAGGAGTAACAACACGAAGAACAATAAAAGCCACCGTTGAGACGTTTTGGAAGAATTCAGAAGCGGTTTCTGTGATGATGAGGATGACGGAAGTGGAGTATCAGACTGTGACACATCTCGTGTGCTGATTAGACTTTTGGTTTCCTCGTCATTTTGGATTGCAGTTTCCGGCCCCTCTTCCATCGTCGTTTGATGATCATCCGAATTATAGGTAGAAAAGTTGAGCGAGACTATACTGTTGTGTGATGATTGATGATAAGGGTGCGACGATCGTGGATGATGAAATCGAACGGACAAGCGGAGCGGACTAACGGACGAAAATTGACTACGACGACTTCATTGTTTTGAACTCTTTATCATTATACTGCCTACCAGGTACCGGTACCACACGCGTATCCTAACAACAATATCTTGCCAAAGACAATGATAATAATACATACCTTTCAATCAATATCAGTTCCTACTTAGCAGGAAAGCTGTGCTGCTGTGAATTTTGTTTTGTATTCTATATATCTATATTACAGAGATGAAAATGTCAAAGGGTCCACCAACCAGTCATTGTCCGAACGAAAAGCATTCAAGCTTGTGCGGGAAGATAAAATCTAGTGTACATACAGGAAACCTTTTGATGCATCTGAAAACATTATAATCCAGAGTTGAGCCTAGGTTCCGTCGATGAGGTTGTGTGTATGGGACCTGAAGTCCCACGATGGTTCGAATCAGCATTGAGTTCGAGATTCGATTCTTCGGGGAGATTGAGACTAAATTTCGACCGTTTGCTTTGCAGACTGTCCCTGTCTGCTGCGGACGACCTCAAGTTTCGTGCATCATTGCCGCCCATGAAAGAGAAACGAAGAATGAATAACAGGATTGTTATTCTGCTGAACTCGGGATGCCGTTTTCGCAATTGAATGTATCGCGGCCGTTGGTACACGATATAGTTGAGGAACCCTTGGAACGGATCAAAGAAGGCATGCAATGCTAGAAGGGGAAATATCGATTCGCCATCTGTGATCGCTTGTACGATTCGGTTGCTTGTGGACCAAACATGCGTGCAGTAGAATGCACCGAGATAAAAGCAAGCCTGATGGAATACTGCCACCGTGTGTGGCATCTCCTGAGCAAAACGTTCCCGTTTTGTTTTCCAAGCCTGCACCTTCTTCCTTATAGTACTCTGTCTCTTGACTTTTGGTTTATTCTCTCTATTTTCTTCCCCATCTGCCACATTGACAGATTTCATGATGCTAGAACTTGAACTCGCATCATCGTCCTCGTCCTCGTCCGCAGCATCCATAGACAGCGCCCATGCCCCGGTTGGGTATCCGGCACTTTCGTCCATGCTGGATTTTAAAGTCTGGGGTGTGGAATCGTCAACTTTCTCGGTTGACAAAACTTTCAAATCTTTAGATATACTCCTGCTGCTTCTTGCTGATTCTTCAAATTCTGCAGATTGTTCTTCCACCACTTCCAGCGGTCCCCCAACTTTCAGATCTATCACAATATGCTCACTCTCGATCTGACCCTCCAGAGATGATTCTCCTGGGGTAGTTGTAGAATGGTTATTTTCTCCATTGTCGTCACCGTCGCCGTCATTGTCTTGGTCTTCGCTGTTGTCGTCGTCGCCATCAAAATCGCCCAGATCGGAAGTATCAATGTCTGTCGTGCTACTCCTGCCTTTGAAACCCATAGAAGTCGAAATTATGGAGAGTCTCAACTGCATGTCATCACTCAGTGATTTCAGCGCTCCGAAAATACTGGCACGGTTAGGGAACCGATAACGCAATGTTGCCTTATCTCGTTGATAAACATATCGATATACCATGTATGTGGCAAACGCTGCAGAAATGAATCAATCACAGACCAAATTAGATAAATATCCAATCAGCATACAATTCATGACAACACCTTTGCCACCACCAAAGCGACTTACTTGCAAAGAAAATGCTGATCCATAATGGAATAAAGTAAAACCCAAAGCGATAGATCCATACATTGTCACCCCGTATGCAAGGATTAGGATTCCCCTCTTCGGCAGTCCCATGAGTCCAAGAGTCTTTGCAATCTGTTGGCAGAGGTGCAATCCAACACCATAGGTTGGCGTTGTTAATCAAACCCGCAGAAGCAGAATACAGAGCAGTTCCGAATGCCCAAACAAAGCAAAATGTGTGCATAGCTGGCTCCACAAACCCTCGCAACCTGGTGTCCGAGTAGTTGTAGTTGATCACCAATACATAATACCAACTCAGCATTGCGTTGTACAAAGGAACTGCCGAGCTGAGTGTCAAAAAGAAGCCTTGTGCAGTGCAAGTTCCCGTATTTCCTACTGCCCAAATAACTCCAGGACTCCCTTCCACAATCGGCCATGTACTCCCAAAATTCCATACACTCTCTAAAACATCATATACGCTCATGGCAAGCAACAAGCGATGATAAGGAACCCTTCGTTTTCGCCGGTCAGAAGCCACTTCAATGATAATCCACCCACTTCCAAACAGTGAAAACAGGCTGGAAATTTTGGGCAGAATCGCCAACCAAACTCGCTGCTGGCGTGTAAGGGTCATGTTGCTTGTATTCTGAAGTGTGTAGCGAGGCGTTTGGAAGGCTTGATTTAGGCTCTCTAGCAATATGAATGAGACGAATGAATGACTTGATTAAAAAAAGATATTGGGCTACTATGTATTGGTGAACCAGTGATACCTGGTTGGTCAGGGCGTCTCTGTTTTGAGCCTACCGTTTCATACTGTATGACGAGAAAAGAGCGAAAAAAGTGCCGTTCAAATCGCACACTTTTACGAGGAGGGACATCCAGAATTTCGAAATTATCAATTAAGGTACTCGTGTAGGGAGAACATCCTTTGATTGTCGACAGTTGAAGTTCTTCGTGGCACGCGAAGTTCTTGGATCATTTTGTATGCGATCCTTTCTTTCACGAATAGTAACAACCAGGACGCAGACCTTGCGCAGACCGCACGTTGCGATGCGCTGCGCGCTCGCTCGCGCAAATGGGTTGACGATGCAGTGAAAATCACGAGAATGGAAGCACACTATACACTATGCCAAAGATGCATGTTTGCTCGGTGCTTTCGCTACTTTCCATAATGTTCCCAATCAGAAGTTGACACTTCCCGGAAGGGAAATTTGTTGTATAGCGTTGAAATTGATGCAAGTGACGCGAAGGATGCAGGTTTCAATACTTCGTGTGTGCTTATGCTTTCCCTTGGTGTTGCGTTCTGAAAAGTGTCTATCTGCAAGCAGGCCACTGTGGTTGTTCGCCAACGGATGGATCGTGGGGACGTACCGGTACTGACGTTCAAGGTAGTAAAGGATGTGGTACTGTAGCAGCCCTTAATATTGAGGAAGGAAGGAGGAATGAATCATCAAAGAAATCATTACGAGAAATCATTACGAGGGAGGGTTCATGGACCTCCGCCAAAACGGTTTCTTTGCACATCATCGTGGAACGACACGATTTGTTGAGAATAAGTTCGAGAAGAAAACCGTCTCGCGCGCATGTGCACTGTTTGGAGAGTCCAACCAACGCGCAGCCATCAAGATGTACCGGTATGAACATACCGGTACCGGTACACGGCAGGTAATGCTTGTGCCTGGAGTATGACGCACGGACCCGATATGTACAGTGTTATGGAGTTCAGAAAAATGCACGAGACACCAAGCCTCCGCTAGCATTATCAATATGCTTTTTTGCAAGCAGGAGATGCTAAGCTGAAGAGACAACGGGCAACGACTGTGTTAAAGGGATTTGGAAAATATGGCACTGGAAGCGTAGTCCTTTGTCGACTTTATGCAATCGTTGGAACCGCTGATGATAATCATCGCATGCTGACAAGGAAGTCGCCATCGTCACCGCTTCCAAGTTCTGGACCATGTGATTTATTTTGGACGACTTGGAAATGAAACCGCCATATTGTTGGAGTACTGCCAATCGAAATGATACTTATGCCTTGGTGACGAGCGAATGCTTTTGAGCAATCTGTTGTGCTTCCTCTTGTTCCATTACCTTGACACCCAAAACCGCCCTCTTTGCCCTTTTGCCAGCATCCCTCAACGATGCATAGGCTTGGATAGCGATGCCCTCTTTGGCAGTATTGAATCAATTCTGCCTGACGCTTTTATGACTGAACTTCGACTGGGTTTGCCTTTGCAGTAGTGCTTCAACGATTCTAAATGGACAAGAATGGAACAGTTGGAAACTCCGATGATACGGCGCTGCAATAGCCTTCCAAGTACAAGTCCTCCATTACTCGCCACGCTCAGTACCGTACCTAACTCTGGCACGTTGATATCGGATTCAGAGGCCCTGACGTCGGCAGGATTGGGACATCTTGGATCCTGGCCAGTGGATCAAGTACAAATTGGCAAAGCCCAATTGAAAACGCGTCGACGACTGCGGCTCCAATTGAATGTACCTGCTACATCAAGAATCAACACGTTATGTTCCAATGGAGAACTCGGAAGTGCGACAAAGGCCCAGTACCTATGCTATACGGATACGGGGGGCCGGTCGGGGTTTCTGAGAACATAATGATGCCATTCCTTTATTGGTGGATGGGGACATGATGAAGAACGGGTTTCTAAAATGGTGGCCTAGTCGAAGAACAGAAGAAAGGTAAAGGAGGGTATGCAAGTTTTGCTGGCTCATTTAAATAGATATGACCACCACTCCTGGATGTCCCAAGGATGGCTCCATCAGTCACTTGTGTGCTGCCAGTGATGGCGATGGTTGCGCCGCTTATGCTCCTGACGGTCTCACTCCTCTAACCGGAAAGGGAAGCTCTACTGATTGTTTGAGTACCACCTTTGATGGAAAGTGCGAACCCGAAACTCAAGGAAGTCCAACCCGTATTGAAATGTGTCAAACTGCCGAGCCTGGACAAAAAACCGTCTACTGGGCTCTCAAGGACTCTGATGTTCAAGACATCGGATACTATGACTACTCTGCAAGCGCTAACTACACCTATGCCGCTGATTATGGTACCGATTGTTACTCTCCCAAGATTTCCTGCTTTGGAAACTCTACCTTGTCCTGTGCTGACCCAAAGAACGACATGCTCTTGTCTTCTCGTGTCTGGTCTTATGAGATCCCTGCCAATGATGGTACCTCATGTGACTTGTGCGACAATGGTGGAACTGTACCGACAATGGTGGAACTGTACCAGCTGTGGAACCACCTAGTTCTTCTGAACCAGCCGCTTCTCCAACCAGTCCTACTGAACCTGTCGCAACTACCAACCCCGAGTTGTTTTCCTCGTTGAAAATATTAACCTTTTGTAAGACGATGGCGATAGCAACGACTACAGCCATGGTGCGAAGCCAACAATGCGACCATGAAGAACAAAATCCATGATATGATAGGCACCAATACCACGTTCACCATTAACCGTGACGACGGAAGAGCAAATCGGTTTGGAACACACGTTGCCGTTGAGCCGAAACCGTGGGGAAAAAACTATGCTCACAACTTTCGATTCAGTTTGAAACGGTTCTCGACAATAGACTTTCTACTGAGCTTGGTACATTTTACCAAAGTCGAGACGTTTCTTGCTTCAGCAAAGCAACTTCATTTCACAACAGAATCTACTCATATTTTTGACATTCGATCAATTGCATCGACTCAGTCCTTTCAAAGAACAACAACAACAACAGCAACAAAAACACTTTCCACCATGTTGTCTCTTCGATCTATCATCATGATCTTTCTTCTTTTGGCCATGCAGCCAATGGCCATGCCTTCCTTGATGAGTGGAAACTACACTCGTCCATCCATTCAAGTCTACAGTTTGGGCAACGAAAACATTGTTTCCACTGTTGACTTTGTTGGAACCACCGTGGAAATGGAATCCACTGGTGTTCCTTCTTTCTCCCTTCCGGAGTTTATCATGTCTATTGACTACGAATCGGTCAAGGCTTTCGCACAAGATTTCAGCAAGAAGTACGAAGCCTCCGCCGAAGCATTCACTGATGCCCTGTCTGCCATCGTCGAGTTCTTCAGTATGGAATACAACGCATACAAGCAATCGATCAACTACGAATCGATCAAGGCTTTCGCGCAATACTTCAACGAGAAGTACGAAGCCTTCACCCAAGCATTCACTGATGCCATGTCTGCCATCTTCGAGTACGAAGCATTCCACCAATCCATTGACTACAAGTCCGTCATGTCTTTGGCAGAACTCTTAAATGAGCAGTATGAAGCATACACCCAAGAAGTGTCTACTGCCATGTTTTCCAAGATCGAACACTTCATCCAGAAGCTCGAAGCATACAACCAAGAGTTCCAAGTCGAGTACCAACGAGTCTACAAGAAGCTAGAATACGTTGCCACTGACCTGCTTGCTGCAGCTCCAGCTTGGCCAAGCTTTGACCATGAATTCCTTGTCAGAGATGTTTTCGATGGAGTGCAATCCTACACCACGAAGAAACCGTTCGTCCCAGCACCAGTCCCAACTTGCTATCCCTTGAGGACGCTCAATCGATTGCAATGGAGATATTGGACTCGACCACTTTTGGTGCCATTGTCATATTGCCCTCCTCGTCGCTGCTGTGACTATCATTTATGCCAGCGGTATCATCGATCGAGGGATGTTGTCCATGGAAGAATTATCAATTGTCTTGGAGACTCCCCCTTTGTCCATGACTGATTTGAGAAAGAAAATGACACCGTCGTACATACTCAGATCTGCGGCTGCTTCTGCTAGGTATCAAGCCAGTTGCGACAAGTCTAAGGACCCTTCCATCGTGGACCTCTGCAACCTATTCGCCAACATTTCCTTCCTGAAGGATACTACGGATCCTTCGAAAAATGAGATCTTTAAAAAAAGAGCGACTCATATGTTCATCTACCTCTACCGTTTGACCCTCCTGCAACATCAAGCCTACAGGGGTACTGTTGCACAAAAACATTGTAGTAGGCGGTCGCGTAAGTTAAGGAGGACATACAAATAAAATCATCGGTGAAAATGAGAGGAAGATAGGATGGATGGGTCAGTGCTCGAAGTACTAGTCATGACAACACTCAAAAGTCGTGTGACCTTCAATAATACAAACTTTGAATGGGAACAATAAGTTCGAAGATGAACTAGAAAATAAAAAAATAATAATAGCAATGGATTCAGAAAAAAGATCACCCAATCCTATTTATATATTTTAATACTAGTAGTATATGAAGATAGGACTAAGCTATTTCATTTCACTACTGTATGTTTGCGAAACTTTGCAATGCCTGAGATGATGGCTTTTGATCAGCAGCAGATCTCATGTCAATTCGTATTCCGAAAGTCTTAATATATATACAAGCGGAAGGTACTGCAGCAATTGACTCCGTTTGGTGCCATGACTGGACCCATGATGGCACCCATCTGGGTCATAACATTCGATAAAACTGGAATCTGTATTGTTGCCGCAACGTTTTCCTTGGTTTCCAACTGGATCTGTCAGCCTGATCAGCTTCCTTGATAGCCTGCCTGACTTGCAAAGCATCACTGGCAGTATGGGTCGCTTCAGTGCTCTGAGGTCGTTAGCATGTGGACTCTCGGTAACAAACTTTGCGTAGTGCTATTTGTCGAGAGATCGCTATATTTGCTCCTTTCCAAATGAGAAGAGGGCTTTCTTGATTTTCAGGACATATTTTTGCTGTAGGTCGAAAAATTTGCGTGGCTTCCTTTATTCACCAAAGGATTTAGAACCAAAGGATTTGGAACCTCTTCTACTTGCGTCGTCCATGAAGGAAAACCGCAACGATTCGACCATGACTCCCCACCAGCTCATCTCTGGATGCTTTTTCCTCAATTGCTGGATTCGTGGTCGTTGATAGACCAAATAGTTCAGAAAACCCTGCAATGGATCAAAGAAAGAATGGCAAGCAATCAAGGGGAAGACAGTTCCACCTCCCATGATTGTTTGGACAATACGATTGCTCGTTGACCAAACATGCGTACAGTAGAAAGCTCCAAGGTAGTAGCAGGCTTGCTTGAAGACTTCATAAGTTCGAGGCATATCTTCGGCATACTGCACCCGGCGATTCTTCCATTCGTCCACTTTCGCTCGAATGGTATTCTTCCTGGTCTCTGATTTGGTAGAATTTGTCAGGCGGGGATCCTCGTCCTCGTCCTCATCACCGCTATTGGAGTCATTCAAATCGCCGAATGCATAACTTTCTTCCCGCTTTTCTTCTTCTTCGTCATTGGGGCCATAGTCACCTCGGTTCGACGCCACCAAAACATCAATTTCCCGAAACACCTTCTCTTCATCAATCGAGTCTAACGTTGATTTGCTATCCACCGATTTGTCATCGTGCTCGCATTTTTGCGTATCTTTCTTGTCCTTCCCATCATTCAGGTCCTCAAGATACTCATCATCATCTTCACTATCGTCCGGATAGACATCCCTTACACTTCCTGACAAATCGATTCTCTTGCCAATGGAGGATGACGATTGAGATTGATTTCCACCCGAGTCGACGCTGGGTGTTTTGGATTTGTCAGAGCTTCGAAGGGTTGATGAGGCTTCGTGTATCTTGGACTTTCTGCTTGTCTCTCCGTTATTCGACCACCAGGACGTGTGTCGACCTGCGGTCTCAGGACGACGGTAAGCCAAGGTTCGCTTATCCGTGTTGTAGACATATCTATAGACCCAAAGAGTACAAGCGGCTAAAAAGAGGAAATCAATAGGTAAGATTTTCGTTTGCTGCAACCGATTGGAACTTTAGCGTCATCATCATTCGTCATCGCATCAAAGAACTTACTCGCAAAGAAAATGCAAGACCAAAGAGGAATAAAGTAAAAGCCGAACCGATATATCCAGACATTATCACCACGAATGCATGGGTTGTCATTCCCTTCTTCGACAGTACCATATGTGATCGTATCCTTGCAATCCAAGGGCAATGGTGCAATCCAGCACCATAGATTCGCATTGTTAAACAGACCAGTTGCAGCAGAATAACTGGCTGTTCCAAACGACCAGAAAAAGGCGATCAAGTGCATGATTGGTTCCACTCGCCTTCTCAGCTGTGTGTTGGTGTATCGATAGTTGATAACCAGAATATAATATATGCTAAGCATAGCGTTGTAGATGGGTACCGCCACACTCAACGTGAGAAAGAATCCTTGCGCTTCACAGGTGGATACATTCCCCATTGCCCAAATGATATCAGGACTGCCTTCTACAATGGGCCAAGTGCTTCCGAAATTCCAAAAGCTTTCTAGAGTGTCATATATGCTCATCGCCAATAGTAATCGGTGATAGGGATTCTGAATCTTCCTTCCCTCGGTTGTTACTTCAATGATAATCCAAAGGCTACCGAAAAGCGAGAAAACGCTGGAAATTTTGGGAAGAATGGCCAACCAGACTCGCTGCTGTCGTGAAAGGGCCATACTACTTAATTTTTGAAGTGTCTGATAACTTTTTCGCGTGTCGAGGCGTTTGGAAGGCTTGTATTGAACTCTTGTTGATGAAGGAGATGAAGGACTTTATGTGGTAATGGTACTTCGGTACGTACACGTACCTTTGCCGGTGGTGTCTGGCGCAACGAAAAAGTGCCGCTCAAATAGCATATTGACGATGAGGGACATCCAGAATTTCTCCATTAAAAGTTCCCGTAAATGGAGAACAACTAATTGATACCCTTTTCAAGTATTTGCTATGATTTGGTGTTCTTTTGAACTCATCATTCGTTCGAATTCCTTCTTGATGGTGCAAGGTATGATCTGAGCACTTCGGAGGGAGCACAAACAAAAAATTCCGATCGATTTTCGGAAGAAGCTGTACTGGTACTTGAAGAACACCATTACCACATTCTTTACAACGGCGGATCATTCGGAACTGCTACCTGGTACCAGGTACAGACCGGCCAAAACAACAGATTCATTCTTTTCATTGCCACTCATCAAAGCCATACCACTGTAACGGGTACCAGGTAGGTATACCGGTATACGGTAAGACAAAAGTAAAACTATAACTTGGACATTATCCCGACATGGTGTTACTGTACAAAGATATGCTTCGCACGAAGTAGGAATACTTTGCTCTTGGTCCAGCTGCAACGTAGCAAATAGTCATCACGATGACAAACTGGACTCTAAAAAAGAAGGCTGACTCAAAAGCAGCAAAGATCCCATCATATGTATTGTTGCCGCAACTTTGTCCTTGGTTTGCTATTGGTAGCTTACCGGTACATGAATCTTCAAAGTTTTATCGGCCGCGTAGTTTCGCAAGTTGCTTCTTCAGTGTTCCGTAGAGTCGTCAGGTGAAACTTGGGTCACAATCATCTAGGTACTTTCATTGTTCGAAAGGTCGCCAGATTTACTCCTTTCCAAATGAGAAGAGGATCCTCCTCTTGAACTTCTGGACACATTTTTGCTGCTGCGAAAGGAGTTACGAAAGGAGAAATTGCGCGAATTCTTCGAGTCACCAAAGGATTTAGAACTTCTCCCATTTGCGCCATCCATGAAAGAAAACCGCAACGACTTGACCATGACTCCCCACCAGCTCATCTCGGGATGCTTCTTCCTCAATTGCAGGATTCGTGGTCGTTGATAGACCAAATAGTTCAGAAATCCTTGGAATGGATCAAAGAAGGAATGGCAAGCGATCAAGGGGAAGACAGTTCCACCTCCCATGATTGTTTGGACAATACGATTGCTCGTTGACCAAACATGCGTACAGTAGAAAGCTCCAAGGTAGTAGCAGGCTTGCTTGAAGACTTCGTAAGTTCGAGGCATATCTTCGGCATACTGCACCCGGCGATTCTTCCATTCGTCCACTTTCGCTCGAATGGTATTCTTCCTAGTCTCTGATTCAGTAGAATTTGTCAGGTGGGGATCTTCGTCCTCGTCATCGCCACTATTGGCATCATTCAAATCGCCGAATTCATAACTTTCTTCCCGCTTTTCTTCTTCTTCGTCGTCGGGGCCGAAGTCACCTCGCATTTCTCGGTTTGACGCCACCAGAACATCAATTTTCCGAAACACCTCTTCTTCATCAATCGAGTCTCCCGTCGATTTGCTATCCACCGATTTGTTATCGTCGTTTTTTAGTGAATTCTTCTTGCTGTCTCCGTCAGTTAGGTCCTCAAGATACTCATCGTCACCACTATCTTCAACACCGTCCGGGTAGACATCCCTTACACTTCCAGTCAAATCGACGATCTTGCCGATGGAGGATGAGGAATGAGATTGATTTCCACCCGAGTCGACACTAGGTGCCTGTGATTTTTCAGAGGCTTGAAGTGTTAGTGACGCTTCTTCCTGTTCTTGCTTTGGCGCTTCTTTTGTCATGGAGTTGTCATCGCCCGACTTGACTGGCGGAGGGGTATTGGGGGTGGCGTCATTATCCGACTTGACTGGAGTTGAATTCGTGGTCTGGTGATGGGTGCTCGTATGGGTGCTTTCAGTTGCACCAGATCGAGTGACTACGTTTGGCACGTGTACCTTGGATTTTCTGGATAATCCTCCGTTATGTGACCACCATGTCGTTTGTCGACCTGCGGTCTCGGGACGACGGTACGCCAAAGTTTGCTTATCCGTGTTATAGACATATCTATAGACCCAAAGAGTACAAGCGGCTAAAAAGAGGAAATCAATAGGTAAGATTTTCGTTTGCTGCAACCGATTGGAACTTTAGCGTCATCATCATTCGTCATCGCATCAAAGAACTTACTCGCAAAGAAAATGCAAGACCAAAGAGGAATAAAGTAAAAGCCGAACCGATATATCCAGACATTATCACCACGAATGCATGGGTTGTCATTCCCTTCTTCGACAGTACCATATGTGATCGTATCCTTGCAATCCAAGGGCAATGGTGCAATCCAGCACCATAGATTCGCATTGTTAAACAGACCAGTTGCAGCAGAATAACTGGCTGTTCCAAACGACCAGAAAAAGGCGATCAAGTGCATGATTGGTTCCACTCGCCTTCTCAGCTGTGTGTTGGTGTATCGATAGTTGATAACCAGAATATAATATATGCTAAGCATAGCGTTGTAGATGGGTACCGCCACACTCAACGTGAGAAAGAATCCTTGCGCTTCACAGGTGGATACATTCCCCATTGCCCAAATGATATCAGGACTGCCTTCTACAATGGGCCAAGTGCTTCCGAAATTCCAAAAGCTTTCTAGAGTGTCATATATGCTCATCGCCAATAGTAATCGGTGATAGGGATTCTGAATCTTCCTTCCCTCGGTTGTTACTTCAATGATAATCCAAAGGCTACCGAAAAGCGAGAAAACGCTGGAAATTTTGGGAAGAATGGCCAAAACCATTCGTTGCTCTCGAGTCCACGCCATCCTAAACTTGTTTGATGAATTGTAGTAAAGCTGTCTTCAGTGCAGTGAAACGCCTTATTTTAAAAACGTCAAGTCTTAAAATGTTCAGGTTTGCAGAGTTAGTGAAGGCTGAATAAGAGCTGAGAGCTGAGAGTGGATGCTATCCTCTTGTCTGGAGAATGGGTGTGTTTATGCTCTAGGAAGAATGAATCACTCCTCCCTGCTGTCGTTGCGCAGCCGCAATCAACTCTCGTACACTCTGTCCGTGGACCGGTACACGTGTACATTGCCATACAGTCTTTTAATTATCGATGAGCGATGAGCCCGAAAATTCTAATGGAGCACTTCTGCAGGTAGAAGAAGTTATTTCTGCGAATGTCGCTTGAAGGAGTATTTTGTCCAAGCATATTAAGTATTTGATGGCGAAAAATAGTGAGTTTGGTGGCGAAAAACAGAGCGAGACGCCTGACAGCTTCGCCCGCGAAGCAAACGGAGGAAGGAAGAATCTGGGACTGGCACCCAAAACTGCCACAGAGGCACCAGGAAAGGAGTACACATGCAAGCTTCCTTGTTCTCCTACCGTTCCGTTGAGAGGTAGAAAGTGAAGAATTAACACCCCAACCACATAGAAGTGAGACCCAAAATGCAGCTTTGAAAACTATCGTAGTGTCTACTTGCAAGAAAATAACAGCACAACAACAAGAATGCAAGATAAGGTGCGCAGTTTGTTTTCCTAAAAGTGTTTCATTGCGCAGTTTGTTTTCCTAAAAGTGTTTCATGTTTTTAAAATTATGTGGGTTTTGTAGTTTAAAATGCGGAGGTGTTGGTTTCAAAATTTGTTGTTCCAAATCACCGTCAAAAGTGGGGTGTCTCTATGTGAAAAAGTAAGTTTTGCAAAATAGACGGTGCTGAATCGTTGTGGTGGTGGTGGTGGTTGCTTTCGTTCTGCTTTCAAGCAGCTGCTGCTGTACAAGCTTCGTGGCAGGAGAGACTTGCATTGGTGAAGAATCCTTTCACGTAGAGCTTGGAGGTGTCGTAACATTTGCGCTCGGTCAGAAGCATAAGTACTGACATGAGTTTTCCAAAACATTGCTTGGCAAGGATGAGGGAACCCATTCGTTCATGGATCACTCCAATGTTGTTCAGAATTGCCATGATGAAGTGAAAGTTGGAGTTGAAGTAGCCTCCTCGTTCTTGCATTTTGAATGCAAGTCCGTAGATCTTGAGTGCCTTGGCGTACAACGTGTGTTGTTGTTCGGCATTTTTGGTGATGGCTTCTGCTCGCAACTGATGGGCAAGGCCCAAATTGAAGAGGAAGATCGAGGACATGAGCCTATCCCGATCCTTATCAAAAGCAACAGATGAAGGCATTCGGATTCCAGTTCGGTACACGAAACGGTTTGCCTGATCGTCGTCGGAGTGCTCTCCAGAATCGGTACTACTAGCTTCATCCTCGTCATCGTCGGCTTTGCAGGGTTGACTGATAGCCATGCATTGATCCAAGCTTAGGGTTGTAGGACGAAGGTTATCTTCTGAGTTTTCGTTGGGATTATTATGATCGCACACAAAATTGCGAAATCCTTCCACGAGGTGCGACAAACCACAGATGGCAGCATCCATGTTGCCTGAAAGTGAACAAAAAGAAGAAGATTGGTTCGAAGCAAAACAGTGAGTCTAGTGTGCAAGAAAGTATGACTGCAACATTGTATCTGTCTCTCTTTCTTCTTACCTGTATCAATCAAACTGACGGCATCGTTGTTTCTATCGGCTGCAAGGGAAGGTATCATGATTATTATGGTGAAGATACTGTTGGTGGTTTCTGTTTTGTGTTCTCTGTTGCAAATTTGGTGGGAAAGATTCGTCTCCCTTTTTCCACTCAGATTTTGGAAGCAGACGGCGGAACTTCCCGAAGGCGAAGGTGAGCGAATGTGAAGATGCGAAGTTAGTGTGACGTAATTTCCGTCTATCTTGCAAAGAGGTTCGGTTGAAGACCGAAATGTCAAACCATTCATTTATGTGTACATGAATAAACATTTAGGAAAGCGATTTCTTGAAAAAAAGCCACTATTGATCAATGACCTCGGATTTTTCGCGATAAGACATTCGCATGTTGAAGCAATAAGTAATGGCTCATGAGTAGAAAAGCGAACGCAGCGATGAGATCACAAATTCCAACATCTAACGGGAAGTTCCGAATTCGTGCCGATTCTCCTTCTGCTCCCAAGCAGCAGTTCGGGGGGTGTTCACACACAACGCAACGATGACGACTGGGTCACTCAGCGCCCGGAACAGATCCCATTGTGACTTTTTTCGTTTCGCTCGTTGGGGCATAGTTGGCTAAGCTTTGTAGAGATACTGTAGTTGGGATTTTTCTAATCGATCAAGAAACAAGAGATCCCGGGACTTATTGTTCCCAGACTGCAATACCCTCGTTCCTTCTCAAAGAAGATACTGTATGAAGCTTTGAAGAACTGCTTTATTGCTGGCTGACCTCTGCCAGGTACTTACTACCAGGAGGTCCCATTGTATATAATAAGTGGCTAGTCACCTGCTGGGTTCAGTCTCGAAATAATAACCTCCAAGAACGATGATGATGGAGCTTTGAGGGAAGAACTACACAGTTGCTGCTTGCCTCTACTACTACCAGGTCCCGTTCTACGATAACTACAGTAAGTGGCTAGAAATAGTAGCAATCTGGTTGAAAAGCAATCATGATTCTACCTGCTACTCGTACTCCTCCTGCTGCTTGTACTAGTAGTAGCTGAAGAAGGTAAAAAACAGCATCATGATTGTAGCTGCCTGTAATACTACTAGCAGGCTAGTAGTACTAGTAGCTAGCTGAAGTTACACTTCGTCTTTTCTAGCTGCGGCAAATCAAAAGAACATTCCAGAGACGATACTACAGCAGTACTACAGAGCAGTTTGATAGCAGCAGCCATCTTCGTGCGCGTCGAGCTACTATCCCAGCTCCATCGGCTGTGACAAGCTACCACCGTTACGGTACCGGTAGCATTCATCACAAGCAAAAACCTGGAACAGTTCCATAATGTACGTACTGGAACTGTCATACTGCAAACTTCCGGAACTTTTGCTACCACCTCCTGCAGTACAGCGTAGTGATACTGTGGTGCTGTAGGATTTTTAGAGTCCTCCTCCAAAGTGTGTTTTTGGCCGCCGTCCAAACGTTGCGTATCATTTGGAAATACAGTAGTCGCATGAGTCGAGAAACAATGACTTTCATTGTGACATAGTAGCGACATTCATGCTCGGTTTCCGGCGCCGGACAAGAGAATTTTTGGCCACGGCACGTGCTTCCCATAAGATCCATCTGTTAGTCGTATCAAATAGACAACTTTAGTGGAGTGGGAGGTGCACGATCCGGAAGTGTTGTGTGAGTGTTAGGAAAAGGAAAGCACGCTTTACTGCAGCATCCAGCACTTGACCGTAGAGACCTCGACAGCTTTGTCTGTATTCAAGCAAGCAAACAAGCAAGCAAGCATAAGCAGACTACATTCATTCACAGTCGCACAAAACATCATCGAAAATGGCACATGGACATCATAAAAAGAGAAAGAGTGGACGAAAGAGCGGCGGAGGCACCCGCAGATCCTCTTCGTCTCACGCACATGAACTAGAAGATGATTACAGCGATTATGAAGACGACGAACGAGTGGAAGGTCGAAGAAGTAGTAGTCGACGCAAAAGCTCTCGTAAATCTCAATCTCGTAGCAGCCGTCCTGTAGTGGAAGAAACGCATTCTCCATCGCAAAGCCGGCGTTCTGGCAGTCGAAGAACCTCATCCGCCAAGGATTTTCCAGAAGAAGTAGTAGATGACAGACGATCGCACATGCTGAATCAACGTTCGAGCAAGAGGCATCAAAGTTCGAGAGACTTGAAGGAATCCAAACAGAAGCAAAAGAAAAAGTCTGCTTCTTCCCAATCCGCACGCCACATCTATGGCTCCAAGGATACACATGTTCAAGTAGCCGAACGGGTGGACCCTCTCACCAAGATCGATATGGTTAGCAAGTTGGTCGAAAACATGGGAGAGGATGATCTCGAGGTCGTCAGCAAGTTGCTGAACAACTCGGACGGAAAGGGGAAGGGAAAAGGAAAGAAGACAAAGAAGAGAGATATGGAAGATGATGACAGCGATGAGGAGACCTCGTACTTTACTAAACTGTCTTCCAAAAAGAAGTATGCTTTGATTGCATGTGCCACATTCACGGTGACTGTCGTCGTTGCGGTTTGTGTGGTCGTTTTTGGATTTGCTCAAGGAGCCATTAATACAGCAAACGGATCAAGATCGAACTATCCAGTGTTGGACATCATCAAGTATTCTCCTCTATTGACAGGAAATATTACCATTGGTACTTTGCCAGGCGGACCGGCCGAAGAATTCTATCTCAATATCAACTTTGTCAACTTTTCCATTTTTGATGAAGAAGATTTGGTGCTCTACATTACACGGGGATTCAACGACACATTGATTGAAACAAGGCAGCTGCAAACGCACTTTCGGTTTGAAAAAATTGCACTGCTAAAAATGCCCATCAAGCTTCCACTTGATTTCTTTCCAGGAGAGTTTGAAGGCATCGTTTTGTCGGATGAAAACGAAGCTACACTCAGGCGAATTGAGCTGGTGCAGTCGCCACTGGAAACCATCGACGACGAACGTGATGCCATGCAACCTTCGGGACAGCCGACTTCTTCCATGGCTCCAACAAACCGGCCCAGTTTGAATCCTACCGAACGTCCTTCGATCTCGCCCACCCGCAATCCGACACTCCGACCATCTCATGTACCTTCGATGGTTCCGTCCATTTCACCTTCGACATCACCACCTTCCCAAACACCAACGGACTATCCCACAGTCACGCCGCGACCTACGAGGCTTTTCAGCGATGCACCTACCGATGCACCCTCACAAAACCCCACAGCGGACAATCGTCTGACACGCTTAGAGGAAGTTCTGACGGTCACTTTGGGGAGATTTCCAAACCCGGCAACTTCCTCCACTCCACAAGCAAGGGCAGTCCGGTGGCTGGCAGAAGGAGGTCCTGGAAGTAACCTTAATCTCAAGGGACCCGAGCAGAACATTCTTCAGCACTTTGCATTGCTGACACAGTGGTACTCGACTACTCCCAATGAATGGACTTCTACCAATACCATTGTCGACCCGTCCAAGCCGCTTTGTGAATGGGAAGGTGTCACATGCAATTCAGGCCAAGGAATTGGAGAAGAAGAAATCGTTGCCTTGGAATGGCCAAAGGTCAACATGCAAGGTACAATGGCGACAGAATTGGGTTTCTTGACAGCTCTGACTGCCCTGGATTTCCATGAGAACCTTCTTCGAGGGTCTGTACCTACAGAATTGGAAGGTCTGACGAACTTGAAAGTATTCGACTTGGGTCAAAATCAACTGACTGGAGCATTGCCGAAATTGAGCAACAATCAAGGTGGGCTTGAAACATTGGACTTGGTAAGTAACCTTGGCATTGACACCATCATTCGAATACATTGAATCTAATCCAGTCTATTGTCCATCACCATTACAATCTATCTCTTTCTCTCTTGTCTTGGAAGGGTCAAAACATTGGGTTGTCTGGCAATTTGGCATCCTACATTCCCACGCTTCCGAGAACCTTGAAACTATTTTCATGTGAAGATTGCCAGTTGGCTGGAACTTTGCCCATTCAATTACGATCTCTCCAAGCGCTAACAAAGCTGAATCTCAGTGGGGCTGGAATTGAAGGCAGTATTCCGTCCAATTTAGCAGAGCTTCCACAGCTAATAGAACTTGAACTCAAGGACAACTTATTCACTGGACAGATTCATCCACGTTTTGCCACCATGACGAAGCTGGAACGGTTGGACTTTTCCAGCAATCAATTGACTGGTTCTGTGATTAGCGATCTTGGACGCCTTACGTCATTGCGACGACTGGATCTGAGTAACAATGCTTTGCGTGGGGCCGTTCCCTTCAGTATTGTTTCTATGCGAAGTTTGAATGTGTTGGATCTCTCGACTAATCAGATTGCTGGCAACTTGCCTCGTCTCTCCGGTGCTTCCCTGATATCCGTGAATGTCAACAACAACCTCGGTATCACCGGCAACATGGGTGTTATATTTGCGGATTCTCCAGACACCTTGAATGAGTTTGGATGTTCGAAATGTCAACTGACTGATCTGACTATCCCGAATTCAATTCAAAAGCTGAACTTGCGGGAAACTGGTCTTTCTGGTCCCATTACTGCAGTGATGAACCAGCTCCGCATGGAGAATCTCACCAGCATCGAACTTCAATACAATGCCTTGACCGGCCGAATTCCAATCCAGCTCCTTTCTAATCCAACCGTTGAAACTGTTCGATTGAATAATAATCTGCTATCCGGTTCCATTCCTTCCCTTGCAAATGCTCCATCGCTGAAAGACGTGGACTTTTCCGACAACAATGGGATATTCGGCGACACTTTTACGATTCTGAACTCCCTTGGTCCGCAAGTAACTCGATTCAGTTGCAACAACTGTACGCTGGGAGGCGCTCTTACAGATGCCAGCCTTGCATCCTTGCCCATCCTCGAAGTGTTGGAATTGGAGAGAACTGGATTGAGTGGACCCATACCAAATTCGTTAGGAAGCTTAGAGACCTTGATTGAATTAGACTTGAGGAAAAACACCATGACAGGCACTGTCCCATCGGCACTTGCAACTTCATCGAAGATCACGAAACTCTTGCTAGGAAAGAATCAGTTGACGGCATCCTTGACAAGCTTCACTGGGTCTTCTCTTGAAGAGTTATCCTTGGAAGAAAACTTGTCAATCACCGGGGATCTGAATGCATTTTTTTCCATCGTCTCAAAGACACTAGTTGAGTTTGATTGTGATCAATGCAAAGTTCCGGGAACTCTTCCAGGATCGCTGCTGAGGGATTTTCCGAATTTGAAAGTACTGAAGCTCGAGCGGGCAGGCCTCGTTGGATCCATCCCAACAGAGTTGGGTAGAATGTCTCAGCTAAGCAGTCTTGATCTCGGGAGCAACAGACTCGTTGGTACGATTCCAGAAGCCATTGGCGACATCGCAACACTTTCCGAAATTCAATTGAATGACAATCTGTTGGAGGGCAATATTCCTGTTTTCTCAAGTCCAATTCTAGAAGTCATCAATTTGGTACGTTGGTGAAACTGGACAGCCTTTCCTGATTCTAGTATTTGATCTTGCCTAACATCATTTTGTTTTCCTTGTGCAGAACGATAACATTGGTCTTCGGGGTAGAGTAGATGCATTCATTGACTCCTTTCCTGCTCTGACAATGACAGAAATCATGTGTACGTAACTTCTGACCTTATGCAGCTTGGCAGTCGAATTGAATCATTTTGTTCACTCATTCTTTATGTCTCAGGCGAGGATTGTATTCTGGAGGGTACTTTGCCACGAAGCATTTCGAGATTTCGAAACTTGGAAGTCCTTCGACTGGATAAGGGCGGCATCATTCAGGGCAGCCTACCAACACAGCTGGCGGAGCTGACAAAGCTCAAGCGGCTGGACGTATCCCGAAATCTCATCACTGGAGTCGTTCCGGCGCAATTCCGGGACCTAAGAACTCTAGAGGAGCTTGACCTTGGAGGTAACTATCTTCGCGGTTCCATACCAGCCTTCCTCGGCGACTTGTCCAACTTAGAGGAGCTCATCTTGAGCAACAATATATTTTCTGGGACCGTTCCTCGTAGAGTGGGCACATTGCAAAAACTCAAGGTTGTGGACCTTAGCGACAACGATCTGACCGGGCCGATACCTCCATTCACCAGTGACTCCCTTCGGTTCCTTGATTTGGTAAGTTTCTTATTTCATTCTTGCGCTGTATACCGTATACAATCCATTGAATTCTCGTTCTAATACGCATACGTATTCTTTTAGAGCGACAACACGCTGCTTGAGGGAAAACTTGATTGGATTCTTGGGAACTTGACGGACAAAATACAGTCCTTTGCTTGTAAGTGTCATACCGTGTCTATTCGTGTGGATAATCTTTTCCCAACAATTCATTCTCATCGCTCTTCTATGCAGGCGAGGACTGCGTTCTTCCTGGGTCCATTCCTTCGAATCTTATTGCTCGCAAATTGAGCCTTGAGTATATCAAACTTCAGACTTGTGATTTGGTGGGCACCATCCCAATTGCTTTTTCAAGGCTTGTCAATTTGACGTCCCTGGATCTGTCAGAGAATGATCTCGTTGGAAGGGTTCCGACCCAAATTACTCAACTCTCAAAGCTGAAGAAGTTCGATGTTTTCGATAACCTGTTGACAGGCACAATTCCGCGGTTCAGATCGCTTTCCAACCTAGAAGCTTTGGATCTGGTAAGTCCATCTTTCACCACAATCTCGTAGTACTGAGTCCACGCCCTGTCTCACCATTGAATTGCTCTGAGTATAGGGAAAGAACCAATTCGTGATTGATGCCTTTACTGTATTCGACACTCTGCCGACGTCGCTCAAGGAGTTGATCTGTAAGTCACCTTTTGATTTGTTCCTTTAAATTTTTTGAGTCGGATGGAAACTGACATCCTGCTTTCCTACTGTAGTTGACGAGACGCCACTTGCCGGAACCCTTCCCTACACTGGCATCCAGGCGTTCTCCAGTTTGGAATATTTTGGAGTTAGGGGTTGCAGTCTCTATGGGCGTCTTCCTCTCTTTGATGGTTTGCAGAACATCACCACCATTTATCTTAGTGAGAACACTCTAAGTGGGACCATTCCTGCTTCGTATGGACAACTGACCAAGCTCCAAATCTTGGACCTTTCTACAAACGATATCTTTGGCAACATTCCCAATTTTGCCAACGCAAGAAGCCTTCGCCGAGCGGACTTTAGCTACAATATTGCTCTTGTTGGAAGTCCAGACAGAATATTCCAAGGAATGCCCGAGTCACTGGAAGACATTCGATGCCAGTTATGCGGCTTGACGGGTCCAATTCCAGGCCAATCCATGTTGAGATTCAGGAATCTCACTGGTATTCTCCTCCAAGAAAATACGCTCACGGGCCAAATTCCGACGCAATTCGGTTCGCTCACCAAACTAAGCCGTCTAAGTCTTGGTGGAAATGCTCTAGTCGGCTCGATTCCAACTCAGATTGCGAGTTTGCCAAGATTGGAAATCTTTGATGTGTGGGGAAATCAACTTACGGGAGTGGTGCCGTCCTTTGCTCAAAATGATGGCTTTCTCAGTTTCTTTGATATTGAAGACAACCTCGTTACCGGATCCTTGTCCGGGATTCTCCAAGCACTTCCACCAGAATCTTTGCAAAAGTTCTACGCTGGCTACAATCAAATCACAGGTTTCATCCCACCTACAATTGCGTCCTTTCCCAAGTTACGAGTCTTTGATATTCGGTTTGCCACTGTTGGTGGGACACTGCCAATGGAAATGGCGTTCATGAATCAAATGGAAGAATTGCGGATTGAAGGGAATGGAATTGGTGGAGTCTTCCCCGCGGGTATTGCCAATATCAGAACCTTGGTCCAACTGGGAATCCATGCCAATCGTTTCAGTGGGTCGCTCGATGCCGTGTGTGCTGCGAATGCCGGTATTGTTCCCTTTCCTATTGACATGACGGCCGATTGTGCTAATCCAGTTCTTGTCTCCTGCAGTTGCTGCAGCGATTGCTGGATGCAGAATACAGGAGGCTTTCCTGTCTAGTGTAATTTAGATTTTATAGAAATACATACTATGTTATTGGCAAATAATAATTGCCACGACGCGCACATTGTATACAAAAATTTAGTTCATTGATTGATTGATTGATTCAATCATTTCATTCGTTCCTTCGTTCCATTAATTGATTCACTGGTTCAATGTCCATCATCGTCTCGGCTCCACCAAGTGGGATCTGCTTCTGATCGACTGGCCCAGTCTTCATTGAGTGAAGCATAGTCCACAGATCCGTCGTCCCTGGCATTCTGACCACTGACGCCCCGAGAAAACGGCCACCACGACGAGGAGGACGAGGATGCATTGACTCCGTCACGGACTTGATAATTATTGGAAGTTCTATTGGTCCACGATGGTTGACCAAACAAAAGTGGTTCTTCCAAGTTGTCCGAATTGTCTCTTCTGCGGTGGTTTCGACCACCACCACCACTCCACCACCAAGGAGAACGGCCAGCTGCCCTGGAAGTGTACCGAGACAAGTTTTCGGCGTCTTGAATGTCTTCGAGTTCAGAAGCGTAACAGTGTCGCAAAAAGCAGAACAACAAAACTTCCATTGCGGCAAAGACTAAAAAGCAAAGAGGCAAAACCTCTTTTCTCTCAAACTGGAGCTTCATGATCCAGGATGGCAGGTGTTTGGCATCCGTAAAGAGGACAATGGCAGTCACCAAATAAAGTAGGACGAGTACTGGTCTGCTACTCATATTGAAATGAAAGAATCGAGCACCGATCACACTCCTTAGCAAAAGGATAGCTCCAAGAAGAATCGACAGCACCATTAAGGTAAGCGTCACGACATCCATGTGAGTCGTGCTGGCGTCCACCTTGTTCTTGTGATACAGAAAAAAGGTGAAGATAATCAAAAGAGCGCTGAAGAAACCATCGAATATCTGGTTCCACCATATACAACGATTCTTAAGGGACAGCGGTCGTGGATCACCTTGAACGGGAGCAGCAGCAACCGCATCTGCAGAGGAAGTGGCTCGTTCATCTGCGCGCAAGGATGTCGATCGATAAGTCTCATCATTGGCCGCAGACTCCCATGGATTGTCAAAATCGTTTGACTGAGCTTCTGAAGAGGACATCGTACTGTGTGGTGACTGGAGACTCTGTCAGGCAGGAAACTACAGTAAGGTGATGCTTGAGGCGAGCTTGTGGTTTGACCAGTTTGCAGTTTTTAATTTTAATTCGATCGTTGCAGTGTAATACCGGTACTTCTGCTGCTCGTGTTTATATTCACGGACAGGTCTTTTGTCGGACACCTGACCCAAAAACATGGCACGTGCACATGAGCACCAAAGCAAGACACCCCAAGACCCTGCACCTCAGCCTTCAAATTCAACACGTCTATATCGATTGAATGTACTTTTACATCTTGAAAAGATTAGATGAAATTATTCTTACAGGGCAGAGCGCAACGCTCTTGCTCACATATGATACTAGGTACTACTAGCTAGTGGTGTCAACATTATAGTCATGTGCCACTTGTCACTCTGTCTGAGTCGATTGTCACTCAGAGTCTCGCGATGGCGGATAATCCCAACATCATGCTTTGATACACGTCCGAGCCACTTGTTCCGTAAGCTCTAGAGGAAGTTCCATTTCCAACTCCACTTCCACCTCGTCGTCTTCTTCATCATCTCCAAAATCATCAAAATCTCCGTCATCTTCGATTTCAAGTGAGTCTTCCTTGATAAGTGAATTGGCACTGGAGTTGTTTCGTTTCAGGTTTGTAAGGTGTGTATGAATGGAGTCATCGTCACTAACAACATAAGAATCTTCCGATTCTGAAGCTTCTTCTTCTGTTCGTGGACCCTCACACTGTTCGGCGTTTGATTCCTTGGCCTCAGCGGCTGCCTTTTTGGCTGCCTTTCGCTTCAGACGACGAGCTCTGGCCTTTCGTTTCAAGTCATGGACCATTAGTTTCTCTTTGAAAGTGTCAAGGATGGGGTCTGCAACTCCGTCCACGGATTCTTCATCTGAGGAATAGTAGGAGGAACCATCGTCATCCGAGTCGTATGAGTTATAGGAGTCATCGTCCAGGTATTGCTCCAATGTTGCAAGGTCAATTGTTTGTTGGGGTGGGTTCATGGTATGAAGTTGTATCCAGTAGAGTATTGCTTCACAATAAAGTGTCGGAAGTTGTGTGCATTTCAAGGTGTCTTGAAGTTTCTGGCAGTGTTGGAGCGAGTGAGTCAGTCAGTCAGCATTTCGGGACATCTCTGGCGTCTGCGTCATCGTTTCTGTTTAATGCCTTCATGCCAACATACATTCTCCGCTATTACCATTTATATTTCTCAAGGCCCACGATGCATAATTATGAAACACGCACCCTTTTTTTACGATCAAAATTAGGCCCAATCTTATTGAAAAAGGGATTCCTGGTATTATTTGTACATACCGGTACGTGATGCGTTTGCTTTTTTTTGAAGGGTCATTTTCCTGAATCTGGTGCAACTCAACAACCTTTTGAATGTGCCACTACCCCTCGCTCATCAATGATCACACAGCACCGCCGGTGCGTGTACTTAGAAGGGTTAGTGATGCGTTCCAGGTATTTTATGCGGAGAACCAAGAGCCACAATTGTAACAATAAGTATTAATGAATTATTTTACACTGCATTCGTCCATTTCTTTTGGAATCAGTAACGAACAGTACTACTCTGAACGGAACCATCGTCGTCCTCCCCTCCTCTGACATCGGCCGTAAAGAGAGCATCGAATATGCTCAATAGTTGTGACGCAACTGTGCTGTCTCCATGATAGTGCGAGTCGCCCTCATTCACAAAAGTCTCGGTGACGGAACCAACGCTTGTGTCATCTCCTCCGTCCTTGTTGCCACTCTTCTTTTGATCACTACCACCATGTGGAACACGATCCATCAGATCTTGCTTTCTCACACCATGCTTGTCAGAATGCATTTGAATCAAATTGCGAGCTTGGTGGTGGACAACATCATTATCAACGTCAATGGTCCTTTCCTGTTCACTGGCGACCACGGATGTCGCCTCCTTCTTGTTATCAGTAGTAGTAATAGCAGCCGATGGTGGTGGATCCAACGGAGCAGCAATGGCCGTTGGCTCAACATCTTCCGAGCGGCGCTTGCTGCGTTCATTCTTGGCTTTGGCAATCATGATGGCTTTCTTGCCCGTCTTGGTGCATCCAGCAATGAGCTCGAATCCTTCCGAAGCACCACCGCCACCACCATGTTGGGCTGCCTTTGGTGATTCTTGTGTCGACGATGGTTCATCTTCACTGCTGGGTTCTTTGTTGCTGGTCTCGGCAGTTTCAGATTCTTTGGCGCTAACAGCGTCACTAGTGAATGTCTCGCCTTCCTCTTCGACTTCTTCATTCATTGGCTCCAACGTTGGTTCGAATGGTTCCGAAGATGCTCCTCTCTTCTTGCTCTTTCGCCTCTTTGCACGACGCAATAGCTTCTTGAAAAAGCCCTTTTTCTTTTTGATAGCTTCCTTCTCCTCCACTACAACCGCAACAGGAGCATGTTCTGGAGAAGAGGCAATAGATTGTTCGTCTTCTTCCACTTGATCGTCCAACAAAGAAGGGACGTCAGGAGTTGGAACTTCTTTTGGCTCATCAACGTCGATCTTTTCCGAGAAGCGGACACTCTTGACACTGGCAGTAGATCCAGCCTCGACCATAGCAGCACTTCCCCCTGGCTTCATCATTGCTTCGGAATCGGCATCTCGTGCTGGAGAGGCGCCAACTGGGTCCTCCTTACTTTGTGCGGGAAAGGAATCGTCCTTTGCACAACGGCGTTGACTGGATGTGACGGAAGTGTTGGAAACTGCAACGGCGGCCATGTACTGTTCAGAAGCAATTGCAGTCTTGCTCTTACGGGGATTGTACTTTACAGTATGGACATCAGTACTTCGTTCGGCACCAGTGTCCTTCTTAGCGCCCTTCTTAGCGTTCTTTTCACAATCGTTCTCAGTTTCCTTCATGGCATTCAATTGTGTATTTTTCATGGTTTCTTCATCGCTTGCCACATCACTGTCCTTCTTGTTAAGTGCATGAGCACTCCCCGCAGACTCTGGAGTATCATCGTCATGCGGCTCATCCGTGGTCATGTCGGTCGCCACAATGTCACGACCCACAAGATCAGCCGACTCATCATCCCTGGTCAAACTCTTGAGGTATTGATGGATTTTCTTGATCCTATCGATTCCAGAATCTTCAAAATCACAGAGGAGTTCTCCTTCCGAAACCAAGCCAAGGTCTTCTTTTTTCCCAACGAGCATGTTGTCCAGCAAATTCCAAGAACCCGCAGCACTGGACATGTCAGTGTTGTTGGAAATGACAGTGGAGTCATCATCATTCAAACCTCCGCAAGTGACGAAAAGGGAGGAGCTTTTAGCCTTTTCGGCCCGTTTTTTTGCACGTTGCTTTTGCTTCAGATTGGACCAATAATCCTGGCTCCGTGCCGTGGGATCTTCCAAGATGTCATCATCAAACTTTTCTACCTCTGCATCTTTGTCTGAACTCTTGTCTGCGCCCTTGTCTGAACTCTGGTCTGAAATCGTGTTTGAACTCTTGTCTGAACTCTTGTCTGAACTCTTGTCTGAACTCTTGTCTGCACTTGCGTCTACGCTCTTGGTGATACTGCTGTCGCTGCTGGTTGCTTCAGCGATTGGCTTCACACCCTTTCGTGGAGACGATACATTTTGAAACTTGGATGAAACCGGAACCTCCTCTTCGTCTAGCTGAGGTGAGGTCTCGACACTTAGTGTAGTTCCACTGAGATTTGTTGATGCATTCTCAGCGTTTTGTGCATCCCCTCTTTGCAAGCTTTGTCGAGGCGCTCGGGTCACCACTGGAGCCATTGGAGACTTGACATATCTGTCAGCGTTGACAGCCGCCGAGTAGTTGGATATCTTGGGTGAAGAGACAGTCTTTGCGTTCTTCCTGTAGGCTGCCAGTCGTTCAGCGACGGATGATCCCACCGTTTCTTCAGGATCAGACTGCTCCCTGGAACTCACAGGCACACTGCGAGTTGTAGCGGTATTGGAACGATCCTCGCGGGCATCTGGTTCATAACCGTAGTAGTTTGGATCATTGGTATGGGATGACGTAGATGACGTAGATGCCGGGGTAGTAGATTCCGGGGCAACTTGAACGATTGGGGATACAGAAGAGCGTCCATGTCCAGTGTGACTGCGATAAGAAGAGTTTGCGGTTGAAGCTATTGGCGACGATTCCAAATCCGCAATTGACTTTCCGTCTGGGTCGCTCTTGATAATTCCAGTATGAGCACTCTTGAAGGATTTGATTTGCACGGATGCCTTCAGCTTCTTGGCCTTATAAACGCTCCGAGGATCGTCCTCATCATACCGGGATAGAGAAAGCACCATGGTGTTTGTATGTTTTGGGATGAGGTTGTGATGATTGTCGGAGGGAAATGGAAAAGTCGGATGCAGAGGAAAAAGTGAGCGAGTGAAAAAAAACATCGCCAATATATATATGATCTGAAGATATGCATATGCAGGAATGGCCGCGGGCTCGCTTTCGTTTCTTGGTTGGCGAGTTGAAGTCTGCACTTCTCGCGTGTGAATCGAATGAATCAAACAAACATCAGAACTGCGGATAGATATACCGGTATATCGGATCTTTTTTTCAGAACGGATTGTGTGCAATAATAAGCACAGCCTTCTGATACTGTTGCCCTTATTCTTGCTTCTCATGTTCTGTTCCTCGACAAGCAAAGGCTTCATCTTGTTTTTCATTCTTCAACAGCTTCAGTTTCAATTTCAGGTTACCGATTCCTTTCACCTGTCCTCCTCCAACCCTTCAGTTCATCATCCGTCATCTGAAGAAACATCATCTACTACCAACATGGCAGTTTCCAACGGTTCTTGGTCCGTCGGTGATGCGGATCAAGAAGAAGCAGCACGAAAAGAGTTTGAAATTTGGCCGCTTGATGAGAGCAACGTTAAACTATTGAATCAAGTTCATCCAAGAACCTATAAATCCACGGACGAACCTCCTGAAGTTTACGATTTGATTGCCATTGGAGCTGGAGCAGGCGGTCTGGTCAGTTCCAAGCAGGCTGGTCGCCGGGGTGCCAAATCTGCAATGATCTCGGAAAAGCTAGCAGGAGGTGATTGTCTCAATGTCGGCTGTGTTCCCTCCAAGGCACTGATTCGATCTGCACGAGCCATGAAAGAAGTGTCACGAGCTGCTGAATTTGGAATCCATTTGGAAAATGTTAAACTAGACTTCGGAGCCGTCATGAAACGGGTACGGGAGTTACGAGCCAAGATTGCTCCAGTAGATGGTCATGAAGCCACAGAAGCTGCTGGTACCAATGTCTTTCAGGGTCGAGGAAGGTTGACTGGACCAAACACACTGGAAGTCAATGGACAAACACTAAGATTCAAAGTCTGCGTCCTTGCCACGGGTGGAAGGCCAGCTGTTCCAAAAAACATTCCAGGATTACTAGGAGCGCCTTATACAACCAATGAACAACTTTTCAATCTCCAGGAGCTACCGCCAAGGATGGTGATTCTTGGTGCCGGTGTGATTGCTCTCGAAATGGCTCAGTCATTTGCTCTGTTGGGTTCCAAGGTGACTGTCGTCAACCGATCGTCAAGACTTTTTGCGTCGAAGGGGGGTGATGCAGAAGCAGCAGAAATATTGCAAAACGAATTGGAAAAAGACGGTGTCATCTTCCTCAGCGACGCCACTGTCTCACAAGTTGAAACGATAAAAGGAAGTGCCGATCCATCGTCCTTTCCACTCATGAAAATCAAGGTGGCGGATCAAGAACTCGATTGCGAGTGTCTTCTCGTGGCCACGGGACGAGCCGCCAATATTGAAGATCTTGGATTGGAGGCTGCGGGAGTAGACTTTGTTCCTGGCAAAGGCATTTCAGTGAATGACTTTGGTCAGTCAGTCTCCAATCCATCCGTGTATGCTGTTGGTGACTGTGTGGCCAATGTTCCCAGATTGACACACATGTCGGGAGAAATGGCCAAGGTAGTAGTGCAGAATGGCTTGGCCGGAGATGAGTGGAGACTGAGTAGGTACGTTCCGCAGAGGGTTTCAATCATTTTGATTCATCTGTTTTTGTGATTCACTCAGGTTCTTATTCAGCTTTGTTGTACCGGCTGTTGCTTATACCGAACCTGGTAAGAGAACAAGGCTCGATTATTGATTGTGTCCGGCACTGATATAATTATTCTGTAAGTGTTTGCTGACATTTGCCGATTCACTCTTTCCATTTTTCAGAATTTGCTACTGTTGGAATAATGTCTCAAGAACAAGCGGATAAGGAAGGTATCGAGGTGGACGTCTATCGTGCCGGCCTGGAGCACAACGATCGAGCCATTCTGGAGAGCTCGAACGTTGGATTTGTCAAGATTGTCACCAAAAAGGACAGCGATGAAATCTTGGGAGCCACCATTGTGGCTGATCGCGCTGGAGATATCATCAATGAGATATCCTTGGCGATGAAAGAGAAGATTGGCCTGCGATCTCTCGGTCGTAACATACACTCCTATCCTACGACTGGTGAGGCCGTCCAAGGATGTGGACTTCAGTTTATCAATAAAAGTTGGACAAGATTTGACCAAGTCTAGGGCAAAAACAACTCACTCATACTCAATCCCATGGCATCCGCATGACCTTTTATCATCGAATGCCAAACTTCATTATTATTATTTCCTTTATAATTACACTAGGACTATTATACTTGTAGAACTGAATAAATGCTGAAATTGAAAGACTGCGAGTATACCGGTAGTATCGAGTCTCCGGGTCTCTGTGGATCGGGTGTTGTCATCCCGAATGTGGAAGGGTTCTTAATAAGGTTGCGGTAGACTTTGACGTTCAGATTTCACTTCATTCATGGCACTTGTAATAAGACCAATACTCGTATGTTGGAAAAAGGGTATATGTTCAGTGTAGAGCTTTTTGTATTTATTGATACAAATAACAAATAACGCAATGAAGAAGTCCGCGCCAAAAAAATCCAAGTGCATGCGTCGCGAGTAAATTGAAATAGTAAATAGATTGATACATAACTTATAATCTGGTCTACCTATGCAATAATATGTAAAGCACATGAAAAGAAATGTGATGGAGGATGCATTTCACCAGCAGACTATCCATCCATCCATCCATCTACCAGTCAATCATCTTTCTCCATGGTTCCCTCCATTGATGACAAACTCTACAAGCATGGGAATTTGCGGGTCCACATAGTCCTCGTCGCCTGACATTTGTTCAATGGAGAAGGTGCTCGAGCCACCACCATCACTGCTACTGTCACTCGCTGTACCACCGCCTCCTCCTTGGTTTTCAATTGGCTCATTGTTCTTTTCTTCCACAATGTTGTCATCTTCTTTTTCTCCTTCTCCTCCACCACCACCACCTCCTCCACCACCACTGCACCCCATGTTTTCGACATTACCCTCGTGACCACTGCTAACACGCGTAGTGGTGGTTTCCAATGGTAGCGCTGCTGTTGTCACTGCTGCTGCGCTTTCCATTGGGGATTCCGGATTTTTCATTGGCGTACATTCGTCCGAGCGGTTGTCATTTTCACCACTACCACCACCACCACCACCACCATTTGTCTCCATAATGGCATTCTCTTCTTGTTGTTGTCGTGGAACGCTAGTCGTCGTAGCGTCGTCAACATTCTTCTTGTGTTGTTGACGACCTTCCAAATCAATCAGAGCTTTCTTCTTGGCAGCGTCCGTAAGATTTTCTTTCGGCACCCATTCCGGCGCCCAGCGACACAAGCACAAGGTTTCCGGTTTTGTTCCACGTTTTCGAGTCGTCTTGGTCTCGAGAACAGTGACATCGTAGTCCTCCTTGCGTCGCATCATTTCCTCTACCGTTTCTGGGGTTTCCCATGTGTCCTCCCACTTGATTCGATATTCTTCGTTTTGCCCCACCGTCCGTACCTCCAAGACGGTTTGAATGGACCAATCTCTGTGTTCCAAAACATCGAGAATGGCCTCTTGCCGGACCGAATCGGACAAATTCTCTTCCGGTTCCCACCGATTTGGCCAGCGACACAATTGGAGGGTTACCGACTTTTTGCCTCCCGGCATTTTTTTGGTTTTGGTTTGGAGGACGGTGGGTTTGTGACCACTATTTTTGTAATCCTCGAGTGCCTCTACCAAATCCTCCGTCTCCCAGGTATCTTCAAAGTCGCATAGATATTGGACTTTGCCCCTTCGTTTTCGTCTCCTGAGAAAGGTCCTGACAGGCCAACTGTTTATTTTCATGACCGCGTTGATGTGCATCAGTTTTCCATTGAATTGAACTAATTTTGTTGTCGATGTCGATGTCGATGTTTTTGTCAATGTTTTTGTTCTTGTTTTGGCAGTAGTAGTTGGACTGGACGCTGTTGGTTGCGATTTGCGTTTCGTGGGACTCTTTGTGGTTGCACGAGTAGTAACTTGCTTCTTTCGACGAGGTTGCAATTCGTCAACTGGTGGGACACTTGATTTGGAAGGTTGGTTGCGTCTGCTTCGTCTTCGTTTCTTTGGCCGATTACCATTGCTGTCAGAGGAAGCTGATTTCGTAGTTTGCAGTGTGGCTTCGTTCTTTGTCAAACTCCAATCGCTGTCGCTATCGCTGTCGCTATCGCTATCGCTTTCTCCTACTTTAATCGGTGATGACCAAGTCGGTTGCGTCATGAGGGACTGCGTATCATCTTTGAGAGAGCTTTCCATGCTAGAAGCATCATCATCATCGTCACCACCACCACCACCACCAGCAGCGGTTCGATTGGTGCGAGGCAACTCAATGAACTTGAAGCATGGAATAACTGACTGTGGCAGCTTTGATATAGTAGCCATTGGTGGGCAGTGTGGCCTGTGTGGCCTGTGTCGTTCTTGACTACCTACTGTAAGATACTTCCGAAGTTGCAGCACTGCTGTACTGGTACTGGTACTGTACAATGCCGTCACTAGTTAAGAGGCTGCTGCCAAAAGGATCTGGTCGGTGTACTTGTATGTGAAATGGTTTGCCGTTATTTGCGGTGTCTATGGTCGCGGTATTACTATCAGTGTCATGCCAGCGATCTCACCCACGCACAAAAATTCTCATTCCGACTCCGAAGTAAAGTGAAAATAATGTCTGAGTGACGTCGCATTGGCGAGCGAGAGAAGTAAGGGGGCAGTGAGTCATTACTACGGTACAGTAGCATCCTTGCCAACATTCCCCTCATCAATTTGAGTCAGTCGTGAGGGTCGTGTACACACATCGCACCTGGTACCTGGTAGGATTGACTTCAAGATTCCGTTCATTCACGTTCGAAGCATACCGGTAAAATATCTCATCGTGAGAACACCAAAAGACAAGAAGCACCATTGTGTCATCATAAATTGTACCGGTACTGTACTGTATATTTGATACACATTACACACGATTACAGATTGATTACTTTCACTATACACACTACAGTATACAGTATACAGTATACAGTATACAGTATACACTATACACTATACACTATACATATAATCAATATCATGAATGAACGTCATATCATCTACACAACGGTCCTTGCTCTTTTGCTCTCTGGAGATCATCATGTCTGTGGTTTCGTTGCCAAACAAAGTCAGACGAATCATCCTCGGCAAACACCTTTCATGCCATCATCACCTTTGGTAGTCTCATCCGATCATGATTCAACTAATTTTTTCAAAGGGAAACGAAATCGCCGTTCCACACGACGAAACATGGCAGCGCCTCAGCGGTTATCCGACAATGTGAATGGACCCTTGTATGTGAATGACAAGTGCATCAATTGTGCGGCGTGTAGCATGTTTGCACCTCAAGTCTTTGGACGATCCGAACAACGAGCCATGCATATTGTCCAAAACCAACCATCTACCGAAGAAGAACTGGAAACAGCTCGGGCCGCGTTGAGGGCCTGTCCGGTGGCGGCCATTCGATTGGAGAACCAAGCCTATCGGAGCCATCGCAAGATGGAACCTCTCACGGACCAAGAAGAAAAGATTGTCGATCGTTTGTCCGACCAATCGAAATCGGCCCCACAATCCTTTCCACGACCAGTCTCGCCCAACATTCCAGGAGTCTACTTTGTGGGCCATCACAATTCGGCAAGTTTTGGTGCGGCGCCCTACCTGTTGCAAACCCAACACCATGGTACCATTCTCATGGACAGTCCCAAATTTTCCAAAAGGGCAGTCGAGACGGTCGAGAAAATCACGGGACCTGACGGTCCATCCTACCTGGTACTCTCCCATGTCGACGATTCATTCGGCCGATCATGGCAAGTGGCATGCCCATTATCCGAACATGAAACGAATCTTTCATGCGGGGGATCTAGGAACGCACAATTGGATCGGAGACGAGACCTTGGAAGAAGTGGAAATCCTCTTGCAAGAAACCAATGATGATCAGAATGAAGAACATGGTGACGACAAATCTTCTCCACTGCTACCACCACCACCACTACTACAAGCCATGACCTTGGAAGGAACGCCCGTCTCACCAAACGATTATGCGAATCACGAAGTATTGCTTTTGCACACGCCTGGGCATTCACCAGGATCCATTACCTTGTGGAGACGACCGACAAACGATGGCAAAAAACAGCAACAACAACAACAACAACAAGACGGTATTCTCTTTACGGGCGATACGTATTCCTATACCACTCGGGATGGTGGCCACATGACTGCCTTTCCACGATATGGAAACGATTACTCCCAACAGGCCAAGTCGTTGGAAGGCTTGCTGCATTTGGATTGGCACCTGGTGGCTCCCGGTCATGGACATCCCCGGGATTATACCAATCATAATAATAATAATGACAAAGAGGATGAGGAGACAATCAAGGAACTACAACGGAAAGACATGCAACCTGCCTTTGCCGAACTTTTGTAACCTAGTAGGAAATAACAATCGCACTCCTGTCGTAGACGGTACCGTAGGTATATATTCCAAGTCAGATTGATTGATTGATTGATTGATTGATTGATTCCATTCATTCCGTCAGTCAGTCCAAAAACGACGGTCACTCTCAAATAAAATGCTATAGATTCATAAATTTCTCAAGTCATAAATTTCTCAAGTCTTTGTGTATATTGTGTTCTAGTCTATAATAACTACTATTAGCATTATTAAAATATCATTATCGTTGTTTTTGTATGGACGCATTGGATCATTCATCCATGCAAGATACTCCTTGGCTAGCTACAATGGATATATACATATATACATATACATATATATCTCAGAATTTTAATTCATTGGTGTGTGTGTGTGTGTGTGTGTGTGTGTGTGTGTGTGTGTGTGTGTGTGTGTGTGTGTGTGTGTGTGTGTGTGTGTGTGTGTGTGTGTGTGCATATGAGCATCCGTGTTTTTGTTTTTGTTTTGGCTCCATATTGCTTTGCCAATTATTTTGCCATGGGGGTGATGTTTCCTCCCAAAACGCTTGATTACGACTACTACTTGGATCCTGGAATCCGCAATTGATCCATATACCTCCACAGAATATTGGGTGAGACTAGACCATCGACTTCGTGGACGATGCCCGAACCCAACGGGAACGAATGAACGACCTTCACTTGGTTCACCAAGACTCCACCATCTTCTTTTCCTCCCATTCCGAACATCCCACCTTTTGTGGAACGATCCACTGGAACTTCGCCTCCCAATGTGATGACGCCACCGGCATGGAAGAGATCTTCAGCAGTTACCAATTCATTGATCACATGAAAGGATGCTATTTTCTGCGTGGTTTCCAGATTGCGTTCGTCGTACAATTGGGTTTGCTTGGTCGCATCGAGGGACTCCAAAGCCTCATTGGTGGGCACAAATAGAGTGAACCCATTGACGTAGCCTGCTCCGATCGATTTCCAAACAGAATCATTCAGATTCAAGAGTTTGCCAAAACCTGAATACTTCTCTTCAAGTGTCTGGCGAACCAACAGGAGATCCTCGTTCTTGTTGAACATCTCATCGAGACTGCTGTGCAATGATGTCCTCGTAGTCGTAGTCGTAGTCGTAGTCGTAGTCGCGGTGTCACCACCACTCCTGAAAGGTGAAGAACAAGGAGAGAGTTTTCTTGTTGGCCTTGGAGCATCATTCGACTGGAATCCAAAGCAAACGGGGAGAAACGTCACAGCTAAGATTTCAAACAGAAACATGAAGGAAGTTGTTGACATCTTCATGATTGGAAGAGATTGTGATGCTTGTCGTTGCTGCAGTGTGTTCTTGGTGTATGGCCTGGTGGTTCTTGTCCGTTGCTTGGTGCTGCTAGAAATCGTTTCCTCAGATTGGCGATTTTTTAAATATGAATGACCAACAAATCGGGGGCTTGCTTATTCCTTCTGCCTGCTGAGTTGAATGATGTCATTGTGGCAACGGACGAGAAAAGCTACCGACTTCAACAAGGCTTGAATGAAGAATCTTGAAGAAAGTGAAGGGGGGTGTCAACATCCAAATGAATGACGTGGCGGCGTCAGGTATCTTCTAAGGACTTAGGAAGTACCGGTACGTTATGCCCAACATTGCAGTACCTATTTCCAAACCACAAACGTCATCCATCCATCATTCAGTGGCGACATTCACTGACAATAACGATGCGGCGACACTCATACCATCGTTTGTCACCCACGTCTGCTGCCCTTATTGCATCAGTATGGCTTACTGGTACCAATGCAATCGTTGTTCCCTCCGTAAAGAATATGAGGCCGGTGATCCCCGGGAAACTCTATCGATCGGCCACTTTGGATGAATTGTCGATAGAAGATGCTCAAGCCTTGCTCAGTGGAAAAGCCTTTGGTGCATCATCAGAGCCCTTGGCTGCGGTCATTGACTTGAGAAACAAGGATGAGATTCAAAAGGGTTTGAAAGAACGGACGGAAGGATCAGAACTCTTTTATAATTCCAGCAGCAGCAGCAGCAGCAGTTTGGAAAATTGCAACTTTGTTCACATTCCCTTCTTGGAAGACGTGAACGAATTCTGGGAAGAGGCCATTCGCAGAATGGATGGCAAAGAACGAATGATGGCATCATTGAATACGGTATTTCAAGGAGGGGCACTAGATCGAGCAGCTGCTCGAAACCTGGAAAAGGGAGGTCATGCCATGCTGAATACCATGATCATGCAAGTGGGAAGAGAGCGAATAGGAAGGGCCCTCGAGATCTGCATGATCGAATCACAAAGGGGTCCAGTCATATTCCATTGCCAAAAGGGAAAGGATCGTACTGGCGTTCTAGGAATGCTGATTCAAAGCATCCTTCAGTCATCCGAGGATGAAATCGTCAAAGCATATGCCTTGTCGGGAGAACTTTTGGGAGAAAGTGAAGGAATGAGGACAGCAAATGACAAGGTGAAAGAAAGTACCAGTGGATTAATTGATTGGGCTTTCTTTCGTGGTAGTCCAACCGAGGGAATGGTGGGGACGCTGGAATGGACAAAGGCCAGCTACGGAACAGTCGAGTCCTATTTGGAGCAAAATGCAGGTTTCAGTGTTTCTCAGCAAAGAAGCTTTCGCGAACAACTTGATCCCATTCAGCTACCATCTAAATGACAGAATCAATCGACCTTCGAATGTGGCATAGTCAGCAGTCTTTGTGGCATGCGTTGTCGGGGTGAAACGACCCCTTGCAAGTAGGAATGCTTGTCATCAAACTTTGGCGACGACGATTGGGTCCACAAATATAACTGGCAAGCGCATACAGTCTTCCCCTTTTTGGAAGCTGTGCCATGTCTGTCGTAGTCGTAAACAGATGGTTTCGTCCAGTTTTGATTGGGTGTGAACATGATGATTCATTTGCGATATCTTCAATTTCATTCACAAGCAACGACAGCTTTCATGTTGGTGGTTGCATCGACGATCATTCGGTAGACGATTTGTTCCATGTGATGCTGCTGCATAAGTTGTCCTAAATGGTGGAGGCATACGGTACAGTATATTGAAGACAAAAAAAAAAGATACCAAAAATTGTCCGTGTTTGTATCAGTATCGAGTGGTAGAAGAAGCCAGCGCATTGTGCATTATTTTATACACACACGGTGTAATAGTATTGGACAACATACATCGAAACTGCAATCGACAACCACAGAGAAAATACTATGGACGATAAGTAATATATATCGAATGAAGTAAAGAGTGTATCCGTTCCACTGTAGAACTTCAAAAGCAAAATGGATACTGCAGGAACCGTGTATTATACATATAAGAATTTTAAGTTTAGTATTCTTTTGGTTGGATTCCTTTATTCGCTTGTTCCTCCTTATCATCACCACCATCATCACCACCACCATGTATCGATGGGATGCCCCGTCATCATCTTGCTTTCAAATCCAGATTGTTTGGATGGATTTGCCTCCTGTAGTAAAAAATAGTAGAATCCACCGAGTGCCCGCGCCGCTCCATCCAAAATTGACGGGGTCACAAAGAGAGAACCACACTGTTCCAAGAAGAAGAAGGACAAGAGTTTAGAGGTCTTCTTCATTACCACCACCAGAATTCTGCCAATGATCTGAATCCGTATCCCCACCCGCAGTGGATCGAGAATTCTTTTGACGGCGGTAGGCTTCCACGTATTCTTTTCGGACCTCGCCATCGCCGACTGCTCCGGGACCGCCACCGTGATAGGAAATATCCAAACCAACCAATTCTTCCAAGGAATCCGAACGCAGCCATCCCTTGTAATTGAGCCAAACGAAAAATGGAAATACTGTGACCATCGTCCAACCGACAATGAACAGAACAGCCAATGTTTGACATGCCAGTAGAGCGGCATCACTGGATCCTCTGGCCCAGCTGTAGACGCATCCAACGTGTTTCGAGACACCATAGGTCACATCCATCTTGTCAGGTGACGCAAATATTCCAACGGAGATCATTCCCCAGATACCATTGAACATGTGTACTGGAATGGCATCGACCGCATCATCAATTCTCAATTTAATGAGCCATTCTGAAGATGCAATGTAGACCCAACCGGACACAATACCAATCACCAGAGCGGCCCATGGTTCCACCAAGGCACATCCGGCCGTAATGGCAACCAGACCCGAAAGGGATCCATTCATGGCCATGACGAGCGAAAAATGTGGTTCTCCCGTTTTTCGTTCTTGAATGAACAAATTGGTAAAGAGAGCGGCAATGCCGCCAGAAGCTCCTGCCAACGCGGTGGATACGGCAGCGTTGGCGGCAATTTCACCCACATTTCCACCCAATAGCAATGCGGAACCTGGATTGAATCCGAACCCTATTATAAAATGACACATGAAAGTGAGTGTTGCGTTGCGTTGCGTTGGTATGATAATGTCGGAATGATAATGATTCCTTCATTCATTCAGTCAGTCATTCGTTCCACTAAAATTGTGGGTGTCCATCATGATAACTTACATCCAAACCACAGTACCATGGTTCCCAAGAGTTGAAGCGCAATGGAATGACCAGGGAATGGCTTTGGTTTTGATAGCGGCAGTCCTTGTGCATCATAGAATCGTCCTCGTCGTGGTCCCAAGATGAGGGTAGCAAACAGGGCAGTAATTCCTCCCGTCAAGTGCACCACTCCACTTCCGGCAAAATCAATGGCTCCACTTCCTAGAAATGGGTCTACATTGAAATTGGAAATGAATCCATTGTTGGACCACAATGCGTGAGCAACGACTGGATAGATGATGCCCGCCAAAAACATGGAATAGCACAAATAGGCAACCATCTGACATCGCTCCGCCAGGGTCCCCGCCACAATGGTAACCGATGTCGCCGAAAAGGTATACTCGAAGAACCAAAAGGGAGCGGATGGTCCTATACTGGCAAATTCAGACAAGCCAACAAAGGTCGTTGCAGTCGTTTCAAATTGTCCTCCAAAGGCAAATGCGTTTCCTGAAATCGAAATGAAAAAGAACAAGATCAGATATGTGATGTGATTGGCATATTGTATATATGTATGCCCCGTATTGTACAATCAAATGATGAATGGATGGATGCAATCAGGTATAACAACAATGATAAACAACGAAACAGAGAGCCCGTGCGGGTCCTTCCAACGTACCAACCAAGAAAAAGGCCACCGCCGCACCACAGGCATCCAAGAGATTTTTCAACATGGAATTCTGTACATTCTTCAGTCGTACAGCACCGGCGCAAACCATGGCAAAGCCTGATTGCATAAAGAAGATCATGGCTCCTGCCAGGACAAACAAGAAGGACTTGAGATCCTCGTCGCGTGCGTCTTGAGACTTTTCGATTTCGTTGGACAAACATTCCAGCATGGCCGAAGAATTGCCATCCAAGCTGGCTTGACAGGATTGATAGATGCTGCTCATCTTGACGTTCTTTGTTTCAAGCTTTGTGTTTGTGTTTGTGTTTGTGTGTGTGTGTGATTGTGTGTCTTTATGAGTGAAAGCAGTAGATGGATGGATAAACAATAATACAAGCTGATAGACAGCCAGCTATTATTCTTCGTGATTGTTGGAGGGAGGCACAGTTACGGTTGCAGCCAGCTGGGGCTTTTCCGAATAGATCTGGTACCAATTCTGTGACTATCACAAAGTCCCAACATTTTGTCGGAACTTTATAATTCTAAAACCTCGTGTTCTCATTGTACAGATAGCATCACCTAAGTAATGAAAACCGCATCACATTAGCCATATAAGTAAGATTCCAGAAAAATCTGACTAGCTTTAACTAGGTTCCCAGAAAAAATGGCGAACTTTATGGGGTCGTTTCTCTCCACTAAATGACCACGCGACGCAGAAAACTCTTGGCGAAGCCCAAAGAATCGTTGAATCGTTGATGGGTATCTTGGGTTTTTCGTAAAATAAGTATCATAAAACTGTACCGTCAGGCACAGGTAGCTTTGTAGAGCGTCAATTTCGACGACTATTCAAATGATAACAACCACAGCATCATGTAGCTAATGGAAAGAGAATATCTCAGGTTTGTTTCATGTCAACGTCTCGATTGATGAATCATAGTGTGTGTGGCGTGCAGCTACAGCACCGGTAGTCAGGCAACAATGGAGGGAAGCCGCAACCATCATCGCACGGTGTTTAACATCGAAAGTCAAACATGAGTGAGTATTGTATCCATGCATCATCGTCCACAATATCAACAAGTACCTATTTCTCCGCAATGCTATCATTCATGTCCTATAGTTATGTTCTAATACTATCGCGTGCCAGTATCACAATTCATTCATTCATTCGCTCAGATTCCCTTGTACTTGGCCCAGATTTTGAGTTCCTCTTCTCCAATTTCAGTGAAGTTAGTCGTCTTCTTGTATTTTTCACGGATCTTCATTTCTTCTTCTCCAATTCCTGGAGGCAAGCTAGCAGCAGCAGAAGCACTTGAAGCACTAGTATTCTTCTTGAGGTACTTGGCCCGGATTTTTCGTTCCTCTAATCCCATTCCAGGAGGGCCTGGTGGTGGTGGTGCCTCTTCCTCCTCCTGCTCGTCATAACCATAATCATACTCTTCGTCGTCGTCTTCTTCCCCACTGGATGATCCAGGATAATTCGCTCCTCCTCTTCCTCTTCCTGCTGCTGTTGTCGCCATCGGTTTGGTATTGGCAACAATGTCCGGAATGTCAGCCGAATTGATATTCCAAGCAAACTGCACGGCATTCAACAAGGTGACACGCTCATCGTTCAAGGTATTGGGCGATCCCTTCTCCAGCAACCGCATTTGTCGTCGTTGACACTTGACCCATGACGCAAGCTTGCGATTCCAAAAGTTGGTGGGAACCAGCGTATGTCCATACTCCTTCATAAAGCCTTTTAGTTCTGCGTAGCGCTTGTGCCAGATAGTCGACTTGTGCTCCCAGCAAAAACCAAGTTGTTCCAACACTTTGACTCGCTCCGTGGTCATGGACGACTTTGCAGAATTGTTCTTGTACAATTGGTACTGGTACCGTTGCCGTTTGGCCCACCTACAGTACAGAATACACAAAACAAGACAAAATTAACAAAATGAGAAAAGTCAGTCACTCAGTCAGTCAGTCATTCATTGATTCCATTCCATTCCAATTCACCAGTTCATATTTGAATCCATCAACGTACCTAGCGAGCTCTTGGTTCTCGGGATAATCATGGGGAATGATACAATGGCCATGTTTTCTGCGGAACTCCTGTGCTTCCTGAAGTCGGGCGGTCCATGTCTCTACTTGATAGTTTCGAAATCGGACGGGATGGTCGTCGTTATCAGCAATGGCGGCTTTGCCCAATACGGCAATTGCGTGAGCGGAAAGCTGTGGCTTTCCAAGAGTCTTACTATTGGGTGAACCAAGGTTGGGGGTCTTTTTCCTTTTTTTTCTAGGGCTCTGAGATTTTCCTCTTTTTCTTGATGACCCACCAATTGCAGAAGCTATTGGTGGTGGTGGTGGTGGTGGCGGCGGTGGTGGTAGTCGTCCATAGGTTGCTGCAGCAAGTGCTCCTGCCACTGCAAAGTGTGGATAGACTGCTGTCATTGCCGACGTGGGGGCAACCTTTGGTAGTGCCCTCGGAACTTGACTCGTCGGTCGGGTTGCTTGCACTGGAGGTGGGGACCATGCAACACCGCGAGCTGTCACATTTGAGCTTCGTTTCGGCACAGAATGATGAGACCCGTATCTACTATTACGATGAGCAGCAGCAAGCATGGGTGGCTTTCCAGGGGGTCCCGAGTACATCAGATCACAAATCATATCGTGTTGGTACGAGAATTTCGTTATTCGTTGAAATGGTGGCGGCTGGTAATAGTAGTTGGCCGATTCATGTCCAATTGCAGGGTCAAAATGGCTTGAGGTTGGCCTATCCTCGCGGGCAAGGTGGCCTACTCGAATTTTCGAACAGAGATTGACCAATGGCGCCTTGATATTGGCATTCTCAAAATCTTCATCATATCTGCGGGCACAGCAACAAGACAAATAAAAGTGAGTGAGTGAGTGAGTGAGTGAGTGAGTGAGTGAGTGAATCATACTTGTCCAAGTGTTCAGAGACTCACAAGTCGATTTGATTCATCGCGCTGCCAATGCTGCTCTCACTGCTACCATCACTGCTACCAGATGCAACCGAATCGTTATCAGACTGCACTAAGAATGTTGGGTCAATTTCAACGGATACGCGTTTGCTGCTTGGATCTTCCCTTATGAGTGGGTGCCGATTGTCCAAAGCAAGCTTGTTGGAAGCGGGAAGGCGCTTCCGACTTTTCTTGCTGCGAATCTTCTTGGACCGATCCCGATCCCTTGTCTTTGGCGAAACCAGAGGTGGAATATGGATTTGCTGCGACGGCATTACACCCTGTGCCCTGGACACTACATGATACGTCGATTCCGAACTCTCCTCCTGAAACGCCCGGAACACTCTCGTAATTGCCTTCTCTTTTTCCACTTGCACCCAATCGTCGCCACCGTCTTTTTTAACAATCCGAACGATACGGACATCCTCCTTAGCAAGCCGATTCAGCACCTTCGAGCAGACTACCCGCTTATCATCCGAGGCTTTGAATTCTACCTCCATCGACCTGACTATCCTTCGGAGAGTTTGGTAACCAGGTCGATACGCAAGCCCTTTTTTAGTGCTATAGCCAAGAGGAACATCATTCCATCGCAAGCCTCGTTCATCCTTTTCATTTCCGTTGTTTAGTACCGAGCCAACGCGGAAATCTCGCAAGCCTTGGTTTACCTTGTCGACACCCTTGCTATACGCAAGCTGCTTCCAGCCATTCCCATCCCACGAAACGAACCGAAAATTCATACTGTCCAGCTCTGAATAAACCTTCTTGCACAATGTTCGCCGATCGCTTGTATCGTTATTGGAAAGAGCTTCGTATTGTGTATGATAAGTGTTAAGAAGCTTTCGAAAGACATGATAGCCGTGCTGTTGGTTTGCCCAGCCTTTCTGGGAATCACCTCGACCGACCACAATATCATTCGGGCCAAGCAAAGCCACTTTCCTTTCTTCGTCGGCACTTTTCGGAATTTCGCTGGACCCAATAGCTGTGTCATCATTCGGTAGAACTTTATACCTCTCGTCACTCAAATCTAGGCTTTCTCGCACTCCGTCATCATACAACACTTCAACATTGCTCTCTCCATAGTGATTCACGACCGTCGCGTTGTAGTATCGACGATCATCTCGCCAAAAGACCGCGATCCGACTGCCTAGAGAAAGCTTGATCACCACTGTCCCGTTTTCGACTTCAAATTCATCTTCCCCAAACGCGTAGCCATACTGAGGATGCTCGCCAGGTTTGATCTGCAATCCTTGCTTTCTCGCACATTGAGAACACAGCCAATCTTTACTCGGTATCTTGGCCCTGCCAATGCATCCAATGTGGATGCTTTTCCCGCAGCCAGCCTCAGTACCATTCTCAAGTTCTGCAAAGCATTCCATCAGATCTCCATCAAGTCTGCAGACGAAACAAAAATCGTTGATGTTGACATCCGCAGGATTGACCACAATTGTTTCCTGATTTTTTTCCCGCTCCGTCGTGTCTTTGTCTACAGCCGAATTATTCGAGTCATTTGTCTCGGGAGCAGATGGTGATTGTTTGTCTGAACCATGACCATCGTTTTCATCACCTTTCAGTGCAGCAGTTTTCGATGCAACTTCCACAGAGTCCTCATCTTCATCAGGATCAGCAAATTGGTATAACGCGTTGTCTTTCGTCGCTTCCACTGAAGTCTTCTCATCCGTCTCTTTGGTTTCTTTTTCGGCCTCGTCTGTAGGCGGAGAAAGCTTTCTAGAGTCTTTCTCGTTTTCGTCACCATCATTGATCACTGGCTGGGAATCTTCCTCCTTTGCTTCTTCCACAGCTTCCTCCTTTGATTCCTCTTTTGCTTCTTCCACAGCTTCCTCCTTTGATTCCTCCTTTGCTTCTTCCTTCGTTTCTTCCACAGCTTTGCTTTTCCTTTCTAGCTCTTTCTTTTCTTCGGCAAGTGGAGCAGGGGGCTCAACCTTGACAGTCGGTGCAGCCGGTGCCGATTTTGCAGTCGATTTTTTAGTTGCTAGCTCCTTCGGCTTTGCTTTCGCGGCGGTCCCCTTCTTCACCCAACAATTCCTGAAACTATCCCAATCCATTTTTCCAGGATAGATGTAGGATAACGATACGAGCTCAGGAGCAGCTCCTTCGGATCTCCTCGAGCTTCGGCGCCGATATGATTGCAACAGATCAGAGCTCGGTGATTTCGAGCGCCGCCTACTGGAACTTTTTTTCTCGCCATTTGAGTCGTCCTTGGCACTGTCGGATGTTTCCGTGGCAACGAGGCTTGTCTCAATTTTTTCATTGGCAGAAATTTTTTCAGATCCCTTTTCACTATTAGTGGACTTCCGTTTCAGTCCATTCAGCTCAAAATACTTTTCTCTACCTGTCCTCTCAAAATCATGTAAAATCGGATCCGTACCATCTTTGAAATCAGATACACATAGCTCGCGTGGAAGTCGTGCAGATTCCGGCCCGCGGGGCCTTGTGTCATTTAGACGATAGTGTTCTGGGTCAGAATGATATTCGGAATCAGAAGATGATGGTGCACACGATTCTCGTGGAAGTTTTATTCCCGTCTTGCTCCTTTTGGCACGAGAACCTCTGGAAGAAGATCCTTTCTTGGAAGATTTCGAAGGTTTAGCTTTTCGTTTCATGCCAAAGAACAAGTTGAAAGCTAAAATGAATTCTTAAAGGCCAACACTGGTTGCTGTAACTTTTGTATTTTTTGTTTTCTTTCGATCGTGCATTATGCAATGATTGTGATATGCTTCTTGGTTTGCCGCAAGGACCGTATGTTCTTCTGTCCTTTTATGAGATTTGGAAAACTATATCAGTACCAGGTGCTACCGTTGGTTCACTTTCCACTTCTCCTGGCAATGTTTCGCAAGTGATGAGTGATGAACCCACCTTGAATGATCCAACGACGTGAGGTATCTCAATCATATTCTTGTTTCGTATTGGCTGCGATCTTCAGGGCCGCTGTGAATCATTTTTCTACAGCACAAGCTGCTTACAGCATGCTCTTTTGGCAGCGAATGAATGACCACCTACAGTAACAGTGGCACACATCAGCTGCTGTAGCTTAGCCAAAGCAACATTGATTTGATTTTTTTAAATAATAAATTCTAATGAGCCATTAAACATTGATACTCTAACATGCAAGATTAATGGAATGTGTGTAGTATGGTACAACGTGGTAGACATTGGCAGTCTCCTCAAGAAGCAATCATTTGCTCCAACAGCTCGCCAAAGACATTGTCGTCTTCAATGTTCTTGAAGGCTTCAGCATCAGAAGGAAAGTCGAAATCTTCCAAAAAGGCTTCAACAGCATCATCTCCCGAAACAGATAGAGGATCAGCAGTATTATCGTCCCAGAAGCAAGTTGAGACCTTTTCCAATGGAGTTCCTTCTGGAAGAACCTCCCAAAGCTCAGGAGAAATGTCAATGAGCGAATCCAAGGCATCCTGCATGGGTTGCTCGTCGGAGCTCACAGATGCAGGAGGGGAGACGATGGTAGATGAGGAGATCATTGGAGAAGTGAAATAGTCATGGTTGACTGTTTCGTTCTTATCCTCGGATCCATCCATGACCCATGGCATGGAATAAAAGTTGGGTTCTTGATCTGGGTTGGATCGTGCGCGAATCTTGGTTCCCTTGACCTTGATTCGTTGAATGTTTTGAGAAAGAAAGATCTTTCCACGAAGGAATAGTTCATGGTAGTATCCTCCCTTATCTTGGCCCTTGGTAAGACGTTGGAAGCCATACAAGTTCAGTTGGCGTTGAAAGGAAGAGACCTTGGAAATCTTGAAATGCTGTTCCAGGATGGCAACAAACTTCTTGGCATCGTGGACCACAAAGCATCGCCCGTGTGGTTGCCACGAGACAATGTGCTCGAGTCCTTCGCTCTGAACTGCTTCGAGCATGGAGTGGAGCTTGAGTGGAAAGGGAGTGACCACGCCTCCTCGAGCGGGAAGGCGTCTGCTTTCGCAGCAGACATCTTTGGAATGGTCATGGTAATTATGTTGCACAGTGATGTGGTGTCTTTCAGATCGGCTTGCCTTTCTTCGTTGAGAAGAAGGAGCAGCAGCCTTTGGATATGCCGCGGAAAGGTTCTTATTTTGTGCGACCGTAAAGTCAGCCTTGACAGCCAATTGACTCTGAAGACTTGCTGCTGGTCCGAGGCTGGAAGTTGCGGGGCGACGGTGGGGTGCAATGCACATGGTGATTAAGCTGTTGTGTTAGCTGAAATGAAAGTAGTAAAGACGGGTGGTGTGTAATCGCTGCCGATTGATGCGGATGGATGCTTCACTTCGTAACGAAATTGTATTTTTTATGAGAAGACTCTGAAATCGATTTGTGCAAGATTGATGGGACGAATGCGAACAACCCCGTTTCTGGGAGTTTTTAGCTCGCGCGGGTGCATGAGGAAGCATTCTACGGATTAAGTGCAATATCGAGGTCCTATATATGGGGCACGTTCCGTCGTTCCTCCGACCTAATTGCAGATTCGGAGCACGTTCTCAGTACTGGCCAAGTAGATTTTTACAGGGTGACCACGCGGTTCTCAAAGGTGTCAAAAATGACTTTAGTAAGAAAACAGCTCGCGTCATTAGCATTCGCGGATAGAAAATCCTTTTCAAAGCGTGTCACTTAGTACCGGTAAGTATCTTACCATTGGTGTATTGGGGCTGTTGTCTAGCCTAAAATTGGGCATCAATTATTCTCATTCTGACCAAAACAAGAGCTACCGGCGGGTGTTTGCTGTTTATAAGAGGAGGCGCTCATGTTAAATGTTGGTTACTTGTGTGCGTTTGTGTGCGTTTCGAATGCGAATCGGAGCTGTGTTGCACCTTCTTGGATCATCCGCTTGAGGGGTCATCTAGATCGCGAATGAGTATAATACCTACACGGAGTACGTAACGGTACAGTGTTAAAATATCTCGTACTGCACTTGGTACTAGATACCGTACTGGCGGTAACCTCCCTAGCTACAAGGACTGCAAATAGTCTGCTGCTTCCTTTTGGTCCATCGTACTAGCAATGAATCCTGCTTGTTGATAGACTATCGCCACTACCAGCCAGGCGATTGACAATCAATTCATTTGTCAGTATGAATACCAGTCTAGTGGGTTGTTTTCAGCAGGATTGCTTGTTCTGCCAGCATGCTGCAGGTGGTAGCACCAGCAGGCGATGATGGTTGGTGATTGCTTGATTGATGATTGATTCGTTCATTCCTTCTTCCAACCTGATTCTTCATCAAGAGGAGGAGGATCCAGAAACCTGGTTT